GCACATTTCGATACTTTCATCGAAACCATTTGGACAATCGGAAACACCGTTACATTTGGTGTCTAAATAGAAACACGAATCATCGTAATCATCTTTACCGCAGGTAATGATTTCACGTTGTTGCAAACGCTGTTGTTCACTGTTTTGTTGATGAACATGATTATGGTGTGAATGAAAATGATTATGGCTATGTCGATGAAAATGTTCAGTAGTTGTAATCAAAGTGGCTTGATTATGCTGTAAATAATAATAATTATGATCATTCTTAACATTAGGTTGCCATCGTTGTTTCAGTTGTTGTCGCATCAATTCACATAGATTAACATGTAATTCATCTGAATGCGTTTCATCCGAATTACCATCATCATCCGAATTACTAACGATATTCATTTTATTGATTATTGAATCATCTTGTTTGGTGCGATTTTTGATAAATCTTGTATTACTATAATCATTTAAATGAGAATCATCGTAATGTTGAATAATGGAAATGTTATTATCATTCTTTGTATCAATGGTCGACATTGCAAATGTCATCATATTGGTCATGATTAACATAATGGACAATACAAAACATGTGTGATAAAAAGATCGATGACTTAGATGAGCAAAATAGATTTGATAACTTTTCACTGAATTAAGTAGCCATTGATATTGATAAATATGATGATGAATTGTTGTATAGCAATAATAATAACAATATCGGCAGCAATCAATAAGATAAATCACAGAAAATTGTAGTAATAAATCTATAATATTGTGAATAGAATAAGTAATAAATAATATTAATAAAAACAAATTACAAGTTGTCGTTTAATTTTGATGTTACGAAAATCGGTCATTAACAAATGTGAAAATCAATTATCGTATAATGAAAACAATAAAATGTTGAAAGATTATTGATTATTACACTTGAAAAGATATAAATTGATAAAAATGGAGCCTTTCAAAAAGAGAAACAATTCTGACAAATAATAATAAAAGGATTCTAATTTTGTAATGAATTTGTTGTTGATGATTATTATTCTGATTCAAAATGGCTATGATCAAAAACAGAAAGATTGTTGTACAAATCGATGAAAACGATTGATGAGAAAACGTGTGATGATTTCGGATGAGAGATGAATGATGTAATAATTTAAAAATCTTTGACAACATTCGAAATGGGACAAAATAATGAGCAGCAATGTAAAAGGTATTATTGTATTTTTCGTTAAAAATTAATTGGAGAAAATATTGATTTTTGTTCATTTCTAATTTGATCGTTTGATAATGATTCATCATTACAATGGCCCATGCTGATGATTATTTATCCAGTCATGTGATGTAACTTGTCATATTTTTGGTATATCCTGAATAAAATACATATATAAACACAAAATACACACAGAGCCAGAGAAAAAAAAACTCAAAGGGAAATCAATTTCATTAAATGTATTGTGTGCGGCCTAGTTTTTTCCTTTGTAACTGATGTTTTCTTATCATTTTTATTTCATATTCACTTTTCTAAGTTTGATGGGTAGTAGTAGTATGATGATCCAAAAGAACCAAGGAACTCGATCGTTCACTCAAATTGACAAAAATATTTTGGATGTTCCATGCGCGCGATATGTTCCTATATGATCACCATTTTGTGCGTCATAACCTTATGAAATAATTCTATATAGCGACCGGCGTTTGTTTGTTTCCGACCGAAAAAAGGGAATAAAACTCAATTGAGATGCTCATAGCCCCTTCCTACCTATATGTGAATATTTTTTTTCCGTATGTCGCGTTTTAGTCACGAAATTTGATTTAATTAGAACTTTATAATTTTCTTGATTTTTTCTTTTTTTTAACACAGATTTCTTTGTTTAATTGATAATTTTTTTTCATGCATACTAATTAATTCATAAATCTCCGTTTGCTGGAGAACACAAACATCGAACATTGTTTACTTTCGAACCACAGACGATAACGAAAGAGATTAATAATACAAATATATATCATTTTTTGAAGAAAACTTCAAGTTTCATGTGATTAAGATTTTGTTTTCTTTGTTCCTGGTTGCCTCTTACTGAGCAATGATGAGCTTTGTTAGTGTTCAGCTAGGCAACAATATGTATCAATTGCAAAAGTGATTTATGTATGATCTGATTTTACATAATACTGATGAATAACAAAAAAAGGCTAAGTTTTTTTTCGAAAATTGAATTGGCTCATGATTGAAAAGCCGATGACACCGAGACCTTTGTCTTTGTTAGTTGGCTTTGTTTTGTTTTTTTTTTTCATTTTATTTCCATTTCATGATGTTTTGTTTGCGTTTAGTTTTTCCTATGAAGTTAAATGGTAAAAAACGGACAAAAACTACAACAACCCAAAAAAGGTCAGGTAAAAGTCAATCATATCAATTTTATTTTATCCATTTCCTTTACAGTCATAAAAGCATTTTTTATATGTCGGCCGAGCAACCAACAAAGAAAAAAAGTGAGAAAAAAGTTTTGTTACTTTCAAAATCCGATCAAAACGAAAATATAAGTTCCGCGAAAAATGACCTTTGTGGCGGACTATGGTTCATGATCCATTTCGTCTTTCTCTTCAATGGTGGTTTTGACTTGGGGGCTATTTAAAAAAAAAACTTTTCAATTTCATGTTGATTTTCCTTGTTTGAATTTAAAAAATTTGAACTTTTTTTTTGATTATCAAATATGAACGAAAACCCGGGAATCTTTATAAAAATACGGGATCAAGTTGCAGATGATTTGATTAAATTGCGCACATTTGATCTTTAAAAACTTTATGCTAATGAGCAATTTTTGTGTTTGATTAATTTTTAAAAATATCAAATAAATTTAGATGCAAATGTGTACACCTGTTGCTTGTACGTAACCATGATAAACATTCAATTCATGTATTTTTGAAAATATTTTTATTAGTCATTCAGAATATAGATTACTTTTCATTGGATTTGATTTTCATAATGATGATGATTAATCAAAATTTGAATTTAATTACAGCATATCTATCCGGAAAAAAATCAATCATTCGTCAATAATCAATCAATATTGACGAAGAAATGCATCATTAAAAGTGTGAGATTTTTATCATCATCACCATAATTGTATATTTAACGCATTGACTATCAAATTTTCCTCATAGACCACTTGTTAACATATGAGCTGTATTTCCATGAATTTTTTTATGCCACTGGTCAAAGGGTAGCGTCTTTTTTTCCTATATGGTGGTAGCCAATGAGTTAATTTTCTTTCACAATTAAGTTGTTTGCGTTTATAAAGAGCTGAAAAAATCGAATAATTCATAAACGGAATTTGATTAAGTGATAATGAAATTTTTTTTTCTCATTTGATCATCAAAGTGTGATTTATTTCGGTATATTTAATTTTTTTTCTCGATAAACGATTCTACTTCGATCTATTTGTTGATAAAACATTGGCATTATCAACATTTCTACTTCCCGACAACGAGTGTTGACAACAAAAACCTAATTATGGTTTACCTAATGATGATAAAAATTTTTTTTTGATTGATTGAAAAAAAACAACATTCAAAAAATAGGAAAAAGGAACGATAATAACAAAAACAAAAATTTCATCTTGTTTTACTTGTTTTGAAAGTATTGAATCAAAACATCTTCCATCATCATGTATGATAGTGTTTTTTTTTCGAAAACCGCGACGACAAACATATTTTTCTTCTCGAACATGATGATGATGATTGAAAATATCGTTTTCAGATTGGTCCATAAAAAAAGTTCCTGAAATTGGCAAAGACTGACAGAACTGAAATTGATCGACTTGACCAATTGAAAATATACTATAAAAAAATTAGATCGATTTTTTTCCTCTTTTTAATATATAAGTAATAAATGTAAAAAAAAGGAAGAGGGAATTTCAATGATTATGACGATTTGATTACGATGGTGGCAGCGGTAATGGTGATGAGGAAGAAGAACAACAGTTGTTCGAATTAAGTCTAAAACCAATCACAGCCATATGATCAACCAAACGAAAAAAACGTGTTGGCTTGTAGTACATGTTATCATAATAGTCATAATCATGATAATCGTTGATGGATCATCAATTTGGCCATCATCCAATAAAAGTACAAGAAATTGGATAAATATCGCCGCCGGTGATTGTCCATTATTGCAATATATGTAGGCTGGAAAGCAATGTGGATTTTTTTTCATAACGTTTCTGTCCATGCCAATCTAGCAGAAAATTGATCATTTCGATTCAAATAAATTTTTTTTTTACAGCAATGAAATCAAAATCATTGCTAAACATTAATTTTTTTTTGGAAAAATTCGAGAACAATTGGATTTTCTCTTCTTTATATCAATGATTTACATTAAAACAAATTCGTTGAACCTCACACAGTGTCGGTCCAATAAGAAACGAATAAATTCATTTGTCTTCTATCATGATAATAGTAATATCTGTTCGGACCTTCCTTTAAGGAAAATTTCTATTCAGTGAGCCAAACGTGAAGAGATAGAACGAAAGAGAGATAGTATCACATAGAGAAAAATGCCGCGGAACTGACTACTCTTCGTGAGAATAGAAATTGTAAGTGCTCGTTGTTTTGCTTCTCTGGAACAAATAATTGTTGTTTGGTTGTTGCTAAATGAAAAAAAAGATTGTCCAAGAGACACCTGATCCAATGTGGGAAAGAGAGACTAACAAACTATATTGTACTGTACCCGAAACAAAATCTTCGTTGCTGGAACTGAATGTAGCAATGGAAGTTGTCGTTGTCGATAGAGGCGGAAAAAAATCATCATTTTTGCCTATAAAAGTAGCTTGTCGTCAATCAACAAAATGAAGAGTAGTTTCAGGTCACTCACCGATAAACGGCATTTTCTATTCGGTTGGTTGAAAAATTTTGTGTAAGTGTTTGTGCATTCGAATGTGTATGATTCATTCAATATTTTAACTGGCTTAAATATCATTGTTGTTCTGGATCATTTTCTTTGTTGGAAAAAAAAGACAAAACGAAAATTTTCTGGCGTGTCAGCGTGTGTCGGTGTCACCAACCCACAACACACAAACCAGTACCAAAAAAATTGTTAGAAAAATTTTTTTTTAATTTTTTTTAGTTCCTCTTGTTATTTATCACGATATATTAGTTTCGTCTGTCGATTATCATTTTTTCACTATTTGGACTGTCGGTCTTGTTTGATCGGTGTGTCCGTGTTTTTTTTTGCCATTTGCTCTAAAATTACATTGTTGTTATTTCACATCAAACAGAATGTCAAAAATGGTCGAATTTCATTCTCCATTCATCGCAATTGTAGCCATTGTTGTTACAATGATGGCAAATACTGTGTATGGTCAATATCATGGATATCGGCCAAATTATTCACCAATGGCTTTTTCACCATATCATCCAGGTATGTTTTTATCAAAGTTGAAAAAAAAATTGTTTTTTCAAAAATTTTATTCTTGTAAAAACGTACATTTCTTGGCATTTTATATATGTGATTGTTGCTATAGCACGCATAAATCATGAAACATTGCCAATAAGCCAAGCTGAATTTGCACAATTGGTTGCTGAATCAATGGCTACTAGTAGTGGTCCACATCATCATCATCCGCCAAATACTGATCATGATTATGAAGGACCGGAACATTGGACAAAAGAATCAGACAAGAATCCTCATAGTGGACCAGAAATAATGCGCGATGAACATCATCATCATCACCACCATCATCATCATCATCATCCAATGTCATCTGCACCAAGCGCTTCTCATCAAGAATCTCCAATGTATCAACATCAATCAACCGATCACAACGAACGTTATGCAGCCGGATCTATACGATCATCTGCATTGCCACCATTACCACCCTCAATGCATAAGCCACATTCTCATTATCAACCAGAAGAACGGGGTCCAAGTGATATAATGAGCAGCGGAAGTCATCACGATGAGTATTCAGATGCACATCGTACTCCAGTATTCGAAACCGGTTATACACCAGATCCAGAATCAATGAGACATTTGTCATTGAGAGAGAGCGATATGGATGATAATGAGCCACAAACGCATATTTATGGTGGGCGTCCAACTCCTGAATCAGAGGCTTATCAACAGCATCAAAACCCTGGCCATGCTCCAAAATACGAAGCAATCAATATGGTAGGCATATCAAATTATCCACGGGAACATGATGAATATAGACCTGCTGGCAGTCTAGATTCAGAAGAACATTCACCAGTTGGACAGCCAATTCACGGACCAAACGATCCACCTCCGTTAGCATTCCATCAAGATTTCTCTCGTCAATACCATCATGCTCAAGTTCCTCGACATCCACCTCCCCATTTTAATAGACCATCATACCATCATCATGGTCCAATGCATGCAATGCATTCGCATCCCCATCCACGAATGCTCATGTCTGGAAGACATCCTTCTTCACATTTCGATCCACCAAGGCATCATCATCGAATGCCACCAGTTGATCATTACATGTCTGCCGATTCATCCACAAGCAATGCAATAGCTGTGGTTGTTCCAACGGTTGCTGCCGATACAGTGACAACTACAACAACTATCCAAACGGCAGGCCAAATGGATTCAAAATAAACTGAATAAATAAACGAATAGGGAAATAAAGTGTTAAAGTGTTAGCCAAAGGGGAAAAATTTGTTTCAAATGAATCGACAATATAATTCATCATCTCATTCATTATGAACATTCATCATTATAATCATCATATTTCATGGTGTTTAGCACATATATATTCATAATCATTATTTCGATCATCGATTCATTCACACGAATAAAGATGGTCAAAAATAAGTGAAAACTGAAAAATGATTCCTTTATTCATATTATACGAATTAATGTCCATAAATTACGCATCAAAATCATCATGATTATCATTACAAAACGAATAATCAAACCTAATAAAAAGACTTGAAAAATGATGATCACGATGGCCACTTCAATATCTACATCATGTTGGCAGACATCGATCTTTTTTTTAAAATATATCAACTCAACAATTATTGCAAGATCATCACACAAAATGCACGAACGAACGGTATGATGGGATTAAATGTTGTTGTCAAATATAATCATTATATATAACGATTATAAACACAAACTTACACATAAACACAAAGTTAAACTTACATAAACAAGGAAACGGTAATGCTGCTATCATTGACGACGTATCTAAATCATCAATCGGTTGGTAAATATACAATTGTTGTTTTAATAATGATTTTAATCTAATTAACAATAATGATCATAATAATAATTGTAATAATTTTTTTCCATGAATCTATTGATGATATATACTGTCTGCAAACTTTTACTTTTATTTTTTTTCTTGTTCACTATTTTTGTCTTCTTCATTTCCTTCCTTTCTTTCGTTTTTCTTATATCATTTCATTTTCAGTTATTTAATTTATCTACCATCATCATCATCATCATCATCATACACATGTATGTACGTATACAGACAAACAAAAATCACATATAAATTTTCTTGAATCTTGTCATAATCATAATGATCACATAATGATCGTCATGCACACTCTCATTCAACCAATCAATCCGGTGTTATAATTATCACAGAAAACTTGACGACGACGACAACGACGACAAGATTGTCAAAATTGGTATAAGCATTTTGTTGTCATCATCAGAAATCAGAAAAGAGATTCTTTTCATACTCCATATATCCATTTAGTTTCGTTGAAGATATAATTTATATGTGATTATAGTGAATCACCTTGTTGTCGCCTTCCTCACCTTCTTCGATATCATTTGGATAATATGTCAACCGTTTATAAATAAATATATTTCATTTTGAGCTGGATATTTTAGCTCAATCAACCAATCATCAAATATTCATCAAACAAATTTATATTTAACCGTTTCCGTCGAAATGTTAAACACTTTTTTTCTTGTTGATTTTGATTTTTTTTTTATTTTATTAATGAAAAAAAATGTCACTTGCACAGACAAATATACTTAAATAAGATGTTTGAAGTGGCAAAACATGTGGGATGATTCTCTTAAAGCCAATCCTTTTCTGTAATTTGGATTTTTATTTCAAATAAAAAAAAGCTAAAGTAAAATCATCATTTTTACTGGTTCAAATCTTATTTTTGTTTGTTTGTTTTTAAAATGTTCTCAACCATTTATCATCCTTAATGGAGTGTTTGATAATTACATAGATTTTACCTAAATAAACCTAAATGAATTAATGATATAATATAAAGAGAAACAATTCTGACAAATAATAATAAAAGGATTCTAATTTTGTAATGAATTTGTTGTTGAAATTTGTAAATTTTAAAAATAAAAAAAATTTTTCATAGTCAACAAGTATAATTTTATAAGAAGAAATTTTGAAAAAGGCAACATTTTATTTGTGAAAATTTATTCATTTATTTATGTGTTTTATTTAGTAGTGTTCATATAGCATGTCAAGAAATCATTATCACAGATGTCATCAACCGAAAGTGGGCCAAGTTGAAATTTTATCGTGTCAGTTGTTTTTTTTCACAATTTTACAAATCTTGTATTCTATTATCAAACGTAATAGAAAAATGAAATAAAAATATCTGAGACTGAGAATTTTCAATGAGAAAATTCTATTTTGTTATTAACAATATCATGATGACCGACGGACAATCACTTGTTTTCGAGGTGGATCCGTATTGACATCCAAAATTTTTGTCTCATGAAGCAAGTTCAATTTTTGACATCTTTATTATTATTATTAATATAAATAGATACACTGCCAAAGCGGCATTTCTATCATAATAGAATAAACAGAAGAATTATGATATAATATGAAATAATAATAAATAAATTTTGTCACCACACAATTCTACACAGGACACGGACACTTCGAAAAAATACCTACACAGATTCACACCCTCCCACACAGACAAATGTACATGTACGGACACTACACAAAACACAACACACCTCTTACTATACTACTGCCCAAATTACAACAACATTAGACAACAATTAAATTTGGAACATATCATCTCACCAGAACGATTTACACAGAACAAACATACACACGCCAAATTCACTACTCTATGCAAACACATATACACACACCTAAGAGAAAAATAATCTTGTAATTATAATTGTTTTTCATTTTCTTTTATTCGTTTATTCGGCGCCAATATCTTTACAGATATGAAAATTATGAATGAAAATTATTATTATTATTATTAATGTTTTGTTTTTTCTTGTTTTTATGGTTATTATCTTGTTTTCGGTTTGCTTTTAAATTTTTCTTCAAATCTTTGTTGTTCTTGTTCGATTTTACATCAACCGCTTGCTGTGAATTGGTCGAAACCGCCTGGGGTACTTGATCCATCACTATTTGATCCAACAATTCTTCGTAATCGGAAGCGCTTTCTGCTTTTCCGTATTCATAACAATAATCAATAAACTTTTCTAGTGCAGTTGAATTTCTCGTCACTGTTCCAGAATCGCAAACAACAACCAAATGAGAACGAGAACGAGTAATGGCTACATTTAAACGCCGTTCTTCGATTAAAAATCCAATTGTTCCTTCATCGTTTGATCGAACTAATGATAAAATAATCACTTCTTTCTCTCTTCCTTGAAACGCATCGACAGAATTAATTTCCAGTTGATCGGTGACGCTTTCCGGATACATTCGTCGACATCCGGCTTCAATTAAGCTTGTTTGGAGTCGATATGGTGAGATGACACCAATATCAGCAGGCGATAGGCCATTATCTAAAAGATCTTTGATCACAATACAAACTAGTTTTACTTCGTAAATGTTTCCTTTAGACAAACTTTGTTGATCAGATTCCAGTTCATACATTGAGCAACCGACCGTATCAATCAATCGAATAACTGGCAATAGTTCGTCGATATTTTTTAATTTCAATCGTCGATCAACAACACAATCGTCTGCTTTGAGACGATTTTCATAGAAAAAATTTGATGGCCAATTCATAATCAATCCGTTCATTCGATATTGAACGGTCAACATTCTAACAACTTTATCTGGACAATTTTGGAATTGATCAACAACTCGTTCAATTAGTGAAATGCCAAGACCTTGCTTTTCGGCTTCCTGTGAACAGATTGTTGCTGGTAATTGTTTGTGATCACCACCCAGAACACATTTCTTGGCATATGATAATGGTATCCAGGTAGATGCTTCTAATGCTTGTGCACACTCATCAATAATGACCACATCAAATGAAAATGTGTTTAGGTCATCATAAAGATAACGTAATTGGCCATTCATAACCGCACCATTACATGTGGACATTATAACATGAGCTTCTCTTAGTTTTTCTTTGGATACCTTTTCCTCAATCTGGTCAAATTCTTTCATTCGTTCACGAATCTGTCCACGTGTGTATCTGTTCTGTCTAGTTTCTGATTTTATCTGGTTGATTTCGTTCTTTAGGTCACCGAGTACATCGGCCCCTTCGCTCATAACAATTGAATCTAATGAATATGGCTGTATTTCTGAGTCCATACGCGCAGGATGGCCCATTCTAACAAAGTTAAATGATCGTTTCAAGCGATATTTCAAGCAAATATTTTTTTGTGAAGAATGTATCAATTGTTTAAAAATGTTATCCACAGCTACGTTCGAAGGCGCACATACCAACACACGAAGGCCACGAGTGATCATTTGTAGAATCAATTCAGTCAATGTGGTCGTTTTACCTGTTCCAGGTGGACCATGTATTACAGCTAAATGACGTTGATACAAGGCGAATTCGATTGCATTCTTTTGAGAATAATTCAAATTCGAATTGAACCACACAATATTGGATTGACCAGCCAATGGATAAGGTAAATCATTCGTATAAGGTGGTAAAACAGTCAGTGGATCAAGAAGTGGTTCGCTACCAAAAAGCAATCCAACCAAATAATTTCGTATAGATCGTTCGTATAGGTTTTCGAGCGCATACTTAATTCGGCGATATGTTATATCATTGGTCAATTGAATTAGATTGAACAAATGGTCTTTCTCTTCATCGAACAAAGTCGTATCTGCATTAAAAGCAATCTCACAGGTTAGACGTTTCACTTGAAGCACTACACCGGTGCAATGAGCCGAAGTTTGTTCTTGAGTGGTCACACCGACTATATCACCATGCGACATACCGCTATTGATCAGATTAACGAGATCACGTTTTTCAGGACGTACGGAAAATTGTATAACTTTTTTAGCGAATGCTGTTCGTTGATTAGTAATCACGAGCTTACGTACGGCATGGCCACTTTTTTCCAACTGTTTTAATGAATGTTTGGATCGTAATTCTCTGATGAAAAAGCAATCAAATATAAAAAATTATTAATTATAAATCAAAAACAATATTCTCACTGGTTTCGTTCCAATTCTTCATCATAATCCAATTTAATTAGTTTGAGTTGTTTTTGAATCCAGGATTCTATCGTTAGATTAGCCGGTGATTTTATTGATTTAGCCATGATTGTTGAAATTTGAAAAAAAATTACCAGAATAATTTTCAAAATCAACAAAACAAAATTCAACAATAAAGAATTGTCATATGTTTTTCATCTAGTAAGGCCATCTATAATCACAGATAAGAACTATTATAATTTATTATTGGTCATAATTTTTAAAATAAACATCTTGAAACAAGGCTAAAATTAATGATATTACAGTAATTAAAGCTGCAATATGGAAGCACATTGTAGGATAAAATGAAATGCTTGAAGCAAAAATGGTAGAAAATATCAATGCACCTAAAGTTGGTGACAATGATTCCAATGTAGAGGTCATACTGAATATTTTTCCCGCTTCATCAGCGGCTACTATTTTTGCCATTTTTGTTTTAATTACTATGGTTGCCAAGTTGAACAAAGCACCTAAAAAAAGCAAACAACAATCATAAAAAAGGGACAAAATTTGATAATATACTAACCTATGAAGATGGCGACCAAAAAAATAAGTAGATTCGGAAATGTTCCGATCAAAACTTGGCTAATAAAACCGGACGTTATGGTCAAGGCAAACATTGTTCCATCTTTCAATTGCAGTTTATTGATCAAAACATATGAACTAATCAATAAGACTATTGTTGGCAAAATTTTTATATAAACTGAAATGAAGGAATATTCTTGAGCATCTAGTTGATAGACTTGTTGTGAAAATTGCAAGAATATTGAATCGATTCCTGTCATATTAGTTAAAAACAGAAATAAAATGAAAACCATAAAAAATATTTGTTCACGAGCATGAATAGGGCGAGGTTTAATGAAACAATGGTAAGTTTGGCGAACATTTTCAAAATCAAAAAATGTCCGAATAATTTTTCTGATTTTGCCGAATTTTGTTTCCCGAACTGTAAACAATCTTTGCGAAATTCCATTCACTGATTGATTAGTATTGTCTGAAATATTGTTGTTCATATCCGGGCTGATGAGAGCTTCAGAATCGGAATCGCCGATTGTTTCCTTCATAGTTTCATCTCTCTCGACTTTGATTAATAGAATCATCAATAATGAAACCAAACTTATTCCAAGCATAATGATAAAATTTTGGTTATAGTTTCTTAGCTGTGTATTTTGTTCATTGTCATCCAAAAAATGGATATTACTGCCTGCTATCAATGTTCCCAATGATGGTGCTTGATAATGATAAAAAAAATCAGAATCAGAATGAACAATAAATAATTACATACCAATTACTAATATAACATGTAGAATAGTGAAATAAATTGCATGAAATTCAGGACTAGAATTGACGACAATGCAACGATTGATAGCTGCAAGAAAAGTTGTCATTCCACCGGTCAGACACACAGTTAGATTAACCAAAAGAAGATAATAAGGACTCAATTCGAAATAGTAGGCATTGGCTATGTTGAATATATATTCGAAAATTTGTATGATATTCATCCAAATGAATAAGATCTTTGTAGCGTTAGGAAATCGATCCAGAAATGAACCAACAAATAATGACCATGCAAACATTGGCAATGTTTTAATTAGATTTCTATTAAAAACCGATCCTTATTTAAATTATATTGATCATTTCATTTAATTATTGACTTACGCATAATTATTGAACATTGCTCCGAATGCAAGAATCTCATCACGAATAATAATTTCGTTCTCATCGAATCGATCTTTTTCATTAATGTATTCACAAAATGTTCGACTTTGATTAAAAAGATTTCGGCAAATTTTATCCTGAATCAACCAGCCAGTTGTTAATATATAGATGCCATATGAAAATATAAACAAGAATATGTATAAATCAAATAAAAAATAATTGTTTTGGCGGATGAAATTCCACATGTTTGGTTCGAATTGATTTATAAGATACAAACTGATCATAAATCGAATATAATGTGTGCGGTAAATTTAATACCGAATATCATTCATCACAACCTCATCATAAAATAAAATCTTATGAAGATGTATAGAAGATAATGCAATCAAAACAACTGCTTATCATATGGTTATAATAACTCGTGCATGATGGGTGCACTTTTAGGTCGTATTTGTATCTTAAATGAACCGGTTTTATTCTTAAGTTCATCGTATCTATCATCATAGAGAGAATATACATAAACATTTACATTCTTGGCTCATTACCCAACGTATGGCATCTAAATAATCATGGAAATTTATATGTTACATAATTCCGAAACGTTTCGATTCAATATCTCTAGTTTTTTTTTATTTAATATGATATGATCTGGTTTATAGCTGGTCAACATGGATATTAAAATATGAATTTTCGGCCTCTTGTGAATAGAAAAGGTCTACAACAAAGTTAAAAAAACATTTTGCTTTCAATAGATTTGATGGTGAATTTATTTATCATATCAATCCAATCAAATTTGATCAAGTTTTTTTTAGCTTCTTTAGAATAGCAGTGCTAAATAATCTTACGTATCAAATTAATGCTCACAGTTTGTATGATTACACCTAATAATATAAAGAGTTTATAACCTTGAATTCAAAATGTGCAATATACATATCTATGCCACATATCCGATGATTGTCTGTATCCTGACGTATCCATTTAATTATTAGGAAAAACAAATCGACGTGTGAAAAGTGAAAAATAAAGATGCATAAAATAAATTATTATTTCCAAAATATAAAACACATATTTACAAATAATATATACATTTACATATACATTTTGTTATAATTTTAGTTATTTCATCAAAAAAAGTGGAGAGAGGTGATTATTATAATTGGATGGTATTTACTCATAAATAGCTTGTATCATCATTTTCATCTTGTTCAAATTCATTGTTGTTTTTATTACTTTGCTGATCACCAATAAGTGAAGTTAAAGGTAATTGAAGCAATGGTGATTTGACCATTGAATTTTGATGATTATGATCAGTAAAATGTCGTCGATTTTTACAATAACCACCAAATTGTTCCCCATTATTTGATGTACGTGTCGAATTTGAAGAAAATTTAGTGTCCTTGTTACTGCAGCTGCCAATATGTTTGCCATGACTACTTAGGCTCTGATGATAATTAGGAGATCCAGGTTTTCGTGTGGAATAAATATGATTGCTGAAACCGTTACTCGAGGATCGACGAAGCGGTAATCCACTCAGTGTATACAAAGTGGGATTTACGGCCGCATTTAAAGGTAAGATAAAAACAGCAATCCAGGCAAATATCTGTGGAGGAATTCGAACACCGAACAACGAAACGATTCCAAGCCCAATAATCGGCATCCAACAGCAGAAATCTGTCATTACAATGAACATCATACGTCGTGCCATACGATTTTGCACCTTTGTTTCGGTAGTTACAAATCTTCGACCATTTGATTTTGCTGCTTTTTGTGTTTTTCGGGCAACGATGAACATCCAAAGATAAGAGCCACATATTAATGTGAAGCTAATTAAATTAAGAACAAGAAAAACAAACACCGAATACTCCCATCCATTTGGACGTTCGTGAGTGATGTGTAAAGCAAGACAAACGCCAGAACGTCCATAAAAATTATCAAAGTATTCGACAGGTATAAGGGGTAAACCAGAAATAATGATAGCAACTAGCCATAGGGAAATGATGATCAATTTGGCATCTTTAGAACGGAGACGATAAATACGAAAGGGAAATGTTATCGTTATCAAACGATCAATAGTGATGACGATGAGGAAGAAAACGGAAATCTCCGATGATAGCGTGGAAAGAAAACCGGCAAAATGGCATAGCGAACTATGACGCCATCGTGCATCGACAATGAAATATATGCCCCTATTTGTTCAAAAAAATTCAGATAAATGTACAAAAACATATATAAAATATACATACCGATAGTAGGAATCGACACTGGCAATTATTAATAAATAAATGCCCATCAATAAATCACCAAGAGCCAAATTGATGATCAAAAATGAATGGACACGATTGATCGTTTTATAACGGAGACGCCATAATATGACAAACATGTTACCGATCAATGCAATAGACCCGAGACACCAGATGCAAATGCGTAAAATTGTATTAGACATGAGATCTTCACAGGAACTGAATTCATTCGGTTCAGGATAACATTGTTTTACATGTCGTACCAGACAGCAGAAATGAAATTCATCAAATGTACTACATAAATAATACATCCATTATCAGTAATTATGTTATTGAACAAAAGTTTCTACTTACATCTGTTTCAATGCATTCATTCCTTGAAATGCTTTTGAACCTACTGATTTTATCTTGTTACCACGAAGATCTCTATTGACAAAAAAAAAAGATTAATTGTACATCATTATTCTATTTTCAACAATTGGTCATTGATGAAAGAATATCATTTGTTTGAGAGTTGTTCAATCGATATTATTGTTGTTTGTAAAATAAACACAAATAAATGAAAAAAAAAATCATTTCAAATCATTACATACATTGATATAACCGATGATAAACCGGAGAATACGCCATCAGGAAGCTCGTTGATTTGATTATTTGACAAATCACTTTTTTTTTTCGGATTCGTCAATATGATTCCGGTGTGTCAAGACATTAAGTCATTTATTATTGATTAGTAATAGTGACAATAATGATAAAATGATTGATTATCAAAGTTTCCATTAAATAAAGAAGGATAAATACGATCAGGATATATAGAATATTTTAATGGCAAAAAATAAAAGAGCGAATAGAATATTATGGAGAAAACAAAAATTTTTTGATTTTAAATTTCAATCCATTCGATATTTTTATTATGGAAAAAAAATACATACAGATTTTTCAACGAACGAAGGCCTGAAAATGAATTCTTTTGCAATGAAGTTATATGCTGATTACTTAGATCTCTGATGAACGAATTTTATTCATCATTCGTTGTTCGTATGGAGCAATTTATATATATAAAAAAATGTAAAAAAAGAATGTATAAAAAATCGAATGAATGAATGAATGAATGATCGAGAAAAAAAATAAACACCATCATTCTCGTGGGGATTTATTCCAATGATGATGTGTCAAATTTAGATTACGTACAATGTTTTCAACGATGCCAAACCACTGAATGCATGTTCACGTATCAGACGTATATGGTTTCCGTTTAAGCTTCTTTAGAAAGATTTTATTTTTATTTTTTACAAAACATTGAGCCATCCAGTGAATTTTGTAATGAGTTTTTTTAATATAAAAAAAATATATAGCAAAACGAATAGAAAGAAAAAAAAACCAATGAGAATAATTTTTCCATAAATACAAAGTTTCTTTTCTATCTAACAATATTGAATATTGAATTTGTCATTTCAAATGTGGTCGAATTCATAATCAAACCAATTGAGTTTCAAATAACTCAAATGTTAACTACTCATAAATCAAATAAAGAATTTGCCTGATTCAAATAAACAGATCGAATGTCAAGAATTCGGATGAAATCAAAATTGAATTGAACAAATGAAAAAATTCGTTTCCAATCAATATGAAATATGATTATTTTTTTCTTGGTTTTAATGAAAGGTTTTCTTCTTTTTTTTTAATAATTTAGAATCTATCACTATCAATATATAATAATAATAATTTTATTTATATAATAAAATTCCCTTTTTAGTATATTATTTGTAGTTGTCACATAACGTCATTATGGTTATATAATATAAATATTTATTCAGGCCATAATCAGCCATCTGATTAACAGGCTAAATGACCAACAGACAGATAAATCAAGATGGTCAGTATACGTAATAATGTTGAGCATATTGTTGTACATTATTGCCTGAAGTAAATTGATATATTACTTATTCGAGTGGTGAGAATAAATGCCATGATGATTGGATGAAAATGTAACGGATTTTTTTCCTCTTCATTTCCTTTTCATCATCTATTCTATAGATGTGTTGAATTATTCAATCAAATAAAAAAAAGAGATGTGTGCATCGAATTTTATTTACAGAATTCAATATATATATATGAATACTATTGGTCGGATTGTTGTTGTTATCAGAAATTTTCGTTTTTTTTTTTCGTTCGTGAATTATGAGAATAAATAAATAAACTGCTAGAATAAAAATAAATAGAAACTCATCAGAAATTCACTATCATTGATGATGATGATGATAAATAACATGAGCATTATCAACATAAACGACAAAAAAAAATATATATAAAAGTAACACAAATAAGTTAGCCTAAACTGGATGTTGATTATTTTCATTAATTAATATCATTATTTAGAACAATATGTTCAGTATTTATTTTTTTTTTGTTTTTATTTTGTTGTCGTTGTTTCAATTTTTTTTTTTTAAATCAATATATACGACTACTAACACTAAAATCTATCATTTATCATTTTGGCATGTCAGAATAAGAAAAAAAAATGTGAATTATATTTCTTTGCTCATAATCTCTCATGGATGATTGCACAATTCTAATAATGGAATTCGGCTCGCACGCATATAACCTCTACATGAACAACACCTAAATCGACCACAAACAATGAACAATGGACATTATTCTAGTTTTATTTTTCTTTAAATATTCACATATGGATATACTTACAATGTTCCTAAATTTGGCAGACCGGTAAATGTATACGATTCGATTGTTTCGATTAGATTCTTTCGTAAATGTCTTGATTCGAATAGTGATTATGCGTGCGTGTTTTTTTTGTGTTTATGTGTGTAGGAGTGTTTCAAGATTGAGTGAAAAAACAAAAGATCAACATATTTTGTAAGAAAGGACAAAAATGTACTTACAGAATTCTTAATTTCCATAATTTACGAAATAATCCTGGTAGAATGAATTTTATTTGATTATCACTAAGATCAATCATATGCATACGATCTAAACGATTAAACATGTTCAATGTTAGATTGAGACCCAATTGATTTCCTTTCAATATCCTTGAACCAATTTTTTTGATGATTTAATCAATAAATCAAATACAATTCAATTTCAGTTAATTAATCATTATAGAATAATTCTTACATTCGAAGAATTTGATCCTCTATGGATCCCGGTATTGTGAGCAATGAGTGTCCAGAACAATTAATTGTCGTATCGATACATTGACATAAACGGCTATCCGAACAATAGAATGCTAATGAAAAAAGATAATTTTAGTGAATCAACTAAGATGATCTCATACAAAAACAAAAATAAAAATATTGATATTAACACAAGTTACAGAATAAAAACAATCTTTTAAATAAATTTAGATTTAGTATACGATCTCACGATTTATACACTAAATTTTTCGTATTTTAATTGAAAGGAAAAGGAATATTTTTCCTCAAAATAAATGATGATCGGATTTAAAAAAAAATAATTAGCTCATTGACAATTTGAAAAGAAACCTACAGAATAATAAAATCTTTTGACTACATTTACGATGGACCGGCCACTAAATTGGAACACAAACTAAACATATGATGTTGTTATGATTAAGAATGTTTGGATAAATTTCAACTTAATAAGTAATCGGTTTTTGTTTCCTATATCTTACTATACTAAATCAAAGAATGTTAAGATTTTTTCGGCCCAATAATCAATTTTAATTATATACTCTTACTCGAAATACAGCTAATTCTACTTTTGAAAATGACAACTAACAACCATTAAATTTATTTTACGCTAAATTCAAGTCTCAGGCCAAGTATGTTTGTTTATGGATATTTTATAAATAAACTCACGGCAAAGTTGTTCATCAGCCCAATCTGACAATACTGGGCAGTCAAGACGTTCATTACATTTGAGAGTAGAATCGACGCAAAAACTACCAGCACATTTAACACTATTTGATGGACAGGAAAAATTTCTACAGCCATTCAAATTTGAACGATCGGCACAAATTTTTCGTGGATCTGATGTGAGCAAACAACGAAATTCTGCCGATATACATTGGCCATTATCACAGCGAAATTGTGTTTGATAATCACAGTCGTTTGAAGATGATTGAGAAGTAGAAGATGTATTACAATTCTGTTCGTCCGAATGATCAAGACAATCGTTGAAATAATCACACCATGAAGATGCTGGTATACATTGCCCCGAATGACAACGACGATGTGTTATTGGACATGAATGATTTCGACAGCCAATCTCATCGCTTTTATCATAACAATCAAATTTAGAATTACAACGTTTTTGTTGATCAATACATTGTCCATTCAGACATTGATATTCATTTGAACTGCAAGGTTTTGTGTCTAATTTTTAAGATATAGAATGACAGAATGCATTAATATGATTGAAATCATATTATAAATGAAAAACGCTGACAGGGTATACAGACCACAGTTCAATTCATCAAAGCCATCAAAACATTCTTGGATATGATTACAATGGACAGATTTAGGAAGGCAACGATGTTCGACAGGGCACCAAAAATGATCATTCATTTTCAAACAGCTTTGTTCTGTGTAACCTGAGAAAAAAAGAGATGTTTTTCACTGATTAGATTTTCATCATCTGAAATGCAGAAAATAAATCATAGGATTCTGTATCTAATTACCGATCCAGTATAGATACAGAAGAGCAATATGAAAAAAATTACTCACCACCAAAAGGGCAACCATATTCATCATCGAATAATCTCGGACAATCATTATATCCATTGCAGACATATTGTTTATTTAAACAACGGTCAATGTATTGGTCATCATCCGATAATGAGCAGCTGATGGTTGTTGTACGCGAACAATAAGTGACCCCTAAACAAATTCAATTATTAAATGAATCCAACGTTATTAGCTAGACACCAATATCTTCTTACCATCAATTTTTGTATAATATTCATCACAATCAAGTTCATCCTCACAATGGGTAGCACAATCACAAATGGTATCACAACGATTTCCCATCGGAATGCATCTGCTATTCGTACAACGGAATTCATTTGGTTGGCATTGTTCTCGGCCTTGAATAATCCAATAATCATCATCATCATCATCATCATAATTTTAGCAAGAAAACAAAAAAAAAAATCCAAAATATAATAATCCACATTTGACAAATATTCTAAGCATTGCGTATGGTTTGTGTAGTTTCATTTTCATTGCAAAAACAATTGATAATTAACGGCGATGGTTTTAATTCTGTTTTTTTTATCACATATGGCACACTTTGATATTATTGTAATTTCACTGTAAACATACATAAAATACGTAATCATCATTAATTTGACCAAATTCCCAAGCTAGTTTGTCAATTGCATTTTTATATGATATTTCAATGAAAAGATGAAAATTCAAATGTAAAATTCTAGAATCTAGATATAACAATTTTTTCCATTATATCACTTTTATTATTCATTCCAATGATGAGATTTCAATTTTATCTTCTATGGGAGTGTCAGAAAGGAGATGGGGACTGTTCTGTATATGATTATTATTGTAATGTTATTGCGATCCCAGAATTCACTTTCAAATTATGTGCCGAATTCTTGTACAAAGTTTTTTTTTATTTTGCATTTTTTCGTTTTGACTTGCAAACAAAAATGCAAAAAAAATTATTATAATTCAGGCCAACAACAATATTCCACTTTTTCTTAATATATTCAGAATTTTTCGTGTATTGTGAAATTAGGGTGGATTATTGCCTAAAAAAAATGACAAGAAAAATTCGGTTCTGTTCAAAATATTTTGAATATCATGGTAAATGCTTAACGTAACATGATTTTTCGAATATAATCTTTGATAGTAATAAAAATTAAAATTCATTATTCATCATCATTCACATCTGTTAAGATTAAATTGATCTTGCAACAAAATTAGAGAAATAAATACAATCGCAAATCGCAAATAAAACACAATCAATATGTATGGAATATAAAATCATTGTTATAGTAATCAATTAATGTCATTGTTGTTTCATATGTCAAGAATATAGTACTCAATCTACAGTACATCATCATCGTTATGATGCAAGAAAGAAGAAAAAAACAATCATCAGCATTGACATTGGCAATGTACAACGGTAGTGGTTTTTTTTTCATTTATGGAACAAGGATTTTTGATAACTAAAAGTGAGAAATACAAGTGTGATCAAATCTGTCATCAATGATGGAAATAGCATACATATATCAACATCATAACATTATCATCATCACCATCAACGTATCGATAACAATAATGATGGAATGTCAACAGATCTATTGCAGATCTATTCAAGTGGTTTACTAACACACACACACACACAAAAGAGGGAATTTTGTTTGAGTCAAGTATCATTACCTACAACGCGCATTCCGGGAGTTTTTGACATAACGCGGATTTATGGATCATTTTTATCAGAAGAATTACCATGGAGCCTGATTAGTAGTTTCAATCAATCATCAACATCAATTTTTATTAATAACAGAAACAAAATTAACGTTTTCTAAAATCAAAACTTTTTTTGTTGCTCTCATTACGTGTATGAAACTAATGGTAAGGATTGTGTCTAAACATTGTTCAAATTTAAAATTTTGTTTAAATAAATTCATCTAGTTTGAAAATAAACAAACAACAGAAAAAACCGACTAACAATCATATATTATTAACTAATTATAAACATTGTAAAAGTGATTAATTAACACATCACGAACAACCAGAAAAAAAATGGAAACAACCGAAACAAAGACAAAAAAATGGCGTGAATCAGATGGAACTGAAGTAATTGAAACAACAACTATACGTAGAATTCGTCCAGCAAATGCAACTATGAGCACTGGAAGTAGTGGTGGTTCGGGTAATAGTGGTGGTTTTAGTTCAGGCCTGAAGCAATTATTACACATTCCATCATCCAAGAATAATACGAATGATTCCTCCAAAGACAATTATGACCGTAATCAATTCGAGAAAGATTCATTGAATCGACATAATCATTATCGAGCTAAGCATGGTGTACCTAATTTGGTATTATCTAAACAGGTAAGTACAATGGATCAAAATAGATATTATTAATCAGTGGATAAACCATAAAAAAGCTTTGTCAATATGCTCAAGAATGGGCCAATCATCTTGCTAAAAATAATTCAATGCAACATCGACCGGATAAGAAATATGGAGAAAATATCTTCATGAAAGGCGGTACCAATGTCACAATTCATGGTGAGATTTTATTGCCAATATAAAATACATTGTTCTAATAAACTAGAATTTTTTCTTCAATAGGAAATGATGCCGTCGATGCATGGTATGATGAGATTCATAAATATAATTTTAATTCACCGGGTTTCAAATCGGGTATCGGACATTTTACTCAAGTTGTTTGGCGTAAATCAAAACAATTGGGCATTGCATATGCTAAACAAGGTTCCTCAATCTTTGTGGTAGCCAACTATGATCCACCCGGTAATTATCAAGGAGAATTCAACGAAAATGTACCACGACCAAAATGAATGAAAAAAAAAATTGAAAAAGATAAATATGATAATGATAAAATGCTATAATCTTTGATATTCGTTGCCTAAATTACTAAGGCTATTAGAAATAATCAAGAAAAATACAAATAAAAATCAGAATGAAAAAAATTTTCATCCAATTTGCCAACCGATTTAATAGTCAGCCTATTTGTAAACAAAACAAAACAAAAATAAAATGAAAAAATATCGTTTATTCTGGGCGTTTGCATTTTCTTTCTCCACATTATTGAATGACTGGTGAATTGAACAGAGATTGATCGGAAATGTTTTTAATACCAGCAAAAAATGTATGATTTGGACAAGCAAAAATAACAATAACTATGGCATTATATATTTGTGGTTTGAACATATTCAGAATGAACAGACTGAAAATCATCAATAATTAATTTAAATTGAAGAATAATGTCGCAAGCAATGCTATTATCAAAAGACTGTCGATTAGATTAGGTTAGAAATTCTCATATATTCCATTATTCATTAGTGACAGATAATGATGATAATAAATGCCCATCAAGCAAACCAAAAACAAAACAATAATATGAATGAAATTTAATGATAGAGATAATATTGTGGCATAATGTGAATGATAAAAACCAGAATGTATTATTGATGTATATACAATTAAATGAGCTGAGAGAATCATCTAACATTAAAATTGGATGATTATGTTTGTCATTAAAGTGATAATAACAAAAGAAAAAAAAATATTAGCTACTTACATCCAAGTTCATCTTCATGAAACATTGAACAATCTGGTTGTCCATCACACCAAAGACTACGATGTACACGTATACCGGTCTGGTTGCATGTGACAAAATCTTTGTTTTGTTTCATTATCAAAAAAAAAAAAAAAAAATAAAAAATAAAATCGATAAAAAAAAGAAGGGATAAAATGCTTGAACATACCCATAGGATTGCATTGTTTCTCATCACTACCATCGATACAATCATTTTGGCCATTACATACACCATACGCTTGAATACATTGGCCATTATCGCATTTATATTCACCAAACCAACAGGCACGATGAGCTGAAAAGTGAAATAATAATATAAATCTCATTTAATTTGTTCATTTACCATCAAATAAATGTGAATATTATATGAATGAATACGAATGAATTTGAAACAAGAAAACCGGTCGTTTCAAAAAATCGACCAAGCGAATTCGTTATTATTATTGTTTTTTTTGTAGATCATTTTTTGGAACAAATATGATCTACAAAAAACTTTGTACATGAATGAACAATTTGCAGTGATAAAATATAGCTTTCGAACATGAAAACAAATTTTTATTCGCTTATGTTCATCATGTATATATACATAAAAGTCTAGCAAAACATTAAAGTTGATTGGATAAACACATTGTATTTTAATCCCGTGAGAAAGTGGTGGGTGAAAAAAAAAATAAAAGATAAAATTGAAACATTCCATGATGATTCTGTTGTTGTCCGCATCAACATTTTTAATTAAAAACCAAAATTAAAGAGGATAAAAACCCATATTATGATGAGAGGATTAATCATGCTGCCATAACCATGGTTGTGTTGCGTCATAATCATCATCAAGATGAGGAAAAAAAATCTATAAAAAAATTCCCTAGAGTAAATTGTTTTAGATTGAATTGTTTTCCTGTTTGGAACTTTTCCTTTGTGCTCAAAATCATATGCTGAAAATGAACTATAGTTTCGATCTTGGAATAGTGGTAAAGTGCATTTTTTCAAAATAACCCAATTTTCTATTTTTGAAATAGGCGATAATGAAAGGCCAAAGCCATTGTGTCAAGTCCATTTGCTAGAAGATTTATTTTGAATTCCGTTTCTACCATCATTCTCATTATTAGTGAGTGTGAATCAAAAGAGAGAAATTTCATTTTAATGATGATGATGATGATGACTGTCAAAAAGAATTAGTTTGCATGTTAAGAAAAACAAAAATCAATAAATTGATTTGAATAAAAACAAAATTTCAACACTTCCTTTTGCCATAAAAATTAAATGAAAAATAAAAAGAGTTCCAAAAAATTTAAGGAAATAGTTTTTAATCCATTTATTTTCCTTGAAATCATATTCCATTCACATTAATATTCGTTGTTAATTGTCTAACTGACTTTGAGAAATAAAAACCGTTGTTGTTGTTCCTGATTAATGTTTGGGATTATTTTCGAAAATGATCGTCATACATATTCACAGACACACATACACACAAACACACGGAAATAGATTATACACAAAAATGAGAACCAATACAGAGAGAAAATACATTTTAAACATATTAATGAATCAAAAATTATACTTACTACATGCTTCTTCATCCGAATTATCTCCACAATTGTCTTGAAAATCGCATACATTTTCCGTTGGTATGCAAAAATGGTTGTTACATTTGAAATGTGTTTCAGGGCAAACATACGTTTCTAATACAACAATATGAGACAAAAAAAAATAATGATAAATGGCTTTTATTTGAAGAAGATATGGAAATGAAAATATCAACACAACACAACCGATACAAACAAAATAATAATGAACAGTTGTTTTCGTCATTTGATGGTCAAATATATGAACCACACACAGGAATACATTACATCTTTCTGCTAAAAATAGCCTATAGGGTATATAATATCTAGTATGGGAAAAAAGCCAACTGATGATAGTAATGTAAATGATCCAGGAATTGGGTAAAACAAAACAAAAAAGATCAAAAAAAGGTATTCGATAAAAAGAGATAGGTAATTTGCTAAGCAATCCGAAAATGGATTCGGGAGTTTATTCGCAAATATTTTCATTTTTTTATTTTTTTTTTTTTTTTTTTAGATATTATGGTTTCCATCGAATCCAACTCACCAAGCTGCATGTAATGAGAATAAAATGGATTTGAATTTTTTTTTTTTTTTGCTGGGTATATATTCCATTTGAGTAAATGGTTGTCCATAAAAGAAACTAATACATCGAATTTCAAATCGATCAATCACGCAAACTATAAAGAAAGTATTTTCAATTTTCATCATATGATATGATATTCTTTTTTGCTTGCTATTTTCGAGAACATTTTTTGCTTTTATTCACTTTTACGCATTTGATTTTGATGATAAAAAATGTTTTATCTGATGACTGTGTGATGAACGATTATATCGATTGAAAAATAACATAAAATCAAAATAAAATTGAATTTTCACTATAAACGATTGATACATACCACAATTATTTTCATCGCCACCATCTTGACAATCGATTTTTGTATCACAACGTATCAGCAATGAATCAATGCATGTTTGATTACATTCAAATTCATGTTCCATACAACCTATTTTTATTTAAAAAAAAATATAAAATCAAAATCAATATCAGTTATGTTTCAGGTGTACAAAAAAGATGACAAGTCAGTGATGGCTTATTCACTTTAATCATGAAAATACATAAATTCGTACATAACCAAGAAATTTATTTTAAGCAATCATTACAGAATGCATAATTCATAGAAAATCTTGTTCAAAAAACGGCCAATTAAAATGCTAAGAAAAAAATTGTACATGAACAATTTTTCTTCTTTTTTTTCTTGGCTTAAACCTAATAACGAACATTCGTATAGCTTAAAAATACTTAAACTAAGAGCTTTTGATTTGTTTCATCATCAAAATCATATTTTAAAGGCTGTTGAAATCTTATTATATTCTATATTTTTGTTCATAACTTCCAATCGAATGGCGAGAACAAAAAACAATGGAAATGAGAGAAATGATTTAGATTTTAATGCTTTCACGGAAAATAGTAATCATAATCATTGGGTGGAGAATACACTGAAAAAGTTTCCAATTAAAATGAATGAATAAATTGTTTAAGCAAACAGGTAACAAGAATCACATTTTCATTATTGAACAAAATAACGATAATTCCAAAATATTCGAGCGAATTACTTGTTAATGTTTGGTAAATAATGATTATAAATAAATCGATAAATTCAGAGCTTAATTTTTTTTATATTTAAGAAATTGTTATGATAATTTGGAAAACTTGCTCGATTTGCTCTGATTAGTCTGATGATGATAAGAATTGTGGTACAATTTCTACCATATATAATGATGTCGATGAATATTGCACAAAAGAGAAAAATTGAAATGATGAATTCATTTATTTATTCATGAATAATTTAAACAAATCATCATCATTCATGTTGAGAATGGAATCATTCCACATAAAATACATTCATAGAATCATTATCAGAATTTGATTCTGAAGAGGAAAAGCTTTTGTTTTTCTCTATTTGCTAACCTGTAAAACAATGCAATTAAATGTGCTCATCGAATTATAAGTATTATAAAAAAAACATACACATACGCACACGAATTCTGAGAAAATGTGAAAGGAAAATATTTAATTCTGTTTTCTCAATGTCAAAAATATCAAATCGATTCATTTGTCTGAAAATTTATATGTCGTGCCATCGAATCGATTGATCGGATTAGAAAATTGTAAGCAGGAAGAGTAAGAGTGAATTTTATTATTTAATAACATTAAACCATCAACAATGATGGTGATGTCAATAAAAAATGGTTTGTTGTTTTTTGTTTTTGTTTTCATTGAATTATATTTAAAAAAAAACAAGTAAACATTTAGAAAATAAAATTATGAAAATTATAGACAATCATCAATTTCATCGATAGATAAAATGAAATCGATTGAGAATTAGTTTGATGCTTACTACAAATAATTACATTTCATGAACAAACATTGAATAAATTCAGAAAATGTCCAAAAAAAATAATAATTCGATGTGAAATAGTTTAGTTTTAATAATGCAATCAATTTTTTTCTCAACATTGAATCGAAAAAGTTTTCAATAAACTTGTAGGAATTCAATAATCAACCATTATTGTTTCTAAGAATCTATAGGGATTGGATTTTTTTTTCTTTTCTCAACTCTAAATTGAATTAAAAAAAAAGAACAAGAAAATTCATTTATTTGATCTTTATCAAGAATGGCAAACAAAAAAAAACTTATAACAAAAGCTTAATTGATTATTATGGCTTGAAAGAGCCGCGATTGATTTAAAGCTTTTAGGCTCAATTAAATTCGAAAAAAACCAGATCCAAAATCTGTTGAAGAGGGAGGGAATTCATCATTCTCTCGTAATTCTTGTAATTTAAAACAAACAAAAACAAAATGTAGCTAGTGATTTAAAAATACAAAAATCATCCATTAGTATTAATTTCTATTTTTATCTTGATTAATCTAAATAATGATGAATTTCAATTGAAAACTGGTGATGATTTTTTATGCTGCATAACTTCAAAAAAAAAAATACATACCGCACATTTCGATACTTTCATCGAAACCATTTGGACAATCGGAAACACCGTTACATTTGGTGTCTAAATAGAAACACGAATCATCGTAATCATCTTTACCGCAGGTGATTTTCACGTTGTTGCAAACGCTGTTGTTCACTGTTTTGTTGATGAACATGATTATGGTGTGAATGAAAATGATTATGGCTATGTCGATGAAAATGTTCAGTAGTTGTAATCAAAGTGGCTTGATTATGCTGTAAATAATAATAATTATGATCATTCTTAACATTGGGTTGCCATCGTTGTTTCAGTTGTTGTCGCATCAATTCACATAGATTAACATATAATTCATCTGAATGCGTTTCATCCGAATTACCATCATCATCCGAATTACTATCGATATTCATTTTATTGATTATTGAATCATCTTGTTTGGTACGATTTTTGATAAATCTTGTATTACTATAATCATTTAAATGAGAATCATCATAATGTTGAATAATGGAAATGTTATTATCATTCTTTGTATCAATGGTCGACATTGCAAATGTCATCATATTGGTCATGATTAACATAATGGACAATACAAAACATGTGTGATAAAAAGATCGATGACTTAGATGAGCAAAATAGATTTGATAACTTTTCACTGAATTAAGTAGCCATTGATATTGATAAATATGGTGATGAATTGTTGTACAGCAATAATAATAACAATATCGGCAGCAATCGATAAGATAAATCACAGAAAATTGTAGTAATAAATCTATAATATTGTGAATAGAATAAGTAATAAATAATATTAATAAAAACAAATTACAATTTGTCGTTTAATTTTGATGTTAAGAAAATTGATCATTAACAAATGTGAAAATCAATTATCGTAAAATGAAAACAAAAAAAATGTTGAAAGATTATTGATTATTACACTTGAAAAGATATAAATTGATAAAAAATGGAGCCTTTCAAAAAAAAGAGAGAAACAATTCTTTTTATTTGCGACAAATAAATTTTTTTTATGATCATTATTGTTTTTTTTTCTAATACATAACGTACAACTAAAAAAAAAGAACATAAGAACATAATGTTGGAATCATTTGAATCATCAAAATTTCAACATTGTATCATACTGTAAGAGCACTTTGTACATTGTATTCAATCTCTAACAATATCTAAACAAGGTTAACAAAAAAAAAAAAAGGAAAAATAAAAGTTTTATCTAAGAGGAAAAAAAACTTATCGTTCCAAGGTTACGAGAAAATTGTCAAATGTCTGAAAATAGAGTCATCATTTTTTTTTCTTTCGCAGAAAGAATCCAATCAAATTGATAATGGGAATCTTATATTTTGTGAACAAAATTTTGATACATAAAATAGTAGAAAAGAATGAATTTTCAAATCATATCACAGAAATGTGTAAATTCACACTCGAATAAACATCAAGATCGATAATGATAAAAGAAAATCTATATCTAAAAATAATTCGTATCATCATTACATATGTCTGTGTTAAATATTTTAATTTGCTCGTTATACTGGAGGCAAGTTTTTTTTCATGTCATCTGGTACATGATTACAAGAATATCCTCAAAACGACAATACTAAGAACATAAAGTAAAAGTAAAAAATAAAATGTAAAAGGAAAGTTTTAACAAAAAAAAAAAATTGAAAAAAAATTTCACCTGATAAAAGTTGAAGAATATAAATCATATTTTTTTCATCATCATCATATAGATTTAGATAAAAAAGATGATGTTAATAATAAAACAAATTACGATGAGTGAAAAAATTCTTGTGAAGCGGCTGCTACTATTATATGTTTCTATAATATTCTTGATCGGACCGATAAATATAATTTTTGTTCCAATCAACTAGAATTCTATCACGCATATCACACATATAAATACTGAAAACATTATGGTGACAGAATTGGTAAACATAAAAAATGGGTACATATGCTATGGATGTATTATGCGATAGATGAAAGTACATAGATAGAATAGAGAAAATCTCATCAATTTTGCAGTTCTATCGCAAGAATATGAAAAAATAGAAAATCGAAGTTTTCTTCTGACGTCATTTTTTTATTCTTTTTTTCTTTTTTTTTTATATTTTGAACAAAAAACTATTTATAAACAGCACCAGAGATGGAGCATATACTTGTGTATTGAAAAAAAACTATGTTTAAAATGGATTTTTTTTTGTATTTTTCAAATTTATGAATTATAAAATCACAATTACAAGTACAAAATACATGTGTAATTGTACTTGCTTGTAAATGAAAAAAAACGTATAGGATTAAAACATATATATATATGACAATGATGATCCACGTGGAAAAAAATTAGATTGCTTCTAATTAAATTGTTTTCATTTTGTTCTCATTTTTTTTGTCTTTAATTAATATTTTTTCATTTTGTGATTGTTGCAACAACATTTATTAAGATTTATTTCAATCTAATTTTGGGAACAAATTCAATATAGTGTTATTTGATTATCGACAAAAACAAATGAAAATGAATAATATAAAAAAAAAACAAATAGACACATTGGATTGGATAAGTAAAATTGATAAAAATTTGTAGTTTGAATTGAAAAAAGCATAAATTCTATAGAATCATTAAACACACGTTTATTTTTAAAAGCGTTGAGAAATTTTTTTTCTTGATATTTTGGTTATTTTCTCATCAATTTTGATCTACTGTGGAACAAAAAAAAATCGTCATTAACTAGAATAAAAAGTTGAAAATTTAAGCTTTAAAATTTCATCTTTTTTTTCTCAATGTTAAAATTTTTTTTTTAAAAAGAATTTCAAGTCATTAAATTCAGGTTTACTGATCGATCGATTTAATGTCTGTTGATGATGATCGATGATTGTCAAGTCTTTTTAGCAATCAATTAATATATAATTCGTTTTGGTGTGAAAAATATTGTGATTGGTATAAGTATGAAAAAAATGTGAGAAAAAAAATAAATCTAAAAGAACCATTAGCCATCAAATTGCAATTCATATTAATAAACCTACAATATATACTATATCATAATGATCACCATTATCATATAAAAAGAATGAATTTAAAAATTGTCGATCCTTTTTTTGTCCAATTGAATTGTATCGAATAGAATCGATCGACCAATCGATATAGGGTTCATGCGAAAACGAATTGTCCTAGAACAAAAAAAAAACTTGGGATCAATGAAGAAAAAAGAATCAAACAACCGATCAATCATCAGAATTTTTCCAGTGAATATTCATTGAATATTCAATTGTTTTTTCTCTCCATTTTCCTTTCAAGCGTTTATTCTTGATTGTTTCAAACAACAAAATGAGAATGAAAATTAAGCAAAAAGATACACACAGCTATAATGGAGACCGATGGCTATAATAAATTCTTTCAATATTTTTTCATCTGTAAAAAAAATTCCAGATGTACTATTCATTAAAGAGAATTGAGCAATTCCTTACTATGCACAAAAATGACTGCAATAGTTTCAAATGAATTTGAACAGAGAAGAAGAAAAAACATACAAATGGTATGATGATGGCACACAACAAGCAGAGATTTAAATACAGAATAAAAATTGACATTAGTATGCGTTGGATACCATCTTTCATTGTGCAAATACGAAATATTATTTTCCACAGAATTTTGTTCGTTGTTTGAATGTCAATTTTATTAACAAGATGAAAATATGTACAAACACGATATGATCATCTATTATTAGTAAGCATTTGTAGAATTGTAAATCTATGGTTTCAAGTTCAAAAAGCCAAAAAAACAACAGACCAACAATTGAAAAAGCTCTGTTTTTCATACCATAATAATACAGAAAACGTAACTAAAAAGAAAAAAACAAAATGATCTCTTATGTGTAATTCAAATACGAATCAAATCAAAACAAAATAAAATGAAAACAAGTACAAAGAAAATCAAATTCTATGCACGAATGTCTGTGAAGCATATAATTAGTTGGTAAATAAACGTGCAAAAAAAATTGAAAAAAATAATTCTGGTAAAGAAGATTAAAAATAATTAAATCAAAGAATTGAGAAAAAAAAAAAAAACAAAAATGGGCTAGCATCATTAGCTCAAAAATTTGTTTTGCTTATTTTTTTTTATTTTTCTATAAAAAATTTTTGAAAAAATCGATGGAAAGCAAACCGATTAACAATAACAAATAATTTGCGTTTGATGACATAATCGATAATGATGGTAAAACTGACATACACACACACACACACCACATTAAATTCGAATGTTAACATCAGAAAAAAAAATCGAAAAAAATGGAATGAAAAGAGGATTGCATCAAACAAATTGTCATCAAAGAAAATGATAATCTTATTAATTTGTAGACAAAACAAACAAACATTTAATCGTTAAAACAAAATGAAAAAAAATAAGAAAAAGAAAGTTGAATCAGATCCAATTTCAATGATTTCAAACATCAGTCATGTCGTAAGCAGACAATCGCTGTATAAATATAAGTCAAGTGGTTTCATCGTTTACAGCAATGGATTTACAGTTTTGTTTTATTTTGTTCCGAATTTTTTGTTTCCTTCTCCAGTTTTTTTTTCAAATTCCTTTTTTTCCATTAATTTGACCAATGTTAAAAGCGGTTTAGTGATCATGTTCTCATTTATATATCATGTGATAGCAATTACTTTATAGATTATAAAACTTACCAAAATTTGTTCGAAACTTTGACCATGTGAATGAACAAGTCTTCTCATGAAATGGCTGTAAATAATCGAGATAGTGAAATTTATTGAAGCAAAAAAATTTTTGAAAAATTTCAACAACAACAACAACATAAACAACTATGTCGATGACGATGACAAAAACATTTCGATTATTCGTTAGTTTCAGTAACTGAAAAACAGGTATAAATTCCAAAGTCCATGTACAAAAAAATAAAGAAAAACAACAACAACAACAACAAGGACATCGAAATGGACAAGGCACATGAAAAAGGACTGTCCAGATATCTATGGTTTGAATCATGTAATATTTGTTTGTTGTTATTGTTGATAGTGATGCAAAAAGCTTTGATGATGACGATACAAATACATGATGATGATGTAATAACAAGAATGATAGCCAAAAGAAAATCAATCATTCGGTAATAATAAACGAAAATGAATATTGAAAATGAAATGAAAAAAATAAACGAAACAAACATAGAAAACAATGTAGAAAAAGAGAACCATACAAATGAACGACGAAAATAACAATGAAAACATGAAGGAAAAAAGGTACAAAGAAAAAATAATGGCAGATGGACAACGAACAAAATCTTTTTAGACACGGCAAATAAATCATGATGATAATGGTGGCTGTTGATAATCATATTATTATTATATTGAATGTTATGGTAATCATTATAATAACTGTAACAACAATTGAAAACGTGGGAAAATATTTGTTCAATACGATTCATTGATAATGGATTTGATTTGTTTACATTAATTATGATGGCCATTTTGACCAATGAATGAAAATTATATTTTTTTGTTGACACATGAATATTCATAAAAAATAAATAAGTTATATTGAAATCTGAAAATTATGAAAGAATTAAAGTATCCATTATCATTGAAAACATAAAAATGCTATCTATAAATGAAGATAATACGAAACAACAGAAAAAATTGGTAAAGAAATTTGTCGTCTCACGCCGATGAGATCAAATAAACAACTGAAAGCAAAGAAGAAAAAAAAAGAATTCTCCATTTTAAAGACGACGACGACGACTACCCAACCATCGACCATCATCATCATTGATGAGATCATGAAGACATGCATGCTTCTGCGCAATGATTGAATCAGCTAAAAAAAAATCTTGGTTACTTTTTGTTCAATATATATAAAGGCATCATATTTTGGTGGCAATTTATTTAGCTTGCTTACGCAACCTTGTAATCTTACATCATCATTTTTATGGATGTAATGACAACAAAAACTGATAGAAAAAAAATTGATGATGAAATTGATAGTGAGAATAATAACACAAAAAAAATCCATCAGTTCATTTAAACATTATTTCAAAGTGTAAAACACTTAAAGAAAAAAAAAATAATGACAGGGGTTTATATTTTAGTCAAAGTTCTTCGATAAACTGTATATTATATGTCCGTAGGTTACATTCTGTATGTAAAAAGAAAGAAAAAAAAAGAATCCAACTTGTAATACATGCAAGAAACCTAGAATTATATAACAAAAGCAATAAGGCTATTTTACAACGCGTTTCACACTCAGACACACACACACAAATAGACATAAATCTGACAAGCAAGCATGTAGTTGAAAAAAAATCTTAAAGATATTGGTCTAATTTGAAGAAAATGGTGAGCAAATAAAAATAATGATAATAACAAACTGTGAAACAAAAAAAAAAAGAAAGTGTTTGAAACAAAAATTTCTTTCAAAGCAAATACAATTCGGACATCACCTGTAATGTTTTATTTTTTCAAAGAATTAATACAGTCGAGTTTACATTTAAGGGACATTTTTGCATATAACGATAGTGGCACAAAACAGCACGAAAAAGAGAAGAATTCAAACAATGATTTCAATAGTATAAAAGTGAGACTAAATGGTTAGTTGCACTTGTGATGACTTGTTATTGGTAGTACAATGAAAGGCAGGAAAAAAAAGACCATTGACACAAACACATAACGGGACAAACTTTGATATTATCCAAATTAAATCTTGTATATAAGTACTAATACAACAACATGAACAGAACGTGAAGAAAAGAAAAACAAAACAAATCGAATGATCATATCAAGTGGTTGACGACAATGAGATGATAGAATAATACTTTTGTTTTTGGTTTCAGGCAAACATTTATATATGTAGATGAAAGATTTGAATTGAGGTTTTTTACCGGGAAACGAATGCTCGTTTGTATTAGTGTGTGTGTGTATTCGATACGAGAAAAAAGTTACAATTTAGTGATAGATAAGTAAGTAGTTTTATAAACGGCAAACATTGTTAAATGTGGAAATGAATTGAATTTAATTATTCAATCTATAAAATGTTGGTTTTACTTGAAAACATTTGATGAACATGAAGTAAGAGAGAAAATAGGATTCTATCTGAATTGATTATTTTTATTGGTGGATAATAAATAATTGGTTTAGTGATTTTGGTTATATTTTGGTTATACTTTTTTTTTATTCTTTGATCATCGTTCTATAATCATAATATTGATTCCAAAAAAAAGTGATATATACTAATTATAACATTTGAATCTCATATACCGGTAATCACGATACAATTGGCCAGAAAATCAATAAAGATTTAATAATGATTTTCATTCCGAACAAATTGAAACAAATGCTAATGAAGAATGAAGAAAAATGCAGACCATAGTTCTGGTCATGAAAAAAAAGTGTACGAAATAAATTTTCTCCAGAAAAAAAGTTTTTCGTCCACTTTTATTTTGGGTACATTGAAAGCAATCACGTCATAAATTTGTACCCATTTTCATCACACATGTACAAACTAAAACTTGACCGAAAAACGTAACATTTAAAAAATATAAAATTCGGACTAATTTTTTTTTTGGGGGAATTTGAGCATCAACAAAGGAATAAACAAACAAACGAATAAATAAACAAACAAACTAAAATATTATAGTAGAAAGAGGCATTTCGAAATTCAGCAATATTTTTCCTCAATGAATATTTTCTCATTAATGTTATTCATAATAATAATGTACAATACATTCATACTATTCACATGTAAATTTATTCTTGTTTCAACAATTTTTGTATTAAAAAATATCTTCCGGATAGAATAAAATATCCGGCCATATTCTGAACGCTATTTTTTGTTGCTTTATTTTTGGATTAGCTTTGATTTTTTGAAATTTTTGTTATTCAATAATGGCTATTATATTTTGATCATGATGGATATTGTACGTATTGTTTTGTTGATATTGTTTCAGTTATAATAATTCTGGTTTTTCACTGAAAATATTCAAAGAAACTTTTCTTCTTCTTTTTTTTTGTTCCGTCAAGAGGAAATAAAAAAAAAATCAGATTATTAGAATCTAACTACATCATGAAAGAATCACTTTGAAAAAAATAGCCACATCAACATGTCATGTCATGTCATGTCTATTGATTCTTATGGCAAAAATGTTGACAAAATGGCATAAATAGAACGGAAATACAGTTGAATCAAGATAACAACAATAAACAAAAAAAATGGTTAACACTTAACCAAAATCAAAGTCGAAACGATTTATGGTATACATAAAGAATATAAACAAGCAAACATGAACGTCTACAACAACATCATACATTTATTTCAAACGAATATTTGACCAAACCACTACAATAGTGAATTCAGTGTTTCAATTTTTGTTTTCTCATGAGATTTATTTCATAGTTGAAATACTGATTTATTGTGTTTGATATAAATAGATGTGTATTGGTTCTTTTAAATTCCAATTCAAGTTTCAATTTAATTAAAAATTCATGATTCTACATAACACAAACTTTCGAAACAATGAATCACCACTATATTTCAATCAATTGTAACCAACTGTGAAAAATATATTCAATTTTTCCTCTTGACTTGCGAAAGAATATTGTCATTGGTTTTCATTTTCATTTTTTTTTCTATTGGCAACGACAATATTTTTTCCTATAATAATGATAGTAGTCCCAAAAGAATTTCATTTGTGAATTTTTTTTTTGTTATTTGAAAAAAAACTCATTCATAAAGTTGATATATATATGAAAAAAGAATTTTTCTAAACCATATGCCCCATTTTAGTGATGAATATAAGATTGATAAATAGATAAATAATAACAAAAGAAAAAAAAACTTTTTTTTTATGCCTTAAAAATGAATTTTTATCTACTGGGCAGTATCCGGATGGATGTTTTGTTCGAATATGTTCAAAAAAAAAAATGGAATTATCATCACCGAAAGAAAGGTGGAAAAATTTCTATAAAAAAACACTACTATTCAAATACATAATACTTGAATAGATAAGATAGTAGAGAGAGTGAGAGAGAGAAAAAAAATTCAAGGATTATCATTGAAATTGATGAATGAATTTGCAGCTATAACTATTTCCAGAAACAACATTGAAAAAAATGGCTAAAAAATTGAAATATCTTATTCATAGTGTTCAATGTACAATGTGGCATATATCTCATCATCATAATAATAATGGAAAATGCATAATAATGAATAATGATTTCATGACAAACACAAACATCAAACAGTAAAACTGATCAAATCCGAATTTAACAAAATAAACATACGAATGTATATAGTATGTTTATACTGAATTAATGATTGATCTATCTATATATATGATGACAAACTTGCAAAAACAAATTCATTACAAATGTCAACATTAATTCGAATTCATTTATTTAATTGCAATCAAATGAATATAATCTTTAATCCTAATCTTTGTTAGTTGATTTCTGTTTTTGTTGTTGTTGTTGTTGTTGTTATTGTAATTATGTACCAAGATGTTGGTTTTATTTTCAAATACAAAAACAACAAACAAGCAGGAAAAAAAACAGAATAAATTCCGATAAAGTAAAAAAAAAATTGTGAAATGTACTATCATTATAGTGTGGTCATCAAATAATGATGATGAGAATAATAAGAATTTGATGATGTACATGAACTTGTAACAAAAAAAAAATCAACAAAGTTGACACACACAACACACACACACATATATACCGAAAAATAATTAAATGAAGCTGAAAGAAATACATTAAACAAGAGCTAAATCTATCATGATTCTTTACCATCACTGAACATTGTTCATTTTGAATTATTGTACACATTTACCAGAGAGAAAAAAAAAAAAAGAGCTACATTACATGATTATCGCATCACTATGTCGGTTAAAATTTGACAATAAACATTTTGTATACAGTACATTTTGGTTATGTTCCAAAATTGATTTTGAACGTAAAGCGAAATAACGTTAATCGAGGCAGTGTATTATACTGTATATATGCAATTTAAGTCAACCGTTTTTTGTTCACGTTTGAAACCCCTGCCTTTATTTTTTTTTCTGCTTATAGAAACAATCGCTGTTAACTTTTATATTTCATTAATAAAAAAAAAGACAAAAATTCTTGAAAAAACAAGGATGTTGTTATAGATGGTGATGATGATGATTCGAATCTTTGGTCATTTCATTTTATATTACAAAAAAAAATACGAGAAACAACAAAAAATTAATAAATAAGTAGATAAAACAAAAAAAAGTCCATTATTTATAGGATATGAGATTATATGTACTTATTACTTGTACATTTTTTTTTCATTTTGTTGAAAAGATAAATAGACATTAGATGGATGGATAGAAGAAGGATGGACAGGTCTAAAAATAAATAAACAAAAAAAAAAAATTATTTGGTCAGTATGAGAAGGATTTTTTTTTTGCTAATAACAACTTGAAATGTGAAACGAAAATGAAAATGACACGAAACGTGACCTGTAATTTTGATGATGATGAAATATTTTTATTTATTTTTTTTTGTCAAAAAAAAACCATTCTCTCATATATATATGGAACAATTGAGTGGATGGAGAATATGGAGTTTGCACTTGTCATTCTGTGGTTCAATATCCGGAAAGGAAATCTTTTTTGGATAAAATAGGCAATATATTGTTTCCATAGACATTGTTATTTAGTACTAAAAGGGAAAATATCAATGTCCCTTTAGGGTGAATATAACGAAAGTCTTAAACAAAAAAAAAATACAATAAAACAGACGTGTCTAGTCGGAAATATATGTAGGTAGAGTATACCTTGATGGCATTTTTTATCAATTCTACTTTCATTCAGACAACAACATATGAAAGGCGGTGGTGTCAAAATTAAATTTGAAGTTTAAAAAAATTTGAATTCATATCATTATTGCAGTTGTCGATTGTGGATGATGGTTTTATTATTATTATTATTGAATCAGACAATCAGAATTTGAATTCGAATTCGAAACAAAGTATTTTTTGTTATTCGAAAGTTGGAACGAAAAAAAAAATTTTGACATTTAAAATTTTTTTTTATTTTTGGTTTTTCAGCTCAAGTCAAAAAAAAAAAAAAAAAAAGAAAATCGAAATTCTCTTTATTTTGAAAGTCTGGCACCTGAAAATTTCAATTATGGCTACGGTGACAGACTGTGATGGGAAAAAAAGTTTAATTTAATAAAAAGAACAAGAATGAAGCAAACGAAAAAAAAAAATATAAAGAGAATAGTGAAACATCTTTTTGGATGAATTGAAAGTTTTAGCATTTATACTGTTACCAAACAATGAACACAAAAAAAAATAATAATTGATCAGACATCGATTTATTCGATTGAATGGATAATCATTCGATTGTTCATCAATGATGTATAGTATACGATATAAACAATAACGACAACCAAAAAAACCGAAAAAAGTACAATCAATTGTTGTCATTTGATGTTTGATAATCAAAGAAGAAGAAGAGAAAAAAAGGAATTTGTTTTCATAAATGATGGATGGATTGAGCACAGACAAAAGAAAATTTAATGGATAATAATATAAAGGATGAATGACGATATATTTTTTTGTGTAATAATCACTTTGAGAAAGAGAGAAAAATAGAAAACCAAGAATGTATTTCGTATAGCGAAAAATAGATGGCATGCACATATGCAGTAATAAATTCATCATCAAAAACAACACACTGTGGCAGCGTTTTTGAAACAATCAACAATGTGAATTTGAATATTATCAAAATATTGCTCGAATAATAATAAATTGAATTGTTCTATATATGCATATAATCAACCAATTTAAACACTACGTACGTATATAGCATTCGGATGAATCATCATGTGAATTTGTAATAAATTGTTTGAATCATCATTGAGTTCAAATATGACATCCATAAATCATTCATTCATCATTTATAAATGGTCGATGATACCATACTTGGATAATAATAATAATAATGTTGAAATTTCCATATTTGATTACAATTTGTTTCTATTTTTTTTTGTTCATGATGATGATGATGAAAACTTTATATTCCAAAAGTATTTTTGATCAATTTGTAAGTTTTTTTTTTAATTAAATCTCAATCAATTCGATTTTTTTTTCTCTGTTTACAAAAAATGATAACTTTTTAGATTTTTGTTTTTTTTTCACATTTATTTCGAATTGTAATTTTTTTCTTATCTTTGAAAATTCTCATCATCTCTTATCTCGGTGGCAATTTTCAAAGATTAAAAAAAAAATTCCCCAGAATTTTTTATTCATTGATGTTTTAAAATTATTGTTAAGACAATTTCAATTGTATCTGTTGTCTGTGTCTGTCTGTGTGTGTGTGTGTGTCTGTGTTTGTTTGTTTGTTTGTTGTTTTTCATAATTTCTAAATTTAGATCATATAAAAACATCAAAAATTTATACATGACCAAATGAAAGATAAGTGAGAGATAGAGAGAAATCAAGTAATGTTGGTTTTTTTTTCACTTTCCAAAAAAAAAAAATTGTTGATTGGCAATGCTGATATTATATAACATTATAACCTACTACAACTACTATTATATTTATGTATACACACCAATCTTGAGATGTGAATGATGTTTATGAGAATCTTTTTTTTTCGCATCATCATCATCATCATCATCATCATTATTATTCATAATTTTTAAGATATCGTAATAATTATTCAACAGCAGTGAAAAAAGAAGAAAAAAAAATCTGAACACAAAAAAATAAAGTCAATGTTCTTGTTATACTATAGTAAACTCTTGTTTTCTTGGAAATATTATTATTTTTATATATTAAACATTACACACACAGTTATTATTAATAATTAATCATCATGATGATTATCAATGTTGGTTATTGCCCTGGTTTCTATGAAATTATTTGTTGATTTTTTTTGTTTTGTTTTGAATGAAGGTTTTGTCATTGAAAAAAAAAGATTGAAAATCAATTCAAACAAATCAAGGTTAGTAGAATTGTATTCAAAATGTCAACAAACAGTATTGATTGACTGAATAATCCTATTGTTATTTATTGTTGTTTATCTCATCAAATCATCATCATCATCATCATTATTATTATTATTATTTAGGATGATTTCAGGGATGTAAAGAAAAATGGATTGAGATTGTTTATATATATTCAAATTAGAGAAAAATATAGAAAGCTATTTTTGGTCATATCTGAACTACCAACCCCAGAACAAAACAAAACAAAAAAAAAACACATTCTCACTTTAATCTCTGGACACTGGACTATACACCGCACAGCACACCTTTTTTTCATCAAAAAAAAAAAAAAAAATAGATTGCTACATACACAGCTCTCGGTTCTTTAATCGAACACCATTGGATATCCAAATCAAGATAAAAATAGATCGACTTGATATGTTTGTGTGTATGTGTGTGTGTGTGTGAGAATGGTCAAAGCATTTTTCTTTCATGTGAATGATGATTATGATATAGCCATGTTGATGATGGTTATGATCATTTTCATAACATCATAAAACCAAATCTACAAAAGTGTTCCTTTCTCTCTCTCTCTCTCTCTCTCTCTCTCTCTCTCTCTCTCTTTCTTTCTATATCTTGCTCTTGTTTTCCATCAAAATTTGAATGTAATGATTTGATCACATACACACACACACTCTTATTTTTTTTTCTGATCATAAGAACCTGAATGACCAACAAGAGCATTTGACCAGCGATCAGAAATGTAAAGAACAGAAATCTATTTTCAGATTTCATGTTATTCCTTTTTGCTATCCCCTGTATATACAACTCTATTACATTAGTTTAGACATATGTTAAAGTAAAAGAAAGAAAAATGTATTTTTTTTCTGAAAAAAAATGAATCCGATTTATGATCGAAAATGATGACCGATCTGATGACAAAGAAACAAGTTCAACCCTTTATTTGATTTGTGATGATGATAATGATGATAACATTTCAAATTTAATCAGACCAAAAAAATAAATATGGATCATCCCCTTGACATAACTTAGTTTTGAATGATGAATGAATGGATTGTTGACATATACAAACACACACACACACACAAGCAGAGAATAGTCCAAAAATTTTATTTTCTCATAATGGATCAATGAACTTGAATTTTGAAAAGAAAAGCAAAAAAAAAAAAAATTTGAATGAATGAATGCATTTATATGTGTGATATATATAATTTATAGTTTTCTTTATTTATTTGTTCATTTGACTATTCAATTTTTTTTCTGTGTGGTTTAGGTAATTTTATTTGTTGTTTTGGCTATTATTTATTATGATTTATAATAGAAATTTAATCTCTTGAACACGATATGATCGGTTAGTAAGATGATGATGATGATGATGTTGTTGAGATCATTTATACCCAATCACGAAATACGCAACATGATAAGTGAATTCGGATGAATTGGAAAAAAAAATCCTTTCTTCCCCCTCCTCTCCCCTCAATGAAATTGTTCACTTGAATCCTTTTTGTAATCACAACCACGCGTAAAGGAATAAAACAAAAACAATAGAACAAAATAGAAAAAAATGTTTTGACTGTTGAGAATGCAAAAAAAGGCATTTTTTTCCAACGAAACAAAAATTTAATAAAAAAAAATCTTCATAGGCCAAAATATTAGTGCCCGAAACAAACGGAACGAGTAAACGGAATTTTAATTAGCTCTTTTTTTTCTAATAGTATCTAGCGATTGGTCAAGACTGATTGAATGAATGGCTGGCTGCTGCTGCCTGACTGTTTTTCGTTTCACGTACCATTGCACATTGTGTATTTATAATTCGAGTTTTTTTCTTTCTTTCTGATTACCCAAACCTAAATAATGTAGTCTCTAATTCATTGATTTTGCAATCATCTCTTTTATCTTGTTGGTTGATTTATTCGTCATCTGTTAAGTGGAAAAAACTGATTATCATTTACGATTTTTTCTTTTTTTTTCATTGATTTACGATTGTATTGAGTTTTTTTTTCTGGCTTAAAGCCGACTTTCACTCATCTGACATTTGGAATGGCTGACTGATGATGATGATGATGATGATAACCGCAACGGGCATTTTAACTTCATTTTTTTTCTTCACTTGTCGAGTATTTCTGTTCTTAAATGGGTGAAAAAATCTAAATCCGGTTTTAGTGCATGCATACGGCACGAGATGATTGTTTATGGAATCATTGGATTTATAAATATAACGATGAATTTCTTTCGATATTTAATTTACATTTATCCATAATGAATGATATATCAAATCCATAGGACACACACACACACATATATATGATTAACCTAGATTGTGAGAAAAAAAAGAAAAAACACTGTAATCCAATAGGAATTCATTTAACCGGCATTCATTTTTCCGGTTACCAGATCAATACGATCAAATAACTGGATTTTTTCCATCATTTATCATTGTATCTAATAATGGCGATCTTATCAAATGAAAAAGACCTAGAAATTTCAATCACTTAATCTGACTTTCATCTGTGTGGTTTTTTTTTGCACTTTGATTCGAATAAATAACCCTGATGGTGATGATGATGATGATGATAAATTAAATTCCAAAAAAGATGATATTTTTATATATTAATGGCCATTTATGGAACATTCATGCTCATCATATATCGTAAGACAAGATTAGCCAATTGATGATTTTTTTTCTGTGTTTTCTCTACATGTTTTTGTTCTCTTTTCATTTTTTAAAAATTTCAATTTACGCAAACATCTATAGTCACATCTATAAAGATCATCATCAACAGTAATTCAGATGGTGAGAGAGACAAACAATATCAGAGTGAATTGAAAAGAGAACGAAAGTTATTTGAAATGAAAAGAGATTTTTTTTTTTTTTTTTTGATGACTGGAATATTGCGGTCTATATTGACTAAGTTATTCGGTCAGTCAGTCAGTGATTTGTTATCCATTTCATTGGTTGAGTTTTTTTTTGATGAATAATTATGATTTTAATAATGACGATGATCCGATTGTCATAGATGATCATTATCGAATCATAATTATTGTGAAGATCTAGAAGAAAAAAAAATTCAACACCAATCTCATTATTTTGATTCATTTTCGTTTCACCATAATTCATGTGTACCATCAAATCATGATGCTGTTGGTATCTTGATAAGTTTTTTTTTCACTTCTGTATATCGAATTTTATTCATTTGATTTTCTATCAACAAAAAAAGTAGCAATTCATAAAGCATTCTTTTCTTGTTTCTTTTTTGTTCATCATCATCATCATCATTATCATCATCTGGAACACATCGTGTCTACTTCATTTAAAAGCAAAAAAAAAAATTCATTCAAGATAACCATCGTATTCACACACGCACACACATACATACACAAACACACATAAACGACAATGGTTCTTCATCAAAGGTAATAAATAATTTTTTTTTTTTTTGTTCATTCAATTTGACATACATTTAAACGTAATTGAACCGTCGAAAACGTCATTAGTTCACTGTTTCGAAACAATCATCAACAATTTTGTTGTTGTTGTTGTTGTTCATTCATTCATTCATTCATGTTGTTGTTGTTGTAGTATTTGTGCTAGTGAATTTGTGTGAAATTCAAATAAAAAAAAATTGATCAACAATTTCAAAAAGATAAAAAAAACCTCAAGCCTTACCACTCATCAGCAGAAGAGGAACCTGTTTCATTGATTGAATGAAGAAATGATGATGAAATAAATCATAGATAATGATAATAAAGAGAGCAAGCAAGCAAGTCACAGGGCCACAAAAACAAAATTGAACAAAATTCCTAAATTCTTGATTTTCACATGTTTTATTTTTGTATAACACAATCTCAACCATCACAGGCATTTTTTTTTTGCTGCTGCTGCTGCTGCTTTCATGTGATATAACCAAGGTCTAGATGGTCAAGTTTCAGATTTCATAAAAAATTTGTTGTTTTTTTGCCGTAGTTTACATCTGATTTGTGTGGCATGTGTAATGTAAGCTTTATTTTTTTCCCTTACGATATTGTTTTCAATTTCATTGTCGATGTCCATTTTTTTTTTTTTTTTGATTGTGGATCTATAATTCTCTTCAGCTCTCCACTATGTTAAGTAGATTAAATCTTAATACTCATGAAATATGGACGTTTTGGTCATCTAATTGACCCAAAGTGCCCTTGTATAAAACAACTTATATCTAGTCAACAACAATCCAACAATTTCATATGTTGAAGAGAAAATTATTAATAACGAAAACGACAAAACAAGATTGCTGAACAAAAGGCCTACTTCATCCAATTCGTTGCAATGACAATAAGAAAAAAAATTTTCAATCGATAAAATAATAAAATAAAAACGGAAGTTTCAAGATTGATGCTGACAGGCAAACAAATAAAATAACAAACAAATGAAACACATGAAACGATACTTTTGGCTAATTTACTCTCTGATTTGGTTAAAACGTGAACTTAAATGACAAAACATTTGAATGATGGTGGGCTATACAATGCTTCCGTCGTATTTTGATATCACGTTTTGATTGTGACATGTATCAATCAATTTCTAATCAATTTTATTCAATATTCATTCATTGTAAATTTATCAAATAGATTGCTTTGGCTTTACATTCGTCATTATTGATATTGTGAATTTTTTCGTCACGATCAAAAATTTAAATTACCGTGATAGGTGTGGAAAGTTAAAATCTGTTTTCACTTCTAAAATTTTATATAATTTTAAAATCTAAATATTTATGCCATTTCATTCAGCGTTTCCTGACTGTTCTCATGGAATTATTAATTTTTTTTTCATTTCCTACTTTAGATCATTGGTGGCAAATATGTTACCTCATCGGACGCCATTCACAATAATTATAGCCATTTTAGCTGCCGTTATCATTGGTTCATCTGCCAATAGCCAAGATAATAGTCATCATCATAATAAAAATGACGAAATAGTGAGCTTCGAGTTGCCCACCGAAACCGAAACCGATACTCATACTCATCATAATCAACAACAACGACAATCGCAAGTTCAACATCTGCATCATGAAATATCGCCACCGATCAAGCGACAAATTTCAAATAATCCTAACTATCAATATTATAATCTTGAGCTGCCAAATACAAACACTACGAATTTTGTAAGTTATTAGCAAATTGTTGTCGAGATTTAATTTAATACAATTTCATTTTATCATTTTCATAGCAATTACCACCTGTTGAGGATCATTTTATCCATTATCATCAACCACAATCACAGCCTTCACGTGATCAAACACAGCCGCAACCTGTTCATCGTCATCATTCACTTTCTAATCATCATAATCAGCAGCCACAACAAGCGCAATATCATCAACCACAGCCACAATATATCCAACCACAATCACAATCGGCTAGCAACCAGGATCAATTCAATTCGATTCGTCGTTATCCACAGTTTCAACAAAATCAACCGCTAACAAATAATGAGCCATTGATTTCAGTCATAAGCGGTGCAAATCAATTTCATCCATCTCAATCGGTCTCATGGAATCCACCACCAACGCATTTTCCACCACCACCAATATCGCCACCTCAATCATCTTCATCATCTTCAGTTTTGAATTCAGCTCAAGCACCATCATCATTGCCCGATTCGATCAGTAATATTCCACAAAATTCTCCACAATCATCAATTGTATCATCATCACAATCGAATGCCAATCAATTTAATGCTCAGCTGGTTGATTCTTCCAACAACCAACGAACAAATTCACGAAGTCAGTCTCAATCGTTTTCGCCATCAAAACCAAGTGAATCTTCAGTACAATCACAGCCCGCTTATCCATTCCAATATGAAGATTTGCAATCAAATGCAAATAAATCGAGAATAAATTTTCGACCGGGTAATCATAATTTATTGGCCCCGATTTCCGAACCACCACCACCAGCACCAGATTCTACGCCAATACCAACTCGATCAACAGTTCCACCATCGTCAACACCAGCCATAGCCAATAAGACAGCTCCAACAAATAGTAGCGATAATAAAAAAGATGATGTCGTTATCTATTATTACTATTATTATGATGATGACAAAAATGCAAAAAATGATCCGAACAATGAACTAGATGCTATTCCTTCTTTAGAAGGATTTGATGGTGGTGTTAATTCCCAATCACAACCACCGTCATCATCACATTCACAATCGACTGTTGGTAATCCACCGGGTAAAATCCTTGTTAAACAACCGGCTGATTCTCATAAAATGATGACAGATCTACATTCTGGTGCCAACGTTAAACCACTTGATATATCGGCAATTTTAAATCCATCTACGTCAAATTCCGAACATAGAAAGCCAACTCAACCACAGCAGCAATCATCATCACAACCAATCACATCGACATCAGCTCAAATTCAACAACCGTCACAACCTTCTATTTTGCCACCAATAACTAATCATACGAGCCTTGTGTCAAACATTTTCCGATATGGAAATCAGCAACAATCACAACCTGTAACAATATCTACTCCTCAAGCTCCATCTCAATTGCCATCACATTTTGAACCAGAAAAAATTCAACCACAGTTTATAGGTATCGAAAAATTACCAGAACACGATCAACCTCGTATTTCTTCGCCTCAAATACCGGCCAGTACTGCAGTTCCAACCTTAACTTCACGAACATCAACTTTACAGCAATATTCAACTACCACTTCCGCCCGACCACGATTCACGACTACCACAACAACAACAACAACAACAACTCCTACGCCAAGTACAACGGAAGCATCGACAACAACTGAATCACCACGTAGACGTTTTGGTAATCGCCGACCTGGATTCGGGGCTCCAAACCGTTCTACTCCATCATATAGAAATCGGTTATCAACTACAACTACTACAACTACAACCACTTCAGCACCACCACGAACATTTACACGAGCTCCGCCTGTTAGCTATAATAATCCAGCGGCCGTTAATCTTCGCCGTAATCGTCCATTATCTAATAATCGATTCCGTCGTCCACAACGCCCGGGATTCGGTTCACCCATAAATGATGAACGCCATTCTGGAGATGACCAACAAGGTGATGGCAAAGAACAAAATCCCTCTTCAACGTCTACAACAACTACAACAACAACAGCCGCACCACATCGCACAGCACAAGATCAATCATCACCTTCATCTAGACGTTTCGGTAATCGAGGGCGATATGGAGGACGAGGTAGTTATCAACCACAACCAAGTACTGGACGGCCGAGTACAGAAGCATCATCAAGTACGACTGATACTGCTACACAATCTACCACAAGACGTCCAAGCGTTTATGCAAGCCGTAATCGACCCCAACTTCGTGGTGGTGGTGGTCGATTACCGTTCTTACGAAATCGAAATCGCAATCAACCTGAAGAACAATCAGCCATTTCATCTACAACGGAAACCACTGTGGCCGCTTCTGTTTCTGCAGCTTCAGACGACCAAGGAAATGCTGGTGGAAACGATGAAACAGCAGCAGCAGCTGCTATAGAATCGGGTTCACAGCCAGCATCTGGAAATAGTGATTCTGATTTAGAATCACAACCTGCTTTAGGTGAATCATCTTTATCATCAACCCCATCATCATCAACTGAACGGCCTAAAATCGGTGGTGGACGACAACGACCTGCATTGTTTGGAAATCGACCAAGGCCAAATCTATTTGGACGAAGAGCTCCAACGCCAGCTCAAAGTGCCTAAATCTAAACATGACTGTTTTAAACAAATTGAAAGGCCATTTAATTTCATTCTATTTATTTCTATTTTTTACGATTTGGATTTTTCAACTATTGGATATTCGATTAATTTTTAATAATTATTCATTTGTATTTATTTTCAGATTTTCAATCACTATTATATCGTGTTTATGTACAAAATCAAAGAAAAAATCAACCATATAAGCGAAAAAAAATTCGAATCATTTATTTTCGGATCAATATTTTTGAGTAAATTTACAAATTAAATTTCTTAATAATAAAAAATTCAGTTAATTGAACCGTTGAGTTATGTTATTTTTTTCTCATTGACAAAATGCTTGGAATGTTTAGAATGATTGTCTGATGTCTAGGAGATTGTGATATAAATAGATTGATGTTGATGATGTTCATGGCCATTATTGATATAAATATCATTCGAAGTGTATGATGATGATCGCATTTTTTAGCTTTGCCTCCAGTTGAATGTAGTTCGTTCTATATATACATATAAAATGATCAACAATTGGATTGTACCCAAAATTGTAGCTTAATTGTCATTGAATATTTTGTCAAAATCATTGCATTGTAATAAGATGCGAATTTTAACCAAAGGATTCGGCTAATGATAAGGATGTCGCCCGTGGTGACGGGATTGTGATTTTTTCAACGATTGGAAATGGCCATACAAATTACGGTCGAAGATCATTTCATCCCATATCTAGTGCTCATTTTTAACGTGTTTATAGCACATTTAGCTCGATCAATTTCAATTCGCATTTTACCTATTAACATTCATATTATTATAAATGAATTAATTTCAACTATAGAATTATGTGCCTGCTGTGCTGAACTTGGACCAGTTTGGGAATTACATGGTAATCATGGTATAGCTATAGCATTATTTCTTTTATGTGTTTGGTGGTGTCAAGCATGGGGAGATGCAGAAGCCTGTCCTTGTGGTCCGGTAGAAGAAATGTTCATAATGGGAAGATCGATTAATTCGCCAGACTTGATAAAAAAATTAACGGGACAATTATTAGGCGCATGGCTCACTTGGAAGTAAATGCTAAAAAAAATAAACATAAACAAAATTTATTAAGTTGTAAAATCTGTTTCTGTTTAGATATACTTCTTGGATCTGGTGTTGGCATTTAACCGAACAACATCATCATCTACATGAGGCCCCATGTGAAGCATCGTTATATGTTTCACCTCTATATGGTGCTTTGATCGAAGGTCTAATCACATTTATTAGCCGTATCGTTGCGCTTGAATCGGAAAAATGGAATCACATCATTTCAACTGTGGCTAATTCAATGACAAGTGTATTACTCGTTTTATTCGGTAAGATATCAATCGATCGTACGAAATTATATTAATAAACATAAAAATTAATAAAAATTAAAATAGCACTCAATACAACTGGTGGTTTTTTCAATCCAATATTGGCTTCAGCTTTGATGATCGGCTGTAAAGGCAATACATATTGGGAACATTTTCAAGTTTATTGGTTCGGAGCTATGGTCGGCAGTTTGTTGGCTCGATGGATACATAATAATTTATTGGATTCAACCACAATCAATAAAAACAACAAATATGATTAAACTAATGCAAAATCAAATTTCTAATCATATTGAACACGTGTTGAATAAAGTACAGATCGACGAAAAGGTGTTGATGGTGGTGTGGATGTGCCAAAAGATTTTGTTTTCTCTGGTTGCCTAGATTTTTTTCCAGTATGCGTTTGTGATAATATAATCGAACCATTACCATTGTGTTGAAGTGGCGAGGCAATTGAACAACGACTTAAAGAAAATTCACCGGCTCGGCGAACAAAACTGGATTCATCAAAACTGGTGCACAATGAAGTTAGCGAACGAATCGATTCGTTTGGTGTACGATCGTTTTTGTCTATATCAGTGTCTTCTAGTGGTATATGTGTCAAAATACCATTTGACCAACAAATAGTAATCAAACAACCAGGATCAACGTAATTGTCATGAAAATTCATCGATAGACATCGAACGTTTTTTCCAGAAGTGAATGCCGGTTTGAGAATACGAAATGGTTGAATATTTAGGCCAGGATTTAAACTGGTGCTAAATATTGCTATTGTTTCCATAGGATCTAAAATAAACAAATGTTACAAAAATTCTCTTTATAAAACACAATACCTTGAAATGAAACCACCAATTTGGTGCATTTAATATCCCAGCATAACTGGTGAATAATCGGTAGAGAAGTTATGCCATCCTGATTGAAAAATTGTCGTGTGTCAAGTATTAATGTACATTGATCACTGGAACCGCCACCAACGTCGTCGGCTTCGGCTCGATCATAAAATGTTAATGCAAAGATTTTGGATGATTGTTTAGGCACAAACAACATGATCATTCCGTTTGGTCGTAACCATACTGCAGTTTGACAGAGTTGTCGATTGTGTTCAGGGGGGAATGTCCAAAATTTGTAAGACCATTTAATCGATTCGAATACACAAATTGGTTTAGAGCGTAGGGTTGTCAAAGCCAATAGCCGTCGTCCATCAGGTGACCATTGAAGTGAGGTCAGTTGAGGCAAATGAATCAATGATGAAAGTTGTTTCATTCGAATAGATTCGATTTTTGCCAATTGACATTTATCATCGAATCGACACAACGACAGTGAAGCATTACGGGGTGAACAACTGACCAACATATTGCCATTCATATTAAATGCTAAACTGGTAATTGGACTTTGTAGATGTGTATTCACGATTTGTAATGAAGGCTGCTGCCTGGTAGATAAAGATTCTGCTTTGACTTGAGCCAGTAAAGCTGGGGATGATTGAACAACATTCGTCGATAGGGATTCAAAACGCCAGATGAGTATCTTATCACGACAAGCCACAACCAATACATTATCCAATTTGGGATGCCAACACATTGAGGATATTTGTCTTTGATGAACATTTTTCACGCATGTTATATGATTTAATGGCCGTTTATGATCGGCCGAATATACATAAATAAGATCATTGACTAATGCCAATGCACATCGAAGCGAGCTAGGATGCCAGACAAACGTACGTACTAGACCAGATTTCCACCCGGAATTCAAATTGAATTCATTTAATAGATCATCATCGGAATACTAATGATGGAACGAGGAGATATTAATAAATCACAACACAATTGTTATCGAAATTATAATTACCGTATCAAATGGATAGAAATACATATGAATTGCAAGATATATGGAATAAATTTGTAGGATGATTAAGGCAAATATGTACAACAATAATAGGCCATAATTTTTGCTATTCGTTGGTTTGCCAGAATGATTGTCATCACTTTTTTGTTTTGATTGTCGATGATATTCATGATACGATTGTTTAATAAAATTCAACATAGAGATGAATCCTTTTGTGCGATAATGACGCAATAGACGAACAAAAAGATTTTGATCATTTCGCTCAACAAATATATCACGACAAAGATGTTCGGGTGCCAATGCTGGTTTCACAATATCATCATTTTGTATTAAAATTCGAGGATATTTTTGTCCCTGTAATGAAAATGGTCATAAATGAACAATAAAATTAATGTCATATTTACCATATGATTAATGAGATCAGAATCAACAAACGAATCATCAATCAGAATTTGTTCCATTGTTGATTGAACAATATTTGAATTTTTAACTTGATAATGAATATCAGCTGAACATGCACGCCGGTTTCATCAGTCAAAACGAATTATTCTTAAAATAGTCGCCATCTGGTTTTTAAAGATGAATATACAATTTATTATTCATTATCGATGTGGTATTTCTGCATACAGCTAGCATGCGTCAAAAGAATTTCAATTTCCCACCCTTTTTTTTCTTGATTAGTAGTAGCATTATAAATGAAGCTGAGGGCTAAATAAATGACTCATATGAAGCACTCATGCCACTTCTTTTTGTATATGTCATCATTATCAACATTTTTGATCGATACTGCTGCAAACATGTTGATGTTATTCTTTGATGACGCGACCTCGATCAAAGTTTGTTTTTTTTATCGCTCTAAATGAATTGATGAATTGATTGAAATGATTCAAACAATCAAGAAAGTCATTTTTCAATAACCTTCAGGTTTTATTATTGTCAATACTTAATCACAGTCATTATATTCATCTATAACTAATCAATATATCAACTAATGAATGAATGGATTTAAAAATCATAGGTTTCAACTATAGCTCTTAATGCAAGACAACTTGCATATTTGTGTGCGTGTGTGTGTGTGTGTGTAATGTGCCTTGACGATGCAATTAACTTTTAATCATCATCAATCCTTTTAATCATCATTTGTGATTATGGTTTCTTGTGTCATTTCAAGCCTGTTGTTTTTATTGTGGTTGGCTTTTATCGATTTCCACGTTTTCATTATTGAATCTGTTGCATTTGAAACATATGATCCATTGATGAATCTATGAGCATTGATTTATGGTACAACCAATGTTCTGCTATTGTTCTACCAGATTGTTCGGCTCTTCGAATATATCCATTATGCTTTGATAAATGTATGTTATTTTTATTCTTATCGGAATATTCGAATTGATACTTTTGATAATAGATGCATCATCTCGCACAACAATTCCAAAATCAATTCCCCAAACTATATATAACATAGAAATTCATTCATTTATATAAATCGGTTTTTTTTCAAATCTCACAATGTATGTAAATCAACACCGATTTACCGTGAATACTAGCAGCAGCATAGTATACTACCAATAATTTACCAGGAAAAATATACACATAGACCGTGAAAAATATTTCCTTCTCAGAATTCAATTGAAATGTGCATGTATATAAGTGTTATACGCGCGTGTCAACACAACAAACAGTGTTTGATGAAAAGAGATGTATACCATATTGATGTGATATCTGGTGAACCAAAATGTTTTGACGCCGACTCTTCGTGAACCAGTTTTTATGATTACTGAAAATTGAAACTTCGAAAAACTCTTTACATCAAAAAAAAACTATAGAAAACCAATAAAAATACCATCGAAAAGAAAACCGTCATTTTATGAATTGTCAAGTTAACCATTAAATGATGTACAGTTGAGACCAGATCAAAAAACTTTGGCAATATTATCATACGACAAATCAAATGTTTGAATCCTCTTGGCATCTCAGCTTGGTCGTCTTCACATTTATACATAGCCATACAGTTCATATCAGTACAGCTCAGTCGTCACAGTTGTACATGTTGGTTTGGTTGCTTGGTGGCAATATACAGCTAGAAAACGACCAGAAAATTTCAGCTGCTTGTTAAGAATTGAATCCAGCCAACAATCAATCAGTTGATGAAAATTTTGGCTGCTGCTATTGCACACCTCTATACAGACACATCAAAATTCAATCTGCGGCTTTCTCTGTTGCATCCTTTTGCTGCTGTCTCTCTCTCATGGTGTGTATTGACTGAGTGTTTGTTTTCATATAAGCCAATTACAAAACAGCAAAACAAAATCCATTTAGTTCTCTTTTCGATTTTTTTTCCATTCTATGTCTATTAAGAAGCATGTTTTTCTTTGAATTCTGAATTCTTGATAAATAATTTCTTTCTCATTTATTTTATCAGATCCATATTCTCATCATCATTGTGATTATGACCACAGCACCGGCACTGAATTGTCAGTGTATATATATCGTAGTTGGTAGCTTCAAGTGATGTGATCCGATTCATTCGAACAACAAACAAACAATCGATGGACATGGCTGATTGACTTTGTTTTCATAATAAAAAAATTGATTTATTCTTTTTAACCAATTTGTTTCGTTCAATTTCATCATTGCAATTTATGCAATAATCTTTCATCTAATTCAAGTTTTATCATTCATCAAAATCTTTAAACCCATCAACATACGAAAATGTTCAAATGTATACCGATATTTCGTGGCTGTAACCGCCAAATTGAAGTAATCGATAAACGCCATAGCAGCTTGCCAATTGTACCGGAAGATATATTCCGTTATGCAAGAACATTGGAAGAACTTCAGCTTGATGCCAATCATATACGTACATTGCCTAAGGTTTGTGTTCATTTTTTTTGAATTATTAAAGAGAAAAACAAAAATTTCTCAATGCAAATACAACAGATATAACAGAATGAAAAAAGATTACTATCTTGATGAATGATAGGACGAGGTGATTTTTTTTCAAAATTCTAATTGAAGATTATGACAGAGCTTTGTTTGGGCGTATACTTGCACTATTCTATCAATGCACAATATCTATCTTTTAGTTGCATAGTCACAACCTTACCTCTCCTTGTTTCAAGATTATAGATGAGAATTTTGATTTCTTTTTACTACCGATTATTGGAGATCTCAACATTGTTTTATTTACGTATCAATAGATAGGTTTGTTTATAATAAAAAATAAAGCAAATTAGAGTGTTGAGAAGAAAAATTTATTATTCATGATAGTTCAATAATGATTTATTCCTTATCTAAACAGATGATGAGTGCTCTAAAATTCGATGACTCAATTGTGAATCGACAATTATCTCTTTAATCATTTCATGGTTATATAAATATTGATGTTGGCAAAAGTCTATAGTCTCAAATCTCATATAATCATAATGTTTACCGTATGCGAACATTTCAAAAAAGTGTGCCAACTGTCCTATTACAATCTTCAACTGTTATTAATAATTTTCAGTACATTTGCAGCAGATTTTTAGTCATTCGTTTATTCAATTGTTGGCGTAAAAATCCAAATTAGTTGCTGTCGCTCAATGGTGGTGTGGTGTATTCTGGTTTTTTTTCCTGATAACACTAAACAATTAGAATGTTTCATCTGGTCTGGAAATTATATTTATTAATTTGAACTCGATTATTTGCAAGTTTATTTTTCATGGAAAATGAAATGAAATGAAGAAAAAATAAAACCTGTTTTTTATCATAATCTTAAAAAAAATGTTGGAACAAGTTTAATCGACTTTTTTTTTAGTTTAGGTTCTCATGAATTTGATTCTTTATTTTTGTTGAAATTGAATTTTTCAATCGATAAATGAATATATTGTTTCAACAACAACAAAAAAAACAATCGACCCGAATATTTTTTTTTTAATTTCCATAAATTCTAGTAAAAAAAAACAATGGCATTGGTTTGATATTTTTGTCTTTCATTTCTTTTTGCAAATGGCAAAATAAATTTGATTCTAACTCAGATTTATTATCATCATCATCATTATTTCAATTAAATTAATGATGTTGATTCTATTTGATTCATGCAATTTTCATTTCAAACAATTGCACATTACATATTCTCAAAATATTCTCATTTTTTTCGATTTATTGTTTTAGTTGTAGCTCTTTGTTATTTATTTATTTAATTAATTTAATGATAATATGACTAGAAAACGAATAATATGGGTAAAACAGTGTTGATTCATCGGTCATCTAACTGTATAGCAAATATCACTGACTGAATATTCAACACTATTCTTTTTATTATAGAATCCATTCATTGTACACACAGAGTGATAATAGAATTGAAAATGACGTCAAGTTTTATTTATCTTGTAAACATTTGTAGATTTAACGAATAAGATTAAATTTTATGCTTTTTCAATTCAAAATTCTCATGTCAATAGAGTTTAATTTATAATCGAATTTTGATGAATTATTTCCTGAATGATGATTAATAAAAATATATAACTGATGAAATGAGAGGTTTAGCTTGTCATTTGTGTTCGGCCGTGTTAAGTTGTTGAACTTGATGCTAAAGTATGTTGTTTTTTTTTGTTGTTGTTATTGCCGGCGGGAAACTCCCCGTTAATATATATCACATTTAATTCGTTCAAATTCAATTTATAGCTAAATAAGATATTTTCATAGCAGCCATTTCTGGCAAAAAATATTCCGATTGAATGTGAGTGACAAGCTTACAATAGACTTTCGATTGATCATTCATTTTCACTTTGAGCAACAACAACAAAAAAAACAAAACAATACTGTCATTAGACGTATGTCTTGTCAGGCTAGAAAAGCGACTATTGTCATCATCATGATCTTGTCATAATTGAATGAATGATATCCTTGATCGCCAATTATGGTCACAGATGATGAAAATTGTCTTTCATTTTTTTTTGAATACGAATGACAATTAGAATTTTTTTGTTTTATCAATCAGTTGATGGTAAAATTTTCAATTTTGTTCTCGTCAATTTTATGTTGACAATCTAAATTGAAAATTATTTGATTCGCGACTAGTAAGAGTATTCTATTTTATTTTTGGCTAAACAATCAATTTTCATTAAGTTTATTTTTTTCTTTTTTTTGCAATAATGATTATAAAAAAAATGTGTAATGTAATTGACAATAAAGCTTGTCAACATGCTATCTGAAGTTTATAGTTGAATCACAAAATTTTGGTAAATGTAATCTATTTTTGTTGCTTCTTGATTCTCTATTTAGTTTGTTTTTCTATGTGTAATTAAAATATTTTGTCCATTTTAAAAACGTCAGATTTGCATAAAGTTAAATTGTCTTTTTTTTTAATTGAGTTCGTTGGGTAAAAAAATGAATTTAAAACATAATAATCTTCTGATGATGGACCAGTTTGTTTATTCGCTTTCTAACGAATTCTCCTCTTCATTTCGACATTCACAAGAATTTCATGGAATCGAAATTTTTCTATTATTGAGAATCCCTGAAAATTGAAATGAATCAATTTTTTCACTTTGTTTAAATTCCCAAAATAAATTTGCTTCTAATGCGTTATTTTTAGATTTTCATTTTTATTCGAATTTTGGATGCTAATCCATTGTACCATTTTTTATTATTTGGTCACTGCAGGGAAAAAATTATTAAATTTGAACATACCAAAACAAAAATAAATTTGTCGTTGAGTAGATTTGTATTTATATAAGTCTCACCTTTAGAAATAATGAAATTTTTCCATTCGATTCAATCTCGGAAGCGTCATTTTGGCACGTACAGTTTTCTAAAACTTTTACATAAAAAATATTTTCTAAACTTTATACTTTTTAGTTTCTTGTTACTGAAAATACTAGAAAAGTTTTGATGTGTTTATTATCAAAACCATCATGGTCAACAACCAAAAAAAAATCATTATTAGAAATGCACTGATTCTTGCAACAACCATTGATTATGATAAACTAATCGAATATTTGATTTATTCTTTTAGGGCATGTTTCGGCTGGTCAAGTTACGAAAATTAACACTAAGTGATAATGAAATATCACAGATACCATCAGAAATTGGAAATCTCAATCAATTAGAAGAGCTAAATGTATCGAAAAATGAAATTATTGAAATACCAGACTCGATAAGAAACCTAAAAAACTTACAGATTGCTGATTTTAGTTCAAATCCGGTTCAAATGTAAGATGCAGTATGATTCCGTTTTTTTATATATTTGTATTAATTGCATTATATTTTTTTCATGTGATTAGACTTCCAATGGAATTCAGCCAATTGCATGCACTGAAATCATTGGCGTTGAATGATATATCTTTACAACAGCTTCCCAATAATTTTGGCTCACTACAGAATCTTGAATCGCTGGAATTGCGTGATAATCTAATCAAAAAACTTCCACCAACATTATCCATGTTGGTTAATTTAGAACGATTAGATTTGGGTGCCAATGATTTCAGTGAACTACCAGCCATGATTGGTCAACTACCGAATTTGCAAGAATTGTGGCTCGATCAAAATGAGCTTTCTACGTTGCCTAAAGAAATTGGTCGGCTAAAAAAACTCGCTTGTTTGGATGTTAGTGATAATCGCCTGGAATACTTACCTGAAGAAATTTCTGGTTGTGAATCGCTAACGGATTTGCATCTATCCCAGAATCTACTTGAAACCCTTCCCGATGGCATTGGACAGCTAAGTAAATTAACCATTTTCAAAATTGATCAGAATCGCCTCGAATCATTGAATCCGACTATCGGCGGTTGTTCGTGTTTGCAAGAATTAATTCTTACTGAAAATAAACTGACCGAATTACCACCTACGATTGGAAATTTGGTCATGCTTACGAATTTTAATGTTGATCGAAATTTTCTTAGAGAAATTCCGCCACAAATCGGCAATTTAACTCGTCTGGGTGTTCTTTCGTTTCGCGAAAATCAAATAACATCCATTCCTCCTGAAATAGGCCAACTTAAAGAACTTCGTGTTTTGGATATATCTGGCAACAAGATTCCATTTCTTCCATATTCGATTACTGCATTAAATTTGAAAGCTCTTTGGTTAGCCGAAAATCAATCACAACCATTGTTGAAATTCCAGACGGATGTTGATGAGAATACTGGACAGAAAATTCTCACTTGTTTTCTATTACCACAACAAGATTTCAAAACTGATTTGCAATTCGGTACGTATTTATATTTTTTCCTTGTTCATCATTTTTATGAATTTTATAATTTTCATTTTTACAGATGCATTTGAAGAAAATTCACTCGAACGTGTGAATTCATTAAACTGGGATCAACCACGGCATTCTTCTGTTAAATTTGATGTCGACCTAGACGACGAAGAAGGTGATGATGTTATTGATGACGATAGTGACCCATTAATTTCTGCGTCTGGAACCAGTGCTGAACCAAATTTTGTTCGTCACGATACCCCACATCCTCGAGAATTGAAAGCACGTCATTTGAAATTGTTTGCTAATCGTGACAATAATGCCACACAGCAACATCAGCTAGAAACGCCAAATGTTGAATATGAAAATCAGAAAGAATCGAGTGTTGATCAGAATGACGAACTAGAACTGCCACATCGTTTCAAAAATCATCACCAAGATACAGATAATAGCTCACAATCTTCTGTCATAATTAAAGATGATGATACTAATGCCGATGAACCTATCGAACCAATGGAACAGAAACCTGTCCATTCAGCTGCAACTGCAGCTGCTCTTAGCAGTTCATATTTCCACAATCGAGCTTTTCAGGATTTTGTCGATGCCTCTGGTCTCGATTCTACTGTAGCTGATCAAACTAAAGAACATGTTGTCCATACTGATTCAAATCATACAAGCACCACACAAAAAGTAGGACGTCATGTTGGTTTTGAAAACGATTTAAACATTGTATCAAACACTCAATCGTTCAATTCCATCGATCCTCATCAATATCACCATGAACGTCAAGATGATGAGGATGACGATGCACCGGTGGAAAAGCTGAACACAAGATTACATCGTCGAGATACACCACATCATCTCAAAAACAAACGTGTCAATACAAATTCAACAAAAGAAGAAAAAGAAAAAATTGTAAACATTTTATCCAAGACGAATGTAGAGAAACCTCAGCCTCCAATAACAATAAAACCTATAATCGAAATTCAAAATGGTCCAATATTAGCCAATGTGACAAAAGAACTGCGTTTGAAATTAAAAAAACATGGTCAATCAATGGGATTATCAATAGCAGGAGGCCTCGGTTCTTCTCCTTATAAAGGTGATGATGAAGGAATTTTCGTATCACGTGTTACTGAAAATGGTCCAGCGGAAATTGCTGGTCTGAAAGTTGGTGACAAAATTCTGGCCGTAAATGATTATGATTTCTCACGGATCGACCATCATGATGCTGTGCAGCGACTAAAGTCAGCTGGCGAAGAATTTTGGCTATTAGTCGAGCGAGAAATGATTACTAATCATTCGATTTCTTCACCAGCCGTTGCACCATCAACCGGAATAAATAAAGTGCCTCCAGTACCTCCGGTACGAACATCAGTCATATCAAAAAGTACGACCAATTCAAACGATAGTAGTACGCTCGCACAGCAACCATTGAAATCGGTCTTACGACCTCCTCTCGGAGATAAAAAACCATCAGCAACATCTTCAGTTTCATCATCACAACTTCCGTCCACGACTGCTAAACCAATCCCATCGAAATTAAATCTGAATCGACATTCATCAGGAGATATTGGCAATACTACTAATCCATTATGTCAACAACAATTGGGTAAAGAAATCATTTACACAACATTAATTCGTAGTGATGGCGGTCTAGGGTTCAGTATAACATCTGGTAAACCAGGCATCAAAGATGATGAATCCAATCGGCCAAATGATGATGGCGTCTACATATCTCGAATATTTGAAGGTGGGCCAGCCGAATCGGATGGCAAACTAAAAGTTGGCGACAAAATTTTATCAATTAATGGTATTAGCTGTGATGGTCTTGATCATGATCAAGTGATCGGTATTATCACTGGCCTGGAGAGATTTGTTCGTTTGGTTGTTGAACGAGAAGGCGTGCCAGTTACCGAGAAGAATCTTCCTTATCAACAATATTCTACTGGCCTAACATATTCATCTAACTCGTACATGGCCAATAGACCATCATACACTGGATCATATCGACGACCATTACTGGGCTCCGTATCGAGCCTTTCACATTCAAATGCATTAGATAGTGGAATAACTGGTTCAGCTGGTACCATTTCCACTCCATCTACACCATCATTTACACATGGATCCAAACCATTGAGTTCCATTTTTAACGCTAAATTACCTGGTCTTCGTGGCAATACCGATTCGAATCCTTATTCATCATCATCAACGAATCGATCTATTAATAATCGTTTAAATAGTGCCTTACAAACATCAGCTGTAAAAAATATTACCAATCATCATTCATCAAATACATCTTCATCGAGAAGTTCATCCGTTCCACCACCACAAAATCGGCCGCTCACTGTAGCCAGATCATCTGTTTCAGATGACAAGGGTTTGTATTTCATTCCCTCTAACCCATATTTCTAATTTTTTTCTTAATTAAACATAATAATTAACTATTAGAATCAAGAAGTCCTATAGGTGATGCTGATGGCACTTTGATTGCAAATAACATGAATAATTCAGTGACGGAAACATCTTTAGCAGCACAGTTTCCACCTGCACCAAATGATTTGGGTGTGTTTACTGAAGTATTAACCAAAACTACCTACACAGAGAATACCGTAACACGCGTGACGAATAATAATTCTAATATGTCACTACCAACGATAGAAGAGGTTCGTGTTTTCGAGATGGTTCAATTTACTAACATTCATGATTAACTTTCCAAATTCAGGCAGTTGTCATACAAAAAGGTGATAATGGCGGATTGGGGCTAAGTATCATTGGTGGCTCTGGTACGTTATAATCCATTGATTTCTTTCTATTGAATATTCGATTTTTTCTCTTACTTTAGATCATTCTTGTCATCCTTTTGGTAATAATGGTCGTGAACACGGAATATACGTATCAAAAGTTGTCGCTGATGGTGCAGCTTCACAAACGGCGAAACTTCGTATAGGAGATCGCATACTTGAAGTTAATGATATTGATATGTCCAATGCAACCCATGCTGAAGCTGTTCAAGCATTAACTTCGAATTCCAATTCACAACCTAACCAGGTGATGCTGAAAATCCGTCATGAACCTTTACCACCTGGTTGGAAGGTATGTTGTCCTTTTCCGATCATGAATAATATTCACACGTTACTGTCATCATTTCAGGAATTTATCATTCAAAAATCGCCCAACGAAAAATTGGGTATGAAAATCAAAGGCGGTGCGAATGGCCAACCTGGAAATCCTTTTGACAGAGAAGATGAAGGAATATTCATATCACAAATAAATCTTGGTGGTGCAGCTGCACGAGATGGCCGTTTAAAACCAGGTATGCGTATCATCGAAGTTAATGATGCTAGTTTATTGGGCGTCTCTCATCATCAAGCCGTTCAAGAATTGAGAAATCAAGGCCTACGTATTCGTGTTCTTGTCTGTGATGGTTATGATCCACAACAGGTTCCTATTGCAAATAATGAGAATAACATTAATACCAACAGTAATTATGCAGTAATTAATAATAATCATCAATCTCCATTTATGAACGACTCGCCATCGTTTATGGCAAATGATATGTCCTCACCAGAAAACACACCTGTCATTTCCCCGCAACATCCCAGTTCGGGTGATGATCAAGATTCAGTGTTTGTTACCACACCAACCAGCCCATCTTTGTCTAACAAACAGTCTTCTTCAGAGCAGAAAAAAACGACAACAGTCATTATGAAAAAACACCAGACAATGGTAAGTTGATTAACAATCGATTCTTCAGCTTTCTTTCGTTTCTTATCCAAATACTTTGTTTTCTATGTTGTTATTTTCTCTGCCTTTACTTTTCATTTTTCCTGACCTTTTACCTGACAAACTTAGAATTAGTGCCTTTTAACTTTTGTTATTTCAAGTAGTTTAGCTTTTGTTTGCTAATTTTTTTTTTGATATTCTGTTGTATGATTTCATATATGATGACCTCTCCTCTCCTTGCCTTTTGCCTGAAATTTACTTGCCTGATTCTGCTGTCATTGCTGATCGCCTAATTAATACATTGGCTTACAAAACCGCGATACCATAGTCATCGCCATCGATTACTAGATCGCCCATCAATCCATTTACGGAACACCCATCATCAACATCAGAATCTTCACCAGCATTGGATCCGCTTCTGACATCAAAAATGCCTGGAGCCAAGCCACCAGTGCCACCGAAAAAACCAGACTTATTATTGAATGCTGCTATTAGCAATAAAGCAACAAACTTGACGCCCAACACTAAATTAGAGCATCCAGAGTGGATGTCCTTCAGTGAAAAAAAACGCCATTTCGAACGCGCTACAAGTCCTGCGAGTTCACAGCAATCTTCTGGCCAACAATCAGTACCAATTTCGCCTCCACAACCTAATCACCATCAGCAGCAAACCAAAGAAACAATCACCAAAACAGAACGTTTAGTCGATACACCTGAAGCTGAAATAACGACCAAGGAAACAGTACGTAAAGTAGAATCCTATTCCCAATCAAGAAAAGAAATTCTTCTTTCCAACGATGAGCTACAACAATTCAAAGACAGCGTGCTTAATTCATCAAAGTATTTGGCCAATCAAGATATTCATGATAACGATGATGATAATGATGAGGAAAATCTTGATGAATTTGATAAGAATAAGCCTTTTGATGAAGAAACGAAAGAAATTTTCTACACGGAGACTACCACTGAAGATGGAGTGATCAGCGAACATCAGCAAAAACGAGTGTTTCGAACTGCCAAAGCTGAAAAACGATACATTGAAAAAATGTTAAACTTAGGCATTGATATACAATCACAAGAATATGCTTGCCTTTCTCCTGTACAACGTAGAGCATTAGAAGCCGAAAAACGTCGTGAATGGCGTCAAGCACGGTTACAATCTTTGGAAGAGGATGCTCGACGCACTTTAATACAATTTCAAAACAATCATCCTAGTAAAGAGAATATTATCGAACCATAATCTTATATGTGACAAACATGGGCAGCTTCTTCATATCGGCCAATGGATAATTGAATCTTTGTGCTTATTATTGTTGTTGTGTTGCCAAAGACTAAAAAGATTTTTTTGATTTCACTTAAAATTTGACACTTATTACATCATTGATTTATTCTTTATCAATATTGTGAAATATTTTATCCACTTTTTCATTATTTTTTATTTTTGTTATCGTGACCCTTTTTCCCTTTTTTGGATGGACATTCTGTACAAAAAACAGCCAAAATTTTTTTTTTTTTTTGGTATCTGGTCATTGTCATTGTACCACAAACCCCATTATACACCCGTTTCCCAATTTTTTTGCAACTTTGACTTGTTTTTTGTATGCGCCGTTGCCTCCTGTTCATTTTTAACCCTGAAATTATTTTCCAACCTCAACTTATAAGCCAACAATTCAAGACTTATCTTTTGGTAACAATAAATTTTTAAAAAATGTACTACAAAATTTTAAATATTTTCAATTAGCTAAATATTAATTAAAAAAATTATTTATGTTTTTTAAATCACTTTACTTTTAATGATTCGCTTAAATTAACAATTTTTGGTACCACCAAAGGAATGAAAATCTCTAGAGATCTTGCCTCGACTAAAACATCACAATAATTTTTTATTTTTAAATTCCCTTTTCAAATAATCAACGAGAAATTTTTTTTTGTTTGGTGTTTCATTACTTCAAGTTTATTTTCTCTTGTTATCGCGTCATAATGTCCGGCAAATTTTTCAGAATCATTTTTATATTTATGTCTGAAATTCGATATTCTTGATAAACTTATAAATCCAAAAGGATTTACTAAAAATTGACAAGATCAACATGAGTTTTTTTTTTGCTAAATATTATTATTTAAGTATCGTTAACATGGAATTTTTTCCAAAGCAGTAGCCGTCACATGAACATGTTTGGAATACATAATACAATCTCAATGGATCAAATAATAATAATGAAATTTAAAATTCAAATTCAAAATGATCAATGTAAAGCCGATGATGATGATGATGATGACGCTATCAGCCGTTTATTCGACGGCCCCTTCTTGCATGAAGTCTAGTGTCAACAAAATTCAAATTTAAAACGAATTCTGATCATTAACAATAGATAATTCATTCACAATTTTCAACTATTATTTGTTCAATCATTTCTTGATAAAAATGTTGAATTTGTTTTCGTTTCAATTTGAAACTTGCGGTAACTAAACCATTTTCAGCTGTCCATTCGTCTTGCACCAACAGATAATGTTTAGGAATTTCATAACGACGTAGACCATTCAGGCGAGCATGTATTATCATCTTTTTTCTGAATATTTGCAGTAGTTTTTGATTATTTAGATTCAAATTTTCACGTTCATTGTTTTGACATTTGTTGGCAATTTGTCTTGTCCAAATCCGTTCAATTGCTTTTTGATTTGGAATAACAATAGCGATTAAATGATCACGCATAGAATCGGCAAGCACACAAATTTGATTGATCAAATACGAAGTCTTAAGTTTAGTTTCCACTTTACCAAGGGAAATATATTCGCCAAATTGAAGCTTAGTAAAATCCTTTTTCCTATCTATTATCTTGAACGAACCATTCGGGAACATTTCACCCACATCGCCTGTTCGAAACCATCGAATGCCTAGATGATCTTCATAATAGGCTTTACGATCCACATCTTTCAATTTGAAATAACCAATCGATAATGATTCACAGGACAAATGAATTTCCCCACGAGGATTCGGTTTATCGGTTATTGTGTATCCACCTTCCGTCCAATCTACTAATTTGATTTTTGTACCAAATTGTGGTCCACCAACTTTTCCCAATGAGTAATCATGTGTATCCATGAACAAACCACCGCCAACAGTCTCGGTTGAGCCATAGCCTTGTATAAATATGATGTTCATGCAAGCTCGAATCAATTTCTGAGTATCTGGGGCCAATGGAGCCCCTCCCGATAACATACCAATCAGATTGCCACCCAATAATTCGTTGAACTTACGAAGGAAAATGTGATCCAATAAAGGTGTCTGGAAGCCTTTTGCCATCCAGAAATATTTGTATTCAACAATGAATTCGAATAATTTAACAGCCAACAACCCACGTTGATTTAGTCTGGTCAAGATGGTTTTTCGTATTCTATCTAGAACCAAAGGAACACAGGCCATAACTGTAGGTCGCAACAATGTAGCATCACCTTTACAGCCAGGCATTAATGCTGCGCTCAAATCGGTTAATGTATGTGGACTTGAATAACCGATGCGAGCACCAAGTAAAATGACAAATGTTTCGACACCGAATTCGAGAATGTGAGCTAACGGTAGGTATGCAATATATACGTGACGGCATGTTTCGTGCAAGAAAAACTCGAGCAATCCGATACATCCTTTGAACAATCCTATGATGTTTCGCTGTGTCATTAAAACACCCTTGGGTCGGCCACCAGAACCAGAAGTGTACATAATGACTGCTAAATCATCCGGGTCATTTTTTGTAAAATTAAAATTTTTTTCACCAGCTTGGAGCATCTGTTCATAAGTGATGATTTGAACATCATTTTGATTATTATTGTTCAATTCCAAATTGAAACGTTCAATGTCCTTGTTACTTTCATATTGTCCTTCCTTTTGGTCTAAAACAATAAGATAACGCAATTGTTGAAAAATTTCACTTTTACGTGGATGTTCAATCAATTTTTTGAGAAGTTGGTTAGTGGTTACAATGATTGTGGTTTCACATTCTTTAATTGCATCATAAACTCCTTGATTATCCAATGTCGGATATAATGTGGCAACAACAGAACCATTCTTGATAATGGCTTGAGCTGAAATGAACCATCGATAACTTGTTTCAGCATAAATGACGATTCTGTCTCCTTTTTGAGCTGAAAGCATTCGACGTAAGGCGCTACCGAATTGATTGATAGAATCAATTAATGTTTTCCAAGTCATCCATTGATACTCGCCTAGTTTATATCGATACGGTATGTTTATATCATTTTGTTTGTTCGATTCACGCTGTAGAATAGGACGCCAAGCTAGGCATGAATGTTGAGGTCCGAAAATTTCATAACCTTTTTCGAATGCTTCATCCAATGTTTGACAATCGTCTAGGTAAAATTCAGGTAAATGTGTGCGCGTAGATTTTCGAACCAAATCATCTGGATAATCAACATCTTGAAGCGAACGATTTCGATAGATGAGATGCCATAGACGCCATGGCTTATGCCATAATAAATAGATGGGCAAAGTAATTATATCGAATACAACGGTCACTGTTGCAATACACAAAATAACAATTCGAATCACTTGTTGCGGTAAAACTTTTTTCCATAAATATTGTAGCCGTTTCCACATGTTTTAGATTATTGTTGTTTTGACTTTGATACGATCAATTCGAATTGATTGATCCAACACCAATATGTCACAATATTTCAAACAAGTTTAAAACCAACTGAATCAATCGAGATTGTTCTTTTCATCTGTGATCAAGATTGCTAATGAACAAAAAATTAGTGAATAGTAGTGAACGGATTGTCAGTAATAATAATGACAGACCGGTTGTGTAACAACACATGCCAAGATGACAATTTTTTTCGTTCCAATCACCATTCATTTATATTAATAATTTTTTCTCGTTTCATCCTGTTGATGATAATGATAACGACGTAACCATTCAACTGAAACCAAACAAGATATGTTTCTTGTTTCATTTTTTTTGACATATCTCAAATATCATTTATTCGGTCCATTTGGTCTCTTACACAATTGATTATCTTTTCTCTCTGGTAAGCCATCAATCATGTCGATTACAATGTGAAATTTGGTTAAAATTTTTTAAAAACAGAAAAACAGTTGGCAATATCTGCCACTGGGTTGTGAAAATTATGTTTTCTTGGTAAAGGATTTCTCATAAATATTTGGACACTGAATTAGTGAAATTTGAATTATTGGTTGAGAGTCTATATTTTTCTCATTTATTTGAAAAATATTTACGTTTTTTTCCTTTCCATGGGAGGTAATGTGATATTCTATGGTTTATAGCCCATTATCATCATTCATAGATTTTTCCGTTGTTGCTAATGAAGCATTTTGGTGATAATCATAATTTGATTGTCATCATGAGTAACGCAAACAACAAAAACAACAAACTTATCGCCCTCTCATTATTTATGATTACAAGTTGCATTTCATGATGTGGATGATGATGATGATGATGATTTGACCATATCTATCACTTTGATATTGAATCATACACTCATGTTTTATTTTTAAATGGTCGAATGACTTTATGAACTGATTACACTATTTAATTCGGCTTAAAGCCGGTTGAATTTTTTTATTTCTCAAAATTTGTTTTGTTGGTTTCACATCTTCAACAAAAATTTCATCTTAATTATTGATTTTTTAAACTTTGTTGTGATGGAAGTCTATAAATTTGTTCTTGTAATTCTTATAATTTGTTCATCAGTTCGAGCCGATAACATTCTTGATTTGATTGAAACACGGCCATCATTAGCAGCATCTGATCAATCTATGATTTGTCAATTAAATGAAAATGACGTAAAATCATTGTTGACTTTGTCCGAACAATCTACAAACACTCAGAAATATATTTTGATCAAAACTGATGAAAACGAAGATTCTTTTATTAACAATGTTCGATCGCAATTATCCGGTTTGGATTATCGTGTTTGTTCATTCAAATTATCACAAGTTTCACTTGCTCTAACTAACATAACAATTGTCAACAATGACGGACATGCCATACCTTATTATGGTCGCCGAGATCCCTCAACTTTGGTTCGTTTCCTTGCTCATTTGGAACAACGTATTTCCAAATCGCCATATCAAACGATTAAAGGCAAATTAGACAAGAAAGCCTATGAGCACGTGTTAGAGCCTAAAATTATCGCCTATTATCCCGATGTTACAGCGCCTGCATTTGCACAATTTCAACAAGCTGCCAAACTAATGGCTCCTAGTCCTCCGTTTTTTGTCGTTCATGATCCACAGGTAAATAGTTTTCTGACATTGGCCAATTTGCCTTCAAATATTTACTTTCAATGTTATTTTTATTCTATACAATTATCTTTTAATAATGCTTATAGCTTGCAGCCAAATTTCGACTCAATCAACCGGGACAAATGTCTCTAGTTCGTCGTTTAGAAAAATCGCAAATATTTTTCCCTCCACTATCATCGTCGGTGATGTCCTTGGAACCAACACAGGCTATCATGGCTCAGGATATCATCAATTGGATACAAGAAAACCGTGGACTAGTAATGCATGAACTCAAAGATACCAATCTTTATAATCCAGAGATTCATGACCCCAACAAATATCAATTGGTTGCAGTTGGTGATAAATCATCACCGCTTGGATTGTATTTCTTCAAGATTCTCACCAAAACAATACAAAATATAAGTCGTGAAAATGAAATCTGGTTAAATCCGTCGTCAATATCTGATGATAATGACGATGAACAGAATTCGGACATACAGAATCATATTCAATCGGATGAACCCGTTGATTTAATCCGTTTGGACGATATCAAAATTGTGTGGATCGATTTACAACAATTTCCTTCAACTGCATTGAACTTACAAAAATTGTATCAAATAGAACCGGTTCAGAACGTTTGGTTTGGCCTCATTCATTCACCATCAACGGCTATTGCTACTCAAGGTCTGGATTCAGTATGGTTTGATTTGAATGGCTTGAATTTGACACGAAGTGATCGACGAACCGATCAGGAGAACATTTGGCTGGTTCGTAATTGGATTCTGACTGTTACTGACCGAGAAATGAAATCGGCTACCAATGATTCATCAACCGGTGCTCCAATTACTTTTGTTCTAGAACCTGAACCGATTTCCGTACGACAAGGTGGTAATTTCCTGTTAGAATGTCGTGTTCTTCCTCATTTGAAATGTAGTTGGATGAAAGATTCCCAATCCATTGTAGTGGATTCCCGGTATCGATACGCTATTTCCGGTCGTGATGGTGGTGATTGTAGTCTGATGATTCAGGGAGCTCGAATCGATGAAGATCAAGGAGAATGGACATGTTTGGTCGATGGTACAAATGAAACATCTTTGCCCATCCTAGTGAATGTTCGATACGATACGAAAACGGAATTCTGATTTTGTGTTTTAGTTTGATGAAATTTTTCAATCAGCGATATTATAATTTGAATTCTGGTTTTTATTCTTGATTCAATAATTGATAAGCCAAAAAATAAAAGTTTAAATAAATTCTGAGTAATTATAAAAAAGTTATATACCGGGATCTACTTTTTGATTGTTTTACATCAATTTGATAAATAACAAACTAATCAAGAAAATGTTTGGTTATGGCATTTATTTTAAAAAATATATAGTTAGATTAAAATTGAATTTTTAATATTCAAATTTTTTTGAAAATTAATCCTTTGAGAGAAATGAAACATTCCATAGAGCAACTTTTTTTCTGATGATCGATAAGTTTCGTGGTTAATCAAAACAAACGACAAATGTAGCGATTTTTGTTAAAATTACATACGTGACATCCATTCCCATAATCTGAGATTGTCTCACAGATTGTTCCTTGTTGGCCAATTACTTTGCCATAATTTGAAGATTGTTGCGATTTGATCTTAATATTTTTCAATATTCTTTTGTTTTTTTTTTTGTTTTTCATAATTTGTATTTTCATTTTTTCAAAAAAAAAAATTAAATTTTTCTTTTTTCGTTTCAAATCCATATCCACCCATAATCATCATCATCATCAACAACAACCTTCCATAGAATTATTTGAACAGGCATTTTTTATAGTTTTTCAGATTTTTGAGATTTGTGTGTGTGTGTTTTTTTTGCCAAAAAATTATTATCCATAAATTATATTATTTGAAAGTTTTCTGATAAAAATGAAATCTATCATTAAAGGATCGTTTATTCACGATTTGGTTTCATTTTTTCCATGGAAAAGAATCGACCAATCAAGAAACACACGCATAAATACAGTAAAAAATAAAACATCCAACTTAACCTATCCATTACGTACGACGCATGAATTCCAAAATATCATAACATTCCAGAATTAGTCTCCGCCTTCAAGATGGATCTCAAATTCGAATGGCAATATCAGATTGAAGATGATATAAAAAGCGATCATTTAAAAGCGCTATATTATAATATCTATTTAGCTACCGGAAGCTGAAAGTTTTCTTTTAAAAAAAATTCAATCGTTTGGTAAAAAATGTCAACGGAAAGTTTCTCGTTGACCTTATTGATGATGGCCTCTAGTATGATGATGGTAATCATTTGTGCTTCATCATCTCCATCATCTTCATCATCAATAGGCGAAGATATCGAACAGCAACAGCCCCAATTAGCTGGCCAACAATGTGCACCAAGCGATATTCAATGCAATGAAGTCTCTAATCCATCAACGATGATGATGACACAAAGATCAAATCCGTCATCTATTCAATTATTCGAACCATCTATTTTTTCAATGCCATCGTCACTATCTTTGAGCCAGAATCCGGCTTCAGCACTTTTAGTTCCAACAGCAAACATAGGATCTAATAACTTTGGCGATGGTGAACAACAATCGCAACAACAATCATCAATGAGAATTCAGGAACCAATCGATTTAGATTGGCTTATGAATCGAATACCACAACAACCACACCAAACATCATTTTTATTGTCAGGTTCATCACCGATTACTGCACCAAAATTGATTCGAGCATTCATTGTGAGCAATGGCAAAGGTGACGGAAGTAGTTCAATCTCGTCATCATTATCATCATCTCAATCAGTGGATCGTCGTGTGGCCCGTACACCACTTTTGAATATGGCCAATCGTTTTGGTAAACGTGATAAGCTACGTATGTCAAATCGTTTCGGTCGATAAACAACAAGGGTCTGTTTGACCAACTGGGAACTTATTAATCATCATCATTTTCATTAAAAAGTAAAAAGTAAAATATGCTTGCATTCAATCATTCAATCAAACATTCATTATCATCAGCATCATCGACATCATCGTTTGCGAAAAGAATGCATTAAAAATATAATTTCCGAAATAGCATGCGTCAGAAAATTCATATTTATTCAAGTTTATAAACTAATCACACCCGCATGAATTGAGTTAGAATATTCCTTCGTATCAGCTTACATAGACATATCATCATTCCATAATTATTAGATCAAATATATGATATTAATTCACACACACACACAGAAATAATATTAAATTAAATTCGATGAATTTAAACAGAATTTAAATGAAATAAATGGAATGGTTATTCAAATTTATTCAATTTAATTTGATCAAAAATCATTCAATGTAATCATTTGTATTATCATCAGTATTCACTTCTTTATTGGTTTGGTCCACTAGTCAATCCTGCTTTATCTGTTGTTTAGATGAACCAATAATCTTTTTTCGTTGCCCAAACATGTAAAGATAAAGCTGAGGAAAAACTAAAAAAAGAAAATAAACAAATGGACTATATGGTTTCAAATGGCAATACTTACAATGAATGTAGCTAAGCATGAATATTATGCAATACACATCATAATGGAATGAGAAATTTAATTTGTTTGGTAAATCGAACGAGAGAAATTTTTGTTGGCGAATCGGTCGAAGAGCAGCGTAAGTGGTAAATAGTTCACCAGAAACTCCAATTGGATATAGTACAATAAATAGAGTATAACGAAGCCAGGTACAAATGTACGGAACGGCATCATAAATGTTTAAGGCATAGTAAGCATATCGTGTACATTCGGCGATACACCAGGCGATCAATAACATCGGTACACCGATCGAATATCGAGCTTCGGACAACGGAATTAATATTCCCCAAACCAACATTAAACGAGAGAAAATTTGGGTAAATGTTGTGAACGGGATTTGATCGAACAAAACCAATCATGGCATGGAATACTTCAATTAATTGATAAGTTTGAAAAATAGTTATAATAATGGAACAATGTTCCCATAGTAGCCGATAATTATGACGTTCAGGCGAAAACAATAAGAACCGTATGGTCAGAAATAATCCATAAGCCCATCTATGAGAATAAAATTCAATGAATTAGCTAATCAATATTTGAAAATAATAACAAACCCAATAAATTGTACAGCATTATAAATGGCCAAATAATGTTTGACAATTGGTGGTGATTGCTGTCGAGTTTGAGATTTTTTAGTTTCCATTTTAGAGCAAAAATTGACTGATTTGAATTGATTTAGAATAGAAAAAATAAAAATTAAAAAATAAATTTATTGAAAAAACAATTGACAATATGAGGAAAATGTTGTCTTTTAATTTGACAACAAACACAAACCAGTTTTCGACCAAGTAATATGAGTTTTTTAGCATTCTAATGACGCGATTGCTAAAGCTCGAACATTGAAAGGAAAAAAACAACTTGTAGACGTAGTTACGCAAATGAATAGTGTGTGTACTTAAATTCAAAATGAAATGAAATACAACTTTGGTTTGTGATATAAAATAGCCAAATTGGAAAACAGCCAAAGACTGAAGCGCGATAGTTGTTGTGTGATAATATAACTTTGAAAGAAAAAAAAATCTCCAACTTACAATTGATTAATCATGTTTTTTTATTCGATATTTTAAAAAGAAAATCGATTGTATCGATGTGAAAACTGCAAACATTTACAAATCAAAAAAAGCTTCTATCGAAACCAGGTCCACGCGGCGGAGGTAAATGGTCAGGATCAGGTCTATATAAATTTTTAGCAATTTATTAGTATTAGTATTAGTATAATGAAAAAAAATCGATTACCTAAAAAAACGAGCGTCAGGTAGAGGCCCCACAGGATCGTAACGAGCACCCGGCGGCAATGCTCCACGTGGCATATTCACAGGTGGACCACGTTCAGGTCGAAAACGATTTCCAGAGAATGGGTCGAATAACATCCCACCACCGATTCCTTGTCCGAAAGGATCTATTTAAAAAAAAGAATGATAATAATTCTACTGAGAATACAAAAATAAGCAAGATTTACCTAAATCACCACGGCCAATTGGTGGATAAATTAAGCGATTTGGATCATCTTCCAGAATCGATCGAGGTTGAGCGGGAGTAGGGAATATCGTGATCATCACGAGACGATGAATTTTCAGTTGATGATGATAACATCCCACCACCAATTCCTTGTCCGGAAGGATCTATTCAAAAAAGAATCACAATAATTCTAATGAAAATAGAAAAATAAACGGAATTTACCTAAATCACCACGGCCAATCGGTGGGTAAATTAAGCGATTTGGATCATTTTCCAGAATCGATTTAGGTTGAGCGGAAGTGGGAATATCGCGATCATCAGGAGACGATGGGTTTTCAGTTGATGATGATGAAGGAGCAACTATAGGCTGCTTTTGACAATTAAAATTTGACATGTTTTGACAAATAAATATGGTCAGAGGTTTAGACCAACAACAGCGAAAAAATAGCGATAGTTTAAAATAGCGACTGACGAGAATAGCGAATGACCAATTTTCAATAGAAGGTTTTCAATAGATTTGTTTATAAATTCTTATTAATTGCGTCATATTATTAGCATTTATAAATGGCTGCTGAGAAAACAAATGAAAATTCATGCGCAGCAAAAAATATAACAATACGTTGTATTTGAATGGAATCGAATGTCACCTTTGTTGAGCTATAGATGGCTACAGTGCTGCAAAACATGTGAGTGAATGCAGCTGAGCTGTTTTGTTTATATATTAAACTTGATGTCATTTGTTTGGTTTATATTCTCAATTTTTTAGCTAACAACGAAAAAGGTAACCTTTGATTATGATAAAATTTCCAATATAGATGAAACATTTTTCTTTGTATAGATGGCTTCAAATCAACTGGTCAAACATTTGGGTGGTAAAGTCAAGCCGGTATTATCATTGAATCAAACGGAAGCTCGTCGTCGTGTTTTGAATCTATATCGAGCTTGGTATCGACAAATACCATATATTTGCTATGAAATGGAATTACCAGTCAATGATAAACAGATGCGCAATAAAGTTCGTGAACTATTCCTAGCAAATCGACATATAACTGATGTACGTGTGATCGATATGTTGGTCATTCGTGGTCAAATGGAATTGAATGATACAATCAATAAATTTAAATCTCATATGCATGTGATGGCCTATTTCAATGAACATCAAAATCCTAAAGATTTCCTTTCGAAATTTTTGTCCGGTCATAGTAATGAATAGATCATAATATTGTAACTTATTATACAATAATAAAAATATTAGATTATCACATGTAAAACAAGTTAAAATAAATTGGTTAGATTTGATATGTTTCCAATTCTTAGGAAATTTCCATTTAGTGTGTTTACCATCACGATCAATAAAGTGAAGAAGAACACTATCGATTATTGTAGGAACAACATTCGAAGGTCCTTTATTTTCCCCTCATTCCTGATCAATGAATGTGAGTGATGATGTAGCATCCAATCAAGAAATCCAGGGCTGAATCCTTAATGGCGGCCGTATACACATCGACATAATAAGAGGAGTATAAGGGGGGTTAGGCAAATCTGTGCTCAATTCAATAGTGTTTATCTGCTCTGGCTGGTGGCTTGGTTTTAACATTTTGGTTAGTTTGGTAGCCGCCGACTCGCGCGCACACCTCAGCACCACCATCAAACCGAAAACAAGAAAGAGAGACAATTACTGCTGTCGTCGAAATTGGTTGGTTCTTTCATTACACATTCATTTTCATTACTCGTGCATTGAAAGTTTGATGTATGGTTTGGATTTTTATCGTTGTTTCGATTTTTCATTTTCATGGTTCTCTTTCTTTTCTTTAGCTGTGTTTGATGAATTGTTTACAAAGACCGATTATTGCATAATTCTTGGATCATATTCCAATAATCAAGGTAAGATTCATAAATTCAATTCTATTAATGTTGTTTTCGTATCGATCTATTCTTTTTTTTCGATTATTGATTTATGATTTTGATTAATGTCGAATATCATCATATTTGCATCATGTTCGATGATTCTAAACACCAGATGTGTATGTGTGTTTGTAAAACGTTTGATGACCTGGCATGATGATGATGATGGAATGCTATTGAATTTTCTTTCTACCAACTTATTGTTATTGTTATTGTTTTACTCAACCGATATTTATCCATGTACAGCTGGATCTGGGTTTCTTGTTTCAATTTCAAATGGTTATATTATTACAAAGGAAAGAAAAATTTTATCTATTAAAAATCAACAAGCAGAAGCAACGGAAAAAAATGTGTGCCGTATGATTTCGAATAGCAGACCATATATTTATCATGATGATGATGATAAATATAACGTGCGCGCACACGTATTTATAGGAATAGAATTTTATTTTATTTTTTTGGTTTAGGTTGCCATCAATCTATCCATTGATTATCAAAATGATCCTCTCGGGCGTCATGTTTGTTCAATTCCGATTTATATACAATTTTCTATGCATTATATGTTTGTGTGTGTGTGTGTTTGTCACTGTTTATTTGTGCAACCGAGATCCACTTGAATTGCCAAATTTACACACACACACACACACACACACTCGTTTGTTTGTATTTGTCTTGGATTGTCTTTTGGTTATCTTTTTATTTCTAGTCATACATTCAAATAGATCAATCTTCAATACTGAATCTGGTATGTGTGTGTGTGTGTTTGATTTCTATTAAGTCCCAGTTTATGTTCCAAGTTTGCTTGACATTTTTTTCGTTTTTTCTTAGCTTTGTGTTTTTGTGTGTGTGTGTATATGTGAGAAAAAGGGGGTTAAAATAAAATGTTTTTAGACCTTTTTTTCGTTGTTTTTTAAATTCATAAATTGTATATATGTGAATTGAATCGAAAAAATGTCTTAGAATGGTCAGCCCATTAGTTCTTTGGTCTTGTTTTCTCCTGATATTACCACTACAACTATTATGTTCAAAGAAAAAAGTTGTCAATACTCAAAAAGAAAAAAGTTGCTGGTGCTGCTGTTGTGGATTTATTGAAAAAAAAGAAGCTATGCCAGACCTAACTGGAAACTCAATTTTTTTCTTTGGTTTTCTACACTTGATTTGACTTGTCTTAACTTCTTTGTTCTTGGTCTGTTCATAAATAGCACACATACATATAAAGAACAAATACACTCTCTACAACTAGCAAGTGTACATTTTAGAGACAATAATGAAATTCTTTAAAATTTTAATTCCCTTTTAAAAAACTTAATTCTTATATATATGAATTTTATGTTATATAATTGATTTGATTTGAATTGAATTGATATATTACTTTATGTGAACCGGTCAAATCCATGATTTGTTTTTTTAAATCATCATATATCAATAATAAAATAAGGTAAGTGAGATTTGTCTTTGTTTCTTTTAATGAACAATGCACGTATCTAGATTTTGAACTTAATTCTCATATATATTAATTAAGGATTATGGACTCTGACCTTGTGCGTATCGATTGCCCTTTATGACATTTCTGTCCATACATTAAAAGAAAAACATATCGGCAAAACATTACATGGACAGATGGCGCCCAGGTTGTTAGTATATATTTCATTTCATTAAGTTCCATTTAAACCAAAATATGGCTATAATGAACGACAATAATCATCAATGGCAGTGTATTTTTTTTATATTTTATTATAACAATATATAAATGCAATGAAATGTAACAACAACAACAACAACCAAAATCGCTCTTTGTGTTTATATGAACGTACATGAATGTTTAAGAAGGGGAGACGATATCAAATCATGGCAAAAAGTGATTGGCCAAATGAATGAGAGAGAAAAGGCGCGTAATTTTCAGCATCGCCTATGCTTGTGAATGTTACGCTTTTTTTATAATAGAAAATTGCAACACCAATTTTATTCCATTGCTTATATGAGGGAGGGCATAGACAAGTCACGAATTGAAATTTTTTTTTGTCAATGAAAAAAAAGAATCGTCTGCACGTCGACGCGTGTCAATTTTAATTTAGCTCCACCTATTCATTCACAGCTGATGCTACTACTACTATAGCAGTATGAGTTTAACAATTTTCATTCCATTCATTAAAAGTAATATATTCTCTGTCGTCTGTATTTGTTTACATTTTTACAAACGTCGTCTGATTGGTCAAAAAGATTTAATATAATATAATAATAACAGTGGTAGTGGTAATATGCAACACAATCTTCGGTAATGGCGCGCTTTTTTCCGATCCGATCCGGGTTTTGGATTATCTCTTGTTGTGATGACCGGAATTTTTTTCTCTTGTTTCAATTTTTCGATAAATTCGTTTTTTCCGACCAATAATAATAATAAATGAGTATAATCTGAATCAGAGTATCCAGAATGAGTACTGTATCTAATTTTTTTTTGCCATGATAATTACTATTTCATATGGCCGTGGTGATATGTTGCTTTTGCTCACCACGAGGTCGCTTTATATTCACGTAAACTGCTAGTCGGCTGGACATATGAAAGGATTTTTTTGATTGATTGATTCGAATCAAAAATATTCGTAGCAGTTGGTGGTGGTGGTGGTAGTAGTCATATTATTGAACGGGTAATCGACCAGGTGTCGATGTTGTACTCTTACCAAAATAAAATCCATTTGTGACACATTGGTATGTCACAATTTTATTCCAAATTGATTTCATATGTGATGCTTGAATTCATACCGAATTTTGATTTTTTACTTGCATCATTGTGAACTATTTTATATATTGATTAAACTCCATATTGTTAATCAAAAAATGAAAATTACTATATTTACGGTAGACGACACCGATAGAATTGAGCTTATAAACTCAAACTTAATACTTCAATCAACAAAAGAACAAGAAAAAAAGGAAGTGAAGAAGAAAAGAATGGAAATATATCATGGTTGGTAAATGTTTTTGATGATGATGATGATGGTGGTGGAGTTGCAAATCGAGATTGCCAAGCCAGATCAAAATAAGTAACTCTCCCACACCACCACCACCACCACCAACGATTGGTGAATTTTTTTATTATTATTACGAACAGAAGGCACACCAATAGTTATTATCATCATCAGCTTTTACATTCTCTTTCTCCCTTTTTGTCTGTGTGTGTGTGTATTAACTATCCTATCCTTATGCTTTATGTGTGTGTGTATGTTTTGTATGCCCAGGCAATAATAATAAGGCATAGATTGGTCGATGGATGGATCTATTGGACTTTTTTTTCAACAACAAAAAAAAATCTAACACATTGGGAATATATCTTCTATCATCATCATTTTTGTATATACACTCTTGCTACTGTGGTTTGTCTCAATATATGCTTCTGCCTGTTTCTAGTTTTTCTATTTCTCTCTGTTTATACCCGTGTGTCTGTTGTTTGTGTGTTCTGTTCTCGTAGTTTTTTTCTTTTTTTGATTGTATATTGTGTGCATGTATGTAAGCGAGAAGCTTTTTTTTTCTTTTTTTCTCGCTGGGCTAGCGTTTCCTGCTCCATTAAAAATGTGAATTTCTATGTCGAAATCTAGTGGTTCTACTCATATCAACTAAAAAAAACGACGACAATACCAGAATTTTTTTTTTTTTAATATTGCCAATTCCAAAATAGATAATTGATGATGAATGAGAAATGAAATATATTTTTTTTTGTGTCCAATTCATCCATTAATTCCATCTTCAATATACACTATATGAATTGTTGGCGTGTGTGTTTATCCCGGCGTGAGTTTTTTCTGATATCGAGGATTTTTCTCTTTTTTCTCAAATGAGATTGTTAATTGTGACTGGTGTTGTGATTTAAAAAAAAATTCTATTTCAATAATTGGACCGTTTTGCTGTATCGGTGAGATTTTTCACTTCGAAAAAAAGGGTTTGCAATGGAAAAAATTTGTTTTTTGTCTAACTAATTGATTTATATTTTTTTCAGGTTTCTTTGTTGTTGATTAGCAAGACTATTTTCATTGATTTATGGCTAAATTATAGATCATTACGCAAATGAAGAATAAAAAAATTTTTAACGACTATTAAATGCAACGTGAATCACTCGATCACATCTACGAAAAGGCTATCATCATCCACATTGATTTGGCCGATTCGATTTTGATTTTAAAACGAATCAAAATTAATATTAAAAAAAATTAACGTATGGCAGCTACACCATTAGCGTCTTCCGCTATAACGCCATCCATTGTTGTTACAACTACACCGATGTCAGATCTTATGGCCAGACAAACGAATGGTACAACTACAATCAATGTACATGGAAATGAGAATCTAATGAGCATCACTAATATTACCAATGAAACTCATGATGATCATTTATATTTATCACCAAAATTTTATAATGAACAACAACAACAACATAATTCGAAAACTAAAAGATCCAAACAGCATTTGCAAAATGAAAATAACCAAACTCGTTATAAATCAAATGGAATAGCGATGAATAATGTTAAACTAGAAACGGAATTCATTGTCGATACAACACGGCCTTCATTTTTGATCACAGGTAGTTCTAGTTCTCGACATTCTCATTCTCATCATGGTAATGGCCATCATCATGGAAATAATCAGATTTTTCTCAAACAACATCAAAATACATTGAACAATAATCATAATGCATTGCAATCATCAGATGATGCATCCAGTACATTTATCGATGATGATTACATTGATGAAGATTCCAATACGGATACTCAAAGTTGTTCTAGTTCTTCAGGATGCTCTAGCAGTTCAAATTCGATGGTTGGTTCTGTTAATCGACATCTATCATTAAATAATTATCAAAATTCAATTAAACAACAATTGACGGCAACAACGACAATCGGTTATCAAAATATTCTAAAACAACATCAATCAAATGGTTCAACAAATACCAATAATAACATTTGCCATTATACTAAAGATTTAACGCCCAAACAGGTAAGTTTTTCTGATTATTATTTTATTGATTGATAAGCGTGAGTTGCTTCAGCTCAATTCTTTATATATATAGATTTTTCATTGCTTACTATGATTCAGTATATTAGAATCATTATCAAATATCCGTTAATATTCAATTCTGATTCATATTCATAAAGAAAGTAGACTGTGATCACTGATTAAAAGAGAGGGAAAGAGAGAGAGAGAGATAGGAATAGGAAATAGAGAATGAACAAAAAAAACTAAAAATGCAGTGTAAAGCTTGAACAACGCGCGCGCACAACCAGCTAAAATGAGAAAGAAAAAAATCGACAAGCTAACTAACCGGTCCTATGGCTGAAACCATGGTGGGTTTTTGTATGCGTGCAACCCTGGGCACATCAACCAAGCCAAAAGCATAGCTTTCACTAATTTTTCATATTAATTTGAGATTTTAAGAATCAAAATTATCATTGGTATGGATAAATGTTGTGCCTTCTTTTTCTAGACATTCTATACATCCATCCATTTTGATTTTTTATTCATTCACAATTTAGTTCGGTCCAGTTGCTCGTGACAACAACCACCATAGTGAGATATATTTAGATATTTAGAATTAGTTTTTGGCGGGTAAAATAAAAACATTTTTTCTTACTGGAATTTCATTTTAATTTTGTTGAATAATCAATGATGTTTTTTATAATTCATTTAAAACTCGGAATCGAATTGGATTAAAATAGCTGAAGCCAATTTTTTGTTGGCTTTGAAATTCTAATGATGGCAATGATGGTCAGTCAAGTGGCCATATTCGTGACGTGACCATCATCATCATCATCATCGTATCGTTGAACTGTACGGGAAACATTTTTCTCATTTTTTTAATCTATTCTACGCGCATGAGCAACAAAAGTTTGAAGTTTAAATTGATCATTTGTGAATGCTTATATCATCTATAGCTAGGCCTCAAAGTGACCATATTTTTTTTTCTTATTTAATTCATTGTACTGTTGTTCAAGAGACGCAGCTGTATTGGTATCTAAAATTTATTTTTCCTTTTAATTCATTATTATCTCAGTTATTTTTTTTTTTTTTTTTGTATGGTTTTGTATTGAAAGATACAAGTTGACACGTACCACCTGCATATGTCATCGTGGTGACATACAAGCGGTATTACCCTAAAATCGCGATTATAAGACGCAAATATTTTTTTCCATAAAGTAACTATTAAGTATAAGACTATTTTTCAACTTTTTTTTGCGATTACCGCCTGAATTGTAAGACACCAGAGTATTGTTCATGACTATTAATATTATTATTATTACTTCGCATAGCTGCACACATGCATACATTCGAAAAATGACATTTTAATCTTTAACTTATCATCATCTTTTGATTCTTTTCTCATGGATTTTATTTTTTAATAAATGCCATGCATGGATGATGTTACCATCATCAATGTTTATGTGCGATAGCCAGTCTGATTAGGTTAGGGTCCACATATATAGATAATAAATGTGAATGATTATCCTTCTGAAAATATGCAACAAGTCTTTCTCTGATTATTTGCGCCCTCTATTGCATCCTTCATTTCGAAGACTAGGGATAAATTTTCTTTTTTTTCCCGCCAAACGATCGACGACCCTGTTATAACATTGAATACACATACACTCGGCACGGTCCACTAAACTTTGGCCTTACCGGGGGTGTTGTCCTCTTTCAAATTTTTGACTTTATTTTGCTCTAGCTACAACAATTACCATCGCTATTGCTATAGCTTCGGGGCTTTTTTATGAATGAAAATTGTTTCGAATTTAATTTCAATTGCTTACTGTGTGTGTGTAGAGAGAGAGAGAGAGTTCACAAACACTGATGATGATGATGATGATGATTAACTTGGACAAAGGTGATAGTGGTGGTAGATCGCGACTAGATTGAAGGATCGGCTTTCCTTTCGTTTTTTTTCAACAAAAACTCAACCGACAAAACTAAACTATGAAGCCAATTCATAACAAATTGAATTGAATCATAGTTGTTGCTCTATTTTGTTAAATATATGCATCCCCATTGGTATATGCATAAATGTATGCAACTTTATATTCATTCATAAACATTAATGTGGATGGATGTATACCGCCACCACAGATCAACCACACACATATGCTCACACAATGGATGAATGTAGGTCCGTTCATTCAATGAGATATTTTTTTGGCGCCAAAAAACAGGAAAAAAATTGCATTGCCATGCAATGGGGAAGATACCAGGGATAGGCTCGATGGTTCAATGATTGTCCTGTCTTTTTTTCTCGGTATTCTTTGGCTTGTATCATACCGATCTACTGTATGTAGTGTTTTTTTTGTGTGACACATTCGATTTATAACGTCCGCCCATTTCACCGATGGAATGATGATGATGTTATTGGCCAAATAAATTTTAAGGGGATATTTTACATTTTTACGATTGTTTCAGCATTTCGGAAATATAAGTAACAAGCTTAGCCGTGCGTGTAAAGAGAGAGAGTCGAGTATAGAGTTCAGTGATCATTAGTCGAGCATCATCATCATCATCATTTTGAGATTTTCCCATTGTTTTGCATGATGATAACGAAAGTCGTTTCCTATTCTCGTCGTGCATGTCACATCATCATTATCATGATTATGTGGTGACTATCACTTGGAATTTAGCCATTGGGCATTAAAACGACAATCGGATGCCATTCTCATCATCGGAATCGATTATTTAATCATTATGATATTGACTGCCATTAGCAACCAGTAACCTCATTATTATCATCATCATTTTAACCATCGAATTTTTATGTAACCAATACTCAACAGGTCATCCGTTTCGATGATGCTTAGTTGTGAATTTCGCGCCAAAACTTAGAAAAAGAAAAAGTCAAATTGTCATTCTGATACTCTTTTTAGTAAAATGTTAGCATTAAAGTTGATTCTATCGAATTCCACATGTGTCCTATAGTGTTTGTTTTTTATATGATTGTTTCGATTCAGTATTAAGAATTCATTTTTATTCTTATGAGCAATAATAAATTGCCTTTTCTCTTTTTTTGAGATTATTTATCATCAATCATCGATGTGATATGTGCAACACGCAACAATGACGACAATATCCAAAGTTGCAGTTGATGAGTGTGTGCTCGCTTTGTATTCAATAATAATAAAACCATGGATAAAAGTTTGACTGAAGGTGGTGGTGGTGGTGGTGGTTATACTGTTTTAGGAGCTCTTTCATTAGTAACTGTTATGTTTCTGTGTATTTAATTCAGTTTTTTTTGCCTCATGAATCGCCGAACGAAATCAATATCTTTGTTTTTCAAATGTTGGATCATTTGATTTACAATGCCGCATGTTGTTTTAAAGGTCATTATTATTTTTGCTTGATGTTTGTTTGTATGTGTGTGATTTATTGATGTCTTTGATTATGATTCATCTAATCATCAATTCTTTTCATTGTTTTATTTGTACTTTGTAGGTGAAAAGAAGATTAGATTGGGATTCACCCCCCACATCTGCATCGCCACCCGAATCATCCAATGCAATCAATGGTAATCCTGTAGCAACAACTACGACAATTACAGTGGCCAAAACAACAATGACAGCAGTAAATGGAAAACCCGTCAGTGTTCGTACGTTTAAATTGTCGAATGCAATGAAACAAAGCCTGGTGGCATCCGGCTGTTCGAAAGCTGTTGCCGTTGCTGCTGTAGCTGCTGCTTTTCATACAAATGCAAATGGTGGTAGTGCTAATCAACAACAATCACAGCATCATTCACCCGATCGATTAATATCGGCAACAGCTGCTGGTTGTGGTTCTGACACCGGTATTTGTCCCGTTACAGCAGCAATCACACCTGCCATCGTTGGTGGTTCGTCATCCGTTGTGGCCCCGACAGCTGTACAGTTTGTAGCTAACATTTCCGAACTATCGCAAGCATCACCAACCATTGCCATTGTGAATCCAAACAATACACCACTTGTACAGCTTGGTGGCCATCAAACAGCTACCGCTACGGATTCTGTACAGGCCCAAAACGGAATATTCAAAACACCATTAGCACCAAACAAATCGATTACGGCTCTTACTCCTTCTTCCTCTGCTCCGTCTTCATCCAATGGTCATTCACAGTCTCAGCAAAATTCTGTTCATCGTTTTTACATTGTAAACAATGATGGTATGACTGGCGGTGAGTCCGACATGAAAACTCATTGTTTAAATATCAAATCAAAAAATTCAACTTCAAAAATTCAATTGACGCCAATATTGGCAAATTCAGTAGTCAAACAACAACAGTCATCAGAGAATCAGCGATCAAACAAACGTGCTCGAACCACAACACCATTAGTGAAAAAAGAAGAATCTAATTTTGAAGATTCTGCGACCAATAGCAATTTGCCACGTGTAAACTATATTCGTATACGGCCTTCAAATGGGTCAATGAATGGCACCAATAATGGAAAATCTAATGGTGCCATTCGAACTATATCGAATTCTTCGGAATCTTCATTGCCATATTCACAATCTAAAGATTTTTCTTCATCTCCAATTGTAATGAATGAAGATGGTGATGATTGTGGGTCGAATGGTGGAGATTTGTTTATTAATACATCCTCAGGATCCACTAACGGATATTATGGCAATGGTGGTTTGCCAAGTACGTCATCTTTATCATCTTCATATCCATATAGTCCATCGTCATCATCATCAAGTGATTTTGCCACCACCACCACCTCTCATCATCAACAACATACAAATACATCTAATTCAACTGGTCGTAAATCTGGACGTACACGCTATGAAACTTCATTAGGTCAATTGACCCGTAAATTTATCTCATTATTGGAAGATTCGTCAGACGGTTCGATCAATTTGAACGATGCTTCCCAAGTCCTACAAGTACAAAAACGTCGAATCTATGATATAACAAATGTGCTTGAAGGCGTTGGCCTATTGCACAAAACATCCAAAAATAATATTCAATGGCGAGGCGGTATTATCGATTATTTTTCGGGTCGTAATCCGGCTGATTTTAGTGATCAAACCTCCCATTATCGCAATCGTAGGCCACCGCCTTTATCGTTATTATTCAATGAAAATAGCAATGATTCTAATAGTGGTGGTGGTTTTCATAATGGTTGTTCATCGTCTTCCCAATCATCATCGATTGATCACAGATTAAGTGAACTCGAAAACGATGAAAATCGTTTAGATCATCTTTTAAGTGTTGCTCTCGAAAATCTCAATACAGTTAAGCGTAGTCCCTATCTTTATGCGAGCTATAAAGATTTACGTCGAGTTCCCCAATTCCACGATCAAACTGTGATAGGAATTCGTCCGCCTCCCGATACCGAACTTCAAATTTCTGATCCTTCAGAGGTAATCGTTTATAATTCTAATCGATAAATTCGTTTCTTAACAACCCACTTTATGTGTATTTGTATTTTGCTTATATATAGGGCTTACAAATTCGGTTAAGAAATTCTCGATGTCAAATGATCGAAGTCTATCTTTGTCCGCCTACTAATGATGATGAAACCAGTATTGTCGACCCGACAATGGCCAATTATGAGTTCCAATCATCACATCTCGACGAACCATTGCAGACAGTGCCTACGCTGGCCAGACGTTCCTCTTCCTCTCCCACAGTCAACGAAATCATTCCGATTGATTCCGAGGAATTAGTTACTGAGACAGCTACTAGCCAAGCAGCTTGTCATTCAGATATTCAAAGTCATGCGAATACCGAATCTGGTTATCATTCATATTACGGTAGTGGTTCAATTCAGACTCCTGTACGGACAACGATGGCCAACCCTAATAAAATGATAAACACTATGGGCAATGGAAGTATCCCTAAAAGTCATCAGTCACAACAACACGTAATTCAATCGCCTACTAAATGTTCTTCAGTATACAACGTCAATGATAGCCCGATTATTGTCAAAAGTGAGTTAATAGATTTTATAATTGTTATTAGATAAAAATTATAATTTTTTTTCCAAAATAATAGGCGAACCATCATCTTGCCATGATAGTTACGCACATGCATTCATTTGTCATGATGATGAATTTGGTCCATTAGGATCTCGGACTTATATGACACAGACTGAAGATCAAATAACATTAAAGTCTTCCTCATCGTCGCCGATATCAAGGCAGAACGAACAAAGTGGCAACAGTTCTGCAACGCCAAATAATCATGATCATAGCTCTAATAATAATAATAATAATAATAATCAAACTCATCGATCCAGTCATCATCATAGCCAATATCATCATTCACCATTATCACATTGTCATTCATCACCCATAGCAATGATTCCATTAGAGCCACCTGTAACAACCGATACCGATGATTATAATTTTACCCTTTGTGACAATGAAGGCATCGCTGAACTATTTGATGATAATGATTTTTCTCTAGACATTTAAATGAAAAGCTCACATGTTTGTGTTTGTCTTTTTGTGTGTATGTGTTCATGTTAATGTGATGGATAAATCATTGGTATCATCATAAGAGATTACTTTAATGTTACCGATTGGTCATCTGAAAACAATCTTATTTTTAATGATGATGATGATATATATGATCGACATAAACAAACGAAGAGACAAAAAAATTATTGAATATTATCCGCCGAAAAAATGGTATCACATTTTAATCATGTATCTTATTCACACTCAAATCCCCATTGATACGCCTCATCAAATCTAATTTTTCATCAAAGAAAAAATAATTCTCCAAAAAATCGAAACTAAACCCTCAACTTAACTTTCATTTTCATTTATATATCCGTTTTAATTCTGTTTTATAAACATTTTCTTTCTTTATTCAGAAGAAAATTCTCTTATCAACGATAAATTACCAACCAAAATGTTTGATGTTTTTAAATCGTCCCACACTCATACAAAAACCCTAATCAATATTTTAGCTTCACACCTCTTTTTTGTTAATTTGATAGAATTTTTTTTTCTTTTCTTTTAAAATGTTGTTTGGATTCTATTCATTATTATTCATCCATTCACGCTCTTGCTTTTGACTTTGTTTTTTCTTTCGGTCGTTTTATCTGAGCATTCTGAAGATTTTGACTATTCAGGCTATATTCAAACAAATTTGCACATCCTTATCTTGATTCTTCATGATCTGATTTATTATTCAAACAAATCCATATTTATGGACATTTTTTTGTTGTAATTGATTCAATACAGCAAAAAATAAGTAATGATATTTTGTTTTGTAAAAATTTTTAATAATAATAATAATATATTTTAATTTTAATAACTTTGCTATAATTTTTTTTTATTGAACTTTGACATTAAATTTTTTGTCATTGAGTTCAAATATTTGAATGCCAATTGTAGTCATGTCCTATATGAACGTGACTGCTAACACGAATACATGAGAGAGTGAGATATAGAGAGGAGGCAAAATCGTATATCATTCATTGTCATATTATTTTGTTTATTTATGTTTCGTTTGTTTGTCTCCAAGAAAAAAAAACAAAACTCGCAAAATCGTAATATTTCTGATGATACACACTGACATGTTTAAGAATTAAGTATCAACACATCAACATCAACATTTATGTTTATTTCATCAACAACTTTATTTTTGGTAAACATTCAACTGTAAACTAATGATAATGCATAATGTATTTATTGAACAATCAATGATTCGCGAACAACATTGATTGTTGATTGATTAATTTTCTTTATGATTGATTGATTTGTGTTCGATTTATGGTGTTAAAAATGGTAAAATTTGAATATTCTATCTTTAAATGATGGGCTATAAGCTCATATAATCATCATATATTTGTTTGCTTCGACCACAATAACCATTTGCTGTATTCAATTGTATATATTTATAGATGATGTGTGTGTCTATCTCTTTTGCTTATGTGTGGAGTTTTTTTTTCTGCATGCAGTGAGGCAGTCACATGATATGATCATTCATGACTCATATGACGATAGAAAAGCAAAGCCAAACGAAGCAATTGAGCCATGATGATGATATGTGTTCATCAGCATCATCATCATCATCATAGATCTAGCGACATAGGACATTCGAATTAAATCGAATTCTAAAAGTTCCAGTCAGTTTTGTTTCACAAACCAAGAGTGTAACTATAGTTGTTGCAGTCCAGGCAATTATGCTTTTTTTTTGTTCAACTTTATCATCACAATAATAATTTTTATTAAACAATAATCTTCCTGTTGCCTTGATTTTAATTGTAATTATTATATTATATTAAATGTTTTGTTTTGTTTTGTTGTTTGTGCTATTTGCTTCTACTGATCTACAGATGTTTTTTTATACGAAATAATTTATTTATTTAGATGGTAATTTCCTCTTCTCCAAAATAAATCATCTTGTTTCCGAATTTGATTCGACCTTTTGATTGTTATCAACAAAATATAATAAACAAATCAAAATCAAAAAATCATCTGTGTTAATATCACCACCACCCACCAATAACAATTGAGTAATTCATCTCAAATCTTATTTATTCATTCAAAAATGGTAAGTATTTGACGTTTAATTAATTTCACTTTATTTATTTATAATTTGAATAGGATTCATATAGAGAAGAAAGCTATATGGTTCCAGAATCATTCCCAAAATCGTACAATTATCCGAACGAAGAGGAGAATGATCATCACTCTCATATTCATCATATTCCCCATCATTCACATAATGAAATGGATGTTATGCGTCATATTACCGATGATATCAAGCCGAAAATCATGATCATGGGCCCAAAGAGGTCTGTTAGTTAAATTTAAAACGCCCTATTTACAATTTTTTTTCAATTATACTTGTTTAGAAGCGGAAAATCTTCCATACAGAAGGTGGTTTTCCATAAAATGTCACCAAACGAGACGCTATTCCTAGAGAGTACAAACAAGATCGTAAAAGATGGTAATTACATGAAAGAGTTATACATACATTCATATATTAATCATTTTACTCTTCATGTAGATATAACAAACAATTCATTTATTTCATTCTCTATCTGGGACTTTCCTGGCCAACTTGATGATCGTGAACTTGAATTTGATAATAACTCTAGTTGTGGTGCTCTTGTATTTGTCATCGATTCACAAGTATGTATTCGTTGCTAATTGCTGTTTGTAATTTTTAATGACTAATGTTTTTTGTAGGACGATTATGGTGAAGCGCTCGTTCATCTGAATCAGATTGTCCGAAAAGCCCATCACGTTAATCCTAACATCAATTTTGAAGTGTTTATACACAAAGTGGATGGTCTATCCGACGATCATAAAATTGAAGCTCGTCAAGAAATTCATCAACGTGCCAATGAAGATTTACTCGAAAGTGGTGAAGACATTTCGCTTAGTTTTTATCTAACATCTATTTATGACCATTCGATATTCGAAGCTTTCTCGAAAGTTGTACAAAAGTTGATACCTCAAATGCCTATACTCGAAAATTTGCTAAATGTTTTTATCTCGGTAATTAATTGTCAAACAATGTTTTTGTTATACAATGCAATTTTACCTCTTCTTTTAGAATTCCGGCATCGAGAAAGCGTTCCTCTTTGATGTAGTGTCCAAAATATTTATTGCAACCGATTCATCTCCTGTCGATATGCAATCATATGAACTTTGTTGTGATATGATCGATGTTGTAATCGACATTTCTTGTATTTATGGGTAGGTTCAATTTTTTTATTATTATTATTATTAAGATTAAGATAGAATTTATTGTTATATCGTTTGCCATGTTTTTTCAAATAGAATAAACGAAGATGGTGAAGGCAGTACATTCGATCAATGTTCGTCTTCTTCAATCCGGTTAAATTCTGGTACTGTACTTTATTTGCGTGAGGTTAACAAATTTTTAGCCTTGGTTTGCATCCTACGTGAAGAAAATTTCACTAAACAAGGATTGATCGATTATAATTTTCAATGTTTTCGACAATCAATTCAAGATGTCTTTTTTTATCGTATTAACGAATCTCGAATGTCTCATAACAATAACAATAGTGTTATAGAAACACCATACGGGTCATCTAACGCTCAAGGTATCGATCATGATCATCACCATCATCACCAATTGATGATAAATAATAATCTCGAACCAGATTTGGATAGTTTGGAGAATGAAATGCTTGGTGACAAACGAACATCGACTCCAATCAATCGATTAACGCCCAGTACATCACCAGCAACAACAGCCACGCACTTTAAACCAAGCAACACTAATCATCATCATCATCATCCAGGCCGAAAGATGGCCATCCTACCTTCGACTACAATTCCATCTTCATTGCCCAATCACCAGACTAGTATCAATAATCTGGTAACGACCACAACAACAATGAACATGGCAAGTAAATCTAATACAAACAAAATGCAACATTCACCCAATGTTTTTACTAATTACACAACGAATGGTCCTTTGGAACGACGTTTTGTTTGAATGATGATATTCGATTTACGTTTGGTATCCTTCGAGAGCTTATGCTAAATGTTTATGTTCAAAGTCCACAAACATAAGCATCTTGTTTTTCAAATTTTTTCAAATTTATCATTGTTTTTTATATATGGCAAGATGTGAAAATGAATTACATCCACCCCCATACACACACAACACGCTACAAAATGATTCCATTTTAAATTGATCAAAAGATCGATGAATTTAATAATTATAAATAATTTGAAATAAAATTGTTTTAATTTTTTGTTGATATTTTATTTTTTGTCAATCAATTTAATTCATCGTTAAATCTATATTTAGACAAAGTAAGTGCGACACCGAAATTTGTTTCCCATGCCGAACAAATTAAACGACAAGTTTGTATAAGACTTTGTTGATTAAGAAATGTCAATTTATATTCATAAATGATAAGTTGATTGTTATTGGTCAATGTTGATGATGATAAAGAGGCCGTTTTATTGTTGGCCAAAGATGGCGGTAAGCAGATGGTGGCTGTAGATTCATCGTCTTCACGAAAACGCATCACTAGTAATGATTTTGATTTATCAACGTAAATGTTGGGCAACAGGTTGTTAATGGATTCTTTGAACAACGTTTTAATTTCGATATGATCATTGAAATCTTTTTTGCATTGGTCTTTCAATGTTTTCGAAATTGATTGCTCATTTGAAGATGCTTTTTTGATAGTCGATGCTATTTTGGGCAACGAACAAAACATTTCGAATATGATCAGATGATCATTTGCTATTATTAGACCAATATTTTCATTGATTGTAAATACATTATTGAATGATGATGGTGAAGATGAAGATGCAGTAATCGTGGATGTCGAAGCGTTCTGTAGAAATCGAAATGATTGAAGAAAAAACATCCGATAAGATCGATCATTTTTAATGTCATCATTTTGGAATGCTTGAGATGGTTGTGGTTCGCCATGGTGTAGCAATGATCGACAAGTCTCATCGAAATCCACTTTCAAACAATCGACATTGTCATCTTTATCGTTATTTTCAATTAGTTTATTTTTCACTTTGATCAATCCATTCATATTGCCGACTAGATCAGATTTGGAATGATTGCGAATGCAAATTTTTTGAAATTCAAATAATAGTTCGAGGAATGCTTTGCCAACAGTATCATCGCCGAATATTATAAATTCTAATAGATAATTTGGTTGTTGACGATTGATGCGTTTATTTTTAGCCAATAGTTTCTTCTGCGAATTGCTAAGTTTATATTCGATCCAATAGCCAAGATTTTTAATTGGCCAAGGTAGATGACAAATATGAAGCGAACTTAATCGTTTCGATCTTGGCGCCAACGGAACGTAGAAAATCAAACATATTAGATCGTGTTTCTTTTCTTCGGATGTGGATCGGAAACTAGATGATGATAGATTTTTTCTTAGTAATAATGGCTCCTTAAGTGGTATTTCCTTGTTCGGAATCGATTGCTGCACAGCTAGATGATCGAACAAGAAAAAAAAGTTTGATGTAAGAACAGCAAGAGCCGGTTTAAATGAATTTTGTTGAAAATCGAAACAATAACAATAGAATAGGACTTCTACAGATTCTGACTTGAGCGATTCATCGCCAATCTTTTCATACAAATAGATTTCGATATGTAATTTAAGATAATGATCAATGTTGTAGCGGAAAAAGTTTTCGTCCAACTTAAGAAGGTCATTATTATCGTTCAAATCAGAAGAATCGTTACGAATGGAAGTGTCTTGTTGTGGATAATCGACTAACAGTGATTGTAATTGAACATCTTTATAAGCTGAACTTTCATCTTTGATGATCAAATCTGAGCCACATTTAGTACAATCAGTTATGATACGATGCGTTCGATTACCACATCGTAAACACATATAAAACCAAGGTGCATCTGCTGTTTTCTTATTTCCACTTGTTTTAGCTTGATCGATACCACCACCATCCTTATTTCCAAAAGATGATTGATATTGTTTTCGATAATCAATTAATTTGGAAAGAAACATTTCGACAAAATTCTTATAAGATTTTTCATCCAAAAAACGATATATACGTTCTTTTTTCGATACAACACAAGTGTCAAAATATAGTTTGATTGCTGTATTTACATTTAGACATTCATATTTTTCCAATACTTTTAGATCAAGTGTTTGTAAAACTTTGCCTGATGTACAATCTTTTTCGTAGATTAATCCATCATGTGGTCTGATACGAATAAAATAATAATCAATATCTGGATTTGGAGTTTCTAGAATTGATTCGAATTCAGAAAGGCTTTGATAAATTTCGACCAAGAACACTGTGTTCTCTTCCTCTGTATCTTCGCTTGCCCATTCAGAAGTGCTATTCAAAAACTGATGTGGTTCAGGTGAGATAGATTTTTTTGCCACGTTTTCGATGGTTTCATTTGGTTTGTCAACAATAGTTTTTTCAGAATCATCTTCTAATTGTTCCTCCTGTTCTACATAAACTTCAAACAACTTTGAGCTACTTTCGTTTCGATTTGGAATACTGCTATAACTTCCAGTATATCCACCAAAAAAATAATTCTTTATAGCTGTCTCATTTCGTTTTTCATTTCTAGTAACAGACGTGGATGATACAATGATGGGTGACACATCAGTTAAACTGTTAAAAGCTTCAATAGCTTCATCTTCATCATCGTCACTGATTACAATAAACCGTTCTTTGGATGGTTTACTTCTTTTCATTTTTCGAATATTTGCATTTTGATTAGTTGTATTTGATAACTGATCGGCTGCATAATCGTTGGATAATCGTATTGTTTGATCAACAATGTTTGATATAACTGGTAACGGTTGCAATGTTTCGCTAGTCTTGTTTCTGCTTACTCGTTTACCATTGAAACGGACCAATCGACAAAGGACACTTTGACATTTCGATTTAATCCAATGATCACAGCAAATGGGATTCTTTTCAATCCATAATGTCTTCAATGTTGATGAAAGATAGACCATTTCGGAAAGAAATTTTCTAGTATTGGTAATACTATTCTCAGAAACATCGAGGTAATCTAACGAAGTGAAATTTCTGAGACCAAAAATTGAATCAATAAGATTGCCACGAAGGGATAGATATACCAACGATGATAAAGTGTTACTATTTAGTTTCGGCAATTCTCTTAAAGAGTTATAGTCTAAACACAATTTAGTGATTGTCCCGGATGATGAATAATTGGCCAAGTTGTTAAAATGGGATATCCTATTACAGCGAAGATCCAACGTTACGATTGAATTGGGTATAGTTGATGCATTCATTACAGTAATGTTGCTACGAGATATACAGAGGTAAGTTAGTGAAGGCCATGAACCGAACTTGTCCCAAAAAAGTTCGTCAATTCTGAATGGTTTGAAATTATCCCTTTTTGAATCAATACTTTCATGCTGACGATATAATTGCCACAGTGAATATGTTGATTCACTGAGCGATTCATAATTTCCACGTATCCATATCAAGGATCGCAGATTTTGTCTCAATTTTTCCGTTCCGACCAATTGATGAAACGGAATCCTAATCAATTCGAGTGCTTGACAAGACTCAAACAATGATACATCGATCAATCCTCTAAATGACTTGTTCGACGGATAAACAATTTTGATACAAGGACATTCACGAGCTAATGAGAGGATAAAATCATCACCACATGAAGCTAATGAACATTTGTTACTGGGCGTTATGATTTCATCATCTTGTTCTTGTTGATCGTTGACAATTTTTTGTGGTACACGCAACAACAACAATAAACCGTCGATGCAAAGTTGACATTTTCCTTGGCGTAAATTTTTTGCTTGTAATCGACATTCTTGGCTAAAAATGGCCAATGAATGAGGGAAAAGATACGATGATGATGATGATGATGATGATGACATGGCAATTACATCAAAACAACGATCATGGACGGATAAATGGGGTATGAATTTGTTTATTTGAGGCGTAAATAATCATTTCACATTAGATCATATATTTTTATTTATTACATTGGTTTGAATCACATGTTTATATTTAGATGTTGTCTTTGATCACAGATATAGTACCTATCAATCAATCAATTCATAATTATAATCGATGATGATATGAAACATAAACACATTCCAACATAGTCAAAAACGAATTCAGATACTTTGGATTCTAAACAAGAAATAAACAAACAATTTCTTGCCTTAGTCACAATGTTGAACCTGTGCCTAATCGTGGCAAATGGTGCTAGTAGCATTCATCACAATTAACAGAATGGCCAAACCACAGTTTCCATACACATTGATTGTTATGCTGTTGTTATGCTATAGCCAATAGTCAAACGTTTGTCACCAAATTCAAATCGAATTTTTTCCATTATTGATCCAACAATATTTCAAATTTCAAACAGTTTTCAATATAAAATAGCCCGATGATTATGGGCATGATAATGTTGTTATTCGAATACGTCGAACTAATATGTCTAGCATCGAATCGATTCAAAGAAGTCTTAGTGCTAGTTTTTCTGAACAATTTTTGGATACGAACGAAAATCAATGTGATGATCAAGCATTTGTCCCGGAACCAATGAATACAAATGATGAAACAATCATTACGGATTCAAATATACATTATGACAATGATGAATGTTGGCGAAAAATGTCCGAAGAGTTTCTTCATCATTTTCGACGTCAAGCAAAACGGTTGTATAAAATTTGTTCCAAAATGACCAGATCAAGCAAATGTCGAGAGGAAACAATGCGAGAATTTAGCCAAAAATTGTTACGTGAAATGGAATCGTTTGTAAAACGTAAGAAATCGATCTATGAATCACGTTTGGAAGAAATCGATTCATTGAAAAGAGAAATCGAAACCATTTTGAGCCAAGTGATTTTATTTATGCCTGAATCAAGACTACGAAAATATCTTCGAATATCGATTGGATCGACATTTGATCACGAAGAAGAATCAAGCATTGAAGATCGGTTGGACGAATTGAAAAGAATGCAACAATCATTAATCGAATGTCGAGATAAACACGTGTCTAAGGTGATTGACTCGCAGGAAAAGTTACAGCAGTTGATCAAAATATTGGGCATCGATTCCTATGATAGTAATGATTATACTCGTTTTTTGTCAACTCATTTGTTAGATATCGAAGAACTAAAATTACTTCGTAATGAATTAGCCAATCTTCATATATTGATGCATCAACGACAACTTCTTTGCAGCCAAATGGCTAAACAGATTTGTTTTATAGTTGGCCTAGTGCCGTTGCCCAGATTTAAAAACGAACCATTTTTGATCGATAATCTCGATTTCAATAAAGATCCAATTGAAGATTGTTGTATCGGGCGTCATTTTATCTATTCAGAGGAAAATATCACAATTTTAAAAGATTATCTGAATCAATGTCAAGTCGAATTTAAAAATAGTTGGCAATCAATTCAATCTAAATTCGAACAGCTCGATCAAATGTATTCACTATTCGATTTGGCATGTCCAGATAATGATGCGTTTAATTTGGTTAAAGCTATATTAAACCAATACGATCGTTATCAAAAAGAGCATCAAGATAAAAAAGATCTTACCGGATTTTTATTTGAAAATTACAGTTCATTCCCATTTTTTGCAGCTATCAATGACTTAGCTTGTATCCAGAAGCAATTAGATGATGATTATAACCATTATGAACAAATGAAATCATCAAGAATGGAAGAGATAATTGAACTTGTAAGAAAACATATTGTTACTCTTTCAGCCAAATGTATGATTGATTTCGAAAGTCTTATCGAATCGGATGACCGATATAGGCAATTGTTCCAGAAATCGGACAACTATAATGCTCAATTGCTTGAAGAACATGAAGCGGAATTGGCTCAATTGAAACGATATTATAATGAATATGAGAAATTTTTCATGCTCATCGCACAATATCAAAAATTAAAGGAAGAAATCGTCGAATGTGAACAAAAATCTCGAGATATATATAAGACAAAAAATCGTGGCGGAATCATGTTGCAGATATCGAATAAAAAACGAAGCACCCAGAAACGATTGATGCACCTACAAGAACAAATACGAAAATGGTACATTGAATATTGTAATCAACAACAACAACAACAACAACAGCTAGAGAATAATGACTCAAAAATTCCATTCGATTATTATGGTGTTCAAATCGAAGATATCATCAATAAAAATAATTATTTATGAACTTTTTGATAAATAAATAAATCTATAAAATAATCTAATTGTTTTCATAATTTCGAATTCTATTTTGAATAGTTGCCATTCGTGATATTAGATGTCGCCCATTGCATATAAGGAGAAATTTTCATTTTTTTTTTTTTTTGATTTATCATTCCATCTCTCCAAAAGAGTATGATCAATGAAAACAGATCGTGAACGTCGACAAGTACCCATTTATTCATTTATATCCATACGTCCATAATATATTCCAAGCGACAGCAATGTTTGGGTAGATTTTTGGCCAAGATAATCGCTAATAATTTACAGTTTTCATTTTGTTCTGTTGTAGTGTGCTTTGGCCTTATCGGCTTTGAGTTATAAATGTTTGGATGGTTTATGGTCTCTTTCTCTATATCCGCTGCTTGTGTTTTGATTGTCATTATGATAGAGTTATATCGACTAAAGCTGCACTTCACTAACTATGGTCGATTTGATTTCTTCTATCTATCCGTTTATCTTTTAACAATTGTAGTCACAATAAGCGTTGACAATTTTTTGAAAAAAAAATATTTTTTGTTTTTCAATTTATTCCATATCAATTCAATAATATTCACATTGTCAATATCCTTTGACTATCTCAAATATCGAATAAAAAAATAAAACCGGAGATTGAGATTATTGAATGAATATATCGATAAATACAAACAAACAAACAACAAAATTCATTTCAATTTTTTTTCAATAATAAATATAAATAAATTAATGTTCTATGTTCTGTGTATGGTGTCTATGTCTCAAAAGAGGATGATGAAAGGCTCAATTTATTTTTTTATTTTTTTTTTATTAATATAAATCTATAAAGCCACAAAAGCGCTTAAAAGTAATAGTAATTATTTTTCCGAAACAAAACAAACAAAAAAAAATTGATCATACAGGTAAAGTTATCTGATTATAATATTTTTATATTTTTTTTATTTTTTTTTTTTGAAAATATTGTTCATTTCAATCCGATTTTTTTTCAAATCGATCATCAACATTAAGAGCAGAGCACTATATGGGAATGAATTTAGGCAATAATACTAATGTTACTATAGTAACAATATCATATCATATCTCATATTCGTATTCATCATTAACAATCATCCTCCTCATCGGTTTAAACATAACTAGAAAAAAAAATTTAAAATTGATAGCTCAATTCTTTGTTCTCGAATTTTAAACAAACAAAATAAATAAAGACAAGTTTATTAGATATAGTTTTCATTAAGTCATATATTTGATATATATATATGATTGATTCATTCAACAAGACAATGTTTCGAGTGGTTTTTTTTTGTATGCGTTTGTCCACAATAATGTTGATAGGGACACAAATCACAAATGATTGTTTTACAAAACAAAAACAAACCAATGCTCCCATGTCATGTCCGAAATATATTATACGACATAACTTTGATGACTAAAGAAAAAGAACAAAAGATTCGGCCGGCATCGATCAGATATTCGAATGATCAAGCTTGAAGATAATACCCGAATGATGATGATGATGATGCCATGGTTGTTTAGTGAAATAAAAACAAAAAACAAAAAAAAACGAAGAAATCATAAAATTCTTCTGCCAAGTAACAATGATCATCATCATCATATTCTATGTTTATATTGATTTCAGTCATTTTTTTTTTTTTTTTTGTTATGATAGATAATGTTATGGTTTCCATTGTACCGGTATCATAAATGTGAGAAGATGTCACTATAAAAGCATCCATATGATCATTGTGGCGATAATGATGGAATAATAATAATAATAATAATCATAATGATTACCAAATAGAGATCCAATTTGACCAATGATGATGATGTCTTTTGTCTAAAATTTTTGAATGTGAATTTTTAAAGCCATTCCGAAAAAAAATTTTGAAATATTCGAATATAAAAAACCCGAGCATAACTTTATGACAATCATCAACGTGAGAGAGAGAGAGAGAGAAAAAAAAGGAAGTTTCAGTTTAGTGTCCAGTTGATGTGATGTTTCACTTTAAAAAACTTCAATTGTGGCCATCATCACCATGGCGATAAAACTATTTTCGCTTGAATCAACAACAGAGAATAAAAAAAAGCAAGATTGCCAATGATAGATATGGTGACAAATGTGTGTGTGTGTGTGGTGACCCCAGTGATGATTATGATGATGATGACGACGAAAGAAGAAGACTGTGGAGGGAAAGAACTTTGTCGTCCAATTGATGGCCAACATAACGATGCAATTGAATGAATGATCACTATCATCACCTGTAGCAATTAGGTTCGTTTTGCTATTATATTATTATTATTATTGTCCATATTATCATTATGTACAATATTGAGAAGGGGAAAAGAAAAACACTTAACTTTATTTCAATCATTGGAATTCATTCGTAGGCGCTGACATGATGTGGTTTCAAACTTAAAATTCAACAATAAAAATTGAATTTTTGGTTTGAATCAAAAAAAAAAAAAAAAAAAAATTTTACGTCGGATGATAAATTTATGAATGAAGATAGTTGATCATCGTCATCATCATGATCATCATTGGGTTTTATGCATGATTAGAAAGAAAATGTGAATAGTCGTGAATATGACAAAATCAAAAAAAATGGCTATTCATGGCACATCCATCCTACACGATGATGATGATGACATTAAGACAAAATTTTGAATTAGCTTTTTATCCAATAATCATTTAGGTGGAAAAATATAAAACACGTGTTTTAAACTGATGATCGTTTGGTGCTCATAAATATTATAATCGATAAGAGAGGCAAGAAAAAAAACTTGAATCACTTTTCATTCGGAATCTATAATTTTAAAAATGGACATGATACTGTACCCACACACATATACGAATACAAGCAAGTAATTCATGATCGATATAGTGGAAAAATTGAATCTTGCCTTGAATCAACGAAATAAATAAACACACACACACACACACGTTGACACCAGAATGGATTCAAAAAATTATCATAAGTACACATTCAGATACTTACACACACACACTGGAAACCGTTTCAAACATTAAGGCAACAAATAAACATCACCACACATTATCAATGGTTTTCATTTTTACTGGTCGTGTTTGTTTGGCCTATTCATAAAGAAAAAGAGAGAGAGAGAGAGAGAGAGAGAAAGAGAGTTTTGGACAACAATAATAGCAAAACTAATAATAACCACGAGTATAATAAACACGGGAATGCTTTTGCCCGAATAGTTAATGTTTGTGTGTATGTATGGGTCATGTAGCCGGGTTTATATGGTCCAGCCAGCATTAATAGTAGTGTGTTTCCTTCCTTTTTTTTATTTTGTGATGATTCAATCCTCTTCACTTGAACATTGATATAGTTTTGTATTTATATGTAAATTAGTTCACACATACTTTCACACAATGGTATAGTAGAATCTTTGGAAAATCTTTTTTCGTATTTTGTCATTGTCTAAAATTCTTTCGAAATAATTTGTTTTTTTTTCTCTCTCGGGTTCATCGATGATGATTATGATGAATGTATGAATGAATAAAACAAAAAAACAAACGATCACAAACAAACTTTGTCCAATAAACATCGAAAATATGCAGCATTCGTATCATGTTTTCATGTTTTCATTCTATTCTGATCATCATCATCATCATCATCATAGTCGACGATAAAAAAAAAATTCAAAACAAATTTTTCAATTCAAATGCTAATTTTTTTTTGTACATCATCATACTTGTTTGGATAATTCATTCGTCCAAACATCACTGAATCCAGATTCGTCAACAACAACAACAAACAAACAAACAAACAAACAAAACTGTCACTTATTCGCATGCATACGACAAAAATTAATAAATATTTATTCTTTCACATCCATTTTCAGGTGATTCAAGAAGCTAGCAATATTAAAGGTAATGTGTTGACAAAAAAATGAGAATTTTTTCATTGCTTTCATACTTGTTATTCATATATGAACCAAAGAAATCATAAGAATCGGATTTTTTTTCTTTGTTTTGTTTTGTTTTGTTTCCATGGTCATCATCAACATCATCATGTGAATCAGAGGAAAAGAAAATCATTTGACAATGGACATCATCAACGTTCACCCAAACGAATGGTTTATGACTATTTATTTATTCGATTCATGATATTTTTTTTTATTATCTTATAAGGCTGTAGTTGATTTGTTCATCATTAATAATAATAATAATAATCAGAAGCTACTATGATAGTTTGATAGTGCCATTGCCATCATCATTAATTCCACCTACAATCACAGTGAATCAATAGTGAATATAGTTGATTTAATTAGTCGTAAAGGCTATGAAATCAAAGATCATATCACCATCATCATCATCATGTAGGATATACAATATGACCATCATCATCAGCATCATCATCAATTGTCATTTTATTATTATTATTATTATTATAGCCTGAATCATCAAGTTGAAGCATCAGAATGAAAAAAAACGATAATAAACTTGAACACACACACACACACACAGGTATAAAACCATAGTGTACACATCACCATTATAATAATATCATAAATGAATGACCATCACCATGATCAATATAAAATTATTATATTCAAAACCAAAGAGAGAGAGAGAAAAAAATGATTCGTAATTGGCAAAGCTCATTTACTTGATTAGCGTTTGTTTTATTTATTTTTTTTTTTTTTGTCAATAAATACGTAAAGACAAGATGATGATGATGATGATGATGATGAAATTAATGTCTTGTGTAAAGGGGAAGTTTTTTTTCATATTTAAAATTGATTCAATGTGTGTGTGTGTTTATGTGCGTATGATTTGAACTGAATATTATTATAGGCTCAGAAGATTATATTTGTTCTCTCTCTCTCTCTCTCTTTATGGATGTTCACGTCTTTTTTTTTGAATCTATTTGAAATTGTTTGCAATTGGTGATCATTCGCTGCTTATACGTCAATCAATCACGATAATCACATGGGTGATGGTGATGATGCTACAGAACTGTGTATTGTAATAGGCCCGTTGTATAAATTGATTTTTTTTTCTCTTATTTTGATTCCACAATCCACAAAGCTAAATCTGAATGATAGGACCAATTACACCTCGTTCAATCTTGCTTCCAAAAAAAGAAGAATGACCGGCTTTTTTTCTCTCATCGATAATGATGATGATGATGATGGAATCATCTATACAATAACATAGATAATATTGGCAAATGAATATTCAGTAAGAGTGTATCTAGCTTTGTTTGTTTGTTTCATTGTTCAACATTGATTTTTTTTCTGATGCTATTCGGTAATCTGTTTACATAACCAATGGCTATAGATTGAAATAAGAGCAAAAAAATAAAAATAAAATCTAACCATTGATTCATATGATGATGATGATGATGATGAATTGGATGTGATTCGGCAGCCAAACAACAACAACAACAACAATAGAAAAACGAAGAATGGACAATAATGCTCAATGGCGATATATAGCTTTTAATATGCCCGTGTTATTACTATGGCTATTATTGAAATTTTTTTTTTTTTTTTTTTGAATTCTTGAATCTTTTTTTCCATTATGACGGTGGTCAACGATGATGATGATCAACTACAATCATTGGCTATTGGTGTGTGAACCAAGTAAATAATAATAAATTTTATTAAAACACGAACATCGATTACCATAAAATATATACAATATGTTTATCGTTATCATAATAATGATCATTGGCAAAGGTCACCGAGATGAGAATAATAATAATAATAATGATTTGAAAAATGGATCACCCAATAGTCAATCCAAACATCTTTTGTATAAAATACAACTACAGGTAACCTGAGCACAATTTACAATGAAAGAGGATCAAAGTCAATGAATGTGAGTGTAAGAGAATCGATGACCATGGCTCAATTGTGTTAGGTCAATTGACAACCACAATCGACGGATGAATGAAAGAGAGAGAGAGAGGAGAGATATATGTTGCGTGATAATTGAAACGAATTTTTTTTACATTCAATGATGATGATCGTTTCGGGCTTAACAATTTTTTTTTGGGTGCTTGAAGCCTGATTAAGTCACGAAGTCCATCCAATTGTATGTGTATGACTATCTGAACTTTAGCTGAACGGATTGATTAGATTTTGGTTGGGTTTTAGCTTTTCTTCTATGATGAAGATGATGATGATTCGAGAAAAAAAAACAACAAATAAAAAAGGAGACAATGGCTCAGGAGGATCATCATCAATCGGATTGATGAGCAATGAGTAATGAATAAATACAATTGATTTGAATCCGATGAATGAATGACGAGTGATTAATCTCAATTGCCATAATGGATTATGATAGATGGATGCATCAGCCAAGATATTTCAACATGACATTACGTTAACGATAACGATGATTCGCCGATGACCGATGAGACTTAAAGATAGGAAGAGACAAAAAGATCTATCGGGCTGTCATTATGAGTATTGTAGAAATCCATCGGATAATTAATCGGCTATAATCAATTCATTGGTCATGTTTGTATTGTGATTGGATTTTTTTTGCTCTTTCAGATTAAGATCTCAGACCTTCGATAAGTTTTGGGCGCCGACCAAACCTGACTTGATCGATCGTCATTTGATCGATTGATTCTAATATTCCAACACTCTAAGAGAATATTTGGTCGTCATTTCATTTCTTCGTTTTTCTTTTCTACTCAAATTTCGTGATTTGTCATTTTGTTATCGACCGATCTAGTTGGCCATTATGATCGTATTTGTTTAATACGTACGGCTTATGGCCATAATTATCATTCAAAATATTGATACTGAATTGAAAGGAACCACCACTACCAATATAAATAATCATTTGTTTCTGGAACGTCACACCAGAAGGCGACATCTACACCGAAACCTTTTATTGCCCAGTAGAATCGAGTTGATTGACAGGATTAACTGTGACTTTGAGTTGCAATTGGAACTTCAGACCAACGATGATGATGATGATGATGACGATAAATCGATATATATGGAATTGGGGAGCGGTAGCTAAGAATTTCCGAATAAATTTCTTATTAAGCTAAGGTATTCCGTTTGAGAAACGCCCACCCATCTAATTGCATCTAATTACTTCTGTGAGTGTTGTCCAAATTCAGCATGCGTATATGTATTACTGACTTATTCTTCGTATGTGTGTCCAGGTATACTCATACCTCTTTCTTTTGATGAGAATGATGATGATGATGATGATGATAAGGAGGAGGATGATGAAGATCGAAACCACAATCAGGCATACACTGATAAAGCACGGATACAGACGTATCTTCTGAGAGAATGAAAAGAGAGAAAGAAAGAAAAAAGATAGAAAGAGGAGTTGTTCACCGGTTGTTGTAGCAGCATTAAAATATGAGTTGATCATCGATCCGTGTTTGAAAATATACTGTATAAAACATTGCTGCTATCATCCACAACATTCAATGTTGGCGCGCTATTTTATCTCTTCATTTTAACAGGCACAATTGAATCGGTTTTCAGTTCAGTTTGAACGTGATTGGCAGTGGTGTGTTATTTTGTTTTCGCATGTTATAACAGTTTCTGATTCTTGGTTATCGTTCGGCTTCATTTTGTTCCATAAGTCTACAAACAAAACAAAAAAAAAAAACTCGTCTGTTCTTTCTTTCATACTGTTTTTTCGACCGCCGACCCGGTTATCCGATTTCAATACATTTTTTTTTTTTGATATAAATTCATTTTCAATACATGAATCAAAATCAAAATAATTATGATTTAACAACTAATACAACCTGTGTGTTGAAATTGTGTTCCAGTCAATATTATTGTTTCTTTTACCGAAGAAAGATTCAATAACATCATTCATTCGATTGTTCGTGTCTTATTTGGTCTTTTTTATTTGTATCTGTGAGTGCGTGTTTTTTGTGATGCAATATATTTATTGTTCAAAGTGACAAACAGATTTTATTTGTTAAAAAATCAAAAACGGAACTGATTTTCCAGTCCTTATTATTTTTTTTCACACGTTCAATTCGAAATGGATTTTCAATCAATGATGGAAACTTTTGCTGAAGCATGGGTAGCTGCCAACACTCAGACACCATTAACGGAAGCAGCCGCTGCTGCGGCAGCTGCTGCTACTGACCATGTGAGTTAAAATAGAATTAAATTATTATTTCTTCCATTTTCCGGTGCATGATTATCATAAGTACCGTTGATTCAAAAAAGATCGTTTCCTCTTTTTCCATTACATTTCATTGCAATTGTTTTTGATGGTAATAGTGAATAAGACAAAAAAAATGTCCTCAACGATTAACGATATATATGGTTACATGCATCAAACATAGATGAATGGATGGCTGAATGCATGGATATAAACAACAGCTGTCGGATTTACTAAATTTTCCCGGATTCTACTATCAGTCTTCTCCGTCGATTCGATTCAATCAATTGATATACACACGCATACATGAAGAGTGAGAAAGATCTATCTATCTATCTATCTGTGAATAGATTCGTCCTGTAAAATCCCGTCATTTCAATCCCAATGCAGGTTTTTTCGGTTGATGCATTTTCAAAATTGATAATTCGAGATCTAAATAGAAAAATAATGGAAAAAAAAGAATCTTCAATCTACCTTGCAATAAAAATCGATCCATAATTGAAAATATATGAAACAGACAATCATCAGTCGATTCTAATATATCCATCATACAAATGTGGTTATATTTGGCTGGTTGATTTGGTTTTGGTTTCATCCATTAAAATCCAGATTCGTGCTTCTAACTCGAATCTTTCGACCGTGAATATGGAATCTGGAAAGAAAAACGATTGTAGCGTTCTACATTTCTAGAATAAGTTTGCCAATTCCTTACCTTTTGGTTCTCTTGTTATCCCAGAGCTATTCCTCTGAAGCTATCGGTATGAATTAATTCCTATTTTTTTTTCTACATGATGATGACGAACCTGATACCGTCAAAATTGAGAAACCGATGATGATGATCCTCATCATTGATCATCCATCCATGTGATCGTTTTGGCTCCTGTTTGCCCGTTCATTTTCCTTTTTTTTCTCGGGTCTCAAATAGCGCATACTCTTTGGCATTGCATGCCAGTGTCAACTAAAATTCTCGTTAACCAAAATGAAATTGATCCGATATTCTTCGTCGGGGTTGCTATGCTGCTCTCTTGGATGGATGGATCTATGTGTTCGTGTGTTCGTGTGTGTGTGTGTGTAGATGCACAGCAGTAATCGTTAATCTTATATCCTTTTGAATCGTGTGTATGAGAAAAAGAAAGAGAAGATGAAAAAAAGAAACTCCATTTCCGCAGATTTTCACTGCTATTGGCAAGCTTATATAACTTTTTTCTCCTGTATTATTATTATTATTTTTTTTGGAATTCGATTATTTCGAGATTCCATTGATGTTGTTGTTGTTGATGATGATCGTCATGTGCTTTGATGGTCGTTTTTTTTACTTTGGTTTTTATTTTTTTTTTTTTTTTCATTCATCCATATACAGCCAGATAAAATCCATAAGATTCCATTCGATTCAATCCTGATTTATTTATTGTATAGAATACGATAATGGTAACAGTGGTAGTAGCAAAAAAATCTGAAAAGAATTAAGACAATTCTTGCGGTTCATACTAGATAAAAAAGAATTACCATTATTGAAATTATGTGAATGTGACTGAATCAAATATTGTTCGATTTGTATGATATGTTGAAACGCAACGGTATATACACAATGATGAACACAAAATGTATATCCCGAAAAATCCCAAGTGAAAGATTTTTCATGTATTTATTATATGTGCACGCGATATTTTTTTTTATTATTTGTATTGCACAATCTCATTGTTTTCTAGTTAATCTCTGACAGAAAGATTATAGATGAGATAGCAAATAAGATTCATGTCATCGTAATATTTTTGTGGTGGTATGTTGATGAAAAGCTGCTATTATCAAGCTTAAGGATTTTATTCTAACCATTTCCATTTTGTTTTTGTTTTTGTTTTTTTACTAAAAGAATGCGATTTACATATACATATTCTATGGACTCTACATCCATTACATCATTTATATGTTTGTATGTTTTGTTTTTTTTCTCTATAGTAGTATAGTAGTAGTATATATTCAGAATCTTATTCGAATTATAATTCCCCATCGCTAACGCTTTTTTCAGTTCTATACTCTTACCTTTGTTCATTTATATACTTGAATTATTGAGAGAAAAAAAGGCCAAACTCTTTGAAGCAACAACAACAACAACAACAACAGGAACATCATTCGTTGAAAGTGCTAATTTAATCTTAGAGCTAGATAATCATCTTTGCTGTTTTGTCTGGCTGTGTCTGTTTATATCTGTGTGTGTGTGTTTGTGTTGCTAATGATATTATTAATAACATGCACAGACCTTATATCTTCATTTGGTTGTTGGACCAATATTGAATAAAGAAAAAGAATGCGAGAGAGAGAGAGAATTGGATAAAAGTTTTAAGATGTGTTCATACAGGCGAACCGATTACATGGGTTTAGAGTTTTCTATTTTTCTTATTGATGACTTTGCCTTTGATAATTATAATTGAATGAATATATAAATTCTTTTTGCATTCACAAATCTTGCCAACATTTATTATTGAAACTCTTTGGTTCTCTATTTTTTTGTATGTTAGTGTTTTTTTTGTGCATATGTATGTGTATTTTATTATTATTGAGACCATTCGAAATCTAAATGAAATCCTTTTTCTCAACTTTTTTACTTTTGATCTTTTTTTTCATATTCGACAACATTTTTGGCATTTTGACAACCATCATCATCAAGAATCAATCGTAAGCGTAAAGTAAAAGCAAGCAAAATTTTGGGATAGATTGACTGACAATCCAATAAAAAAAAATAATAACCAAGCCTAGCTGATTGCTTTGAATCATTGTAGCTCGTGGAATGGTTAATTGGTTTTGAATATTACCTGATTTTCATTGCCTTGAGGTATTTTGGCCACACATATATACTTAACAAGGTACCAGGTAAATGTAAGGCTCACCAACCGTTGATGATCAATGAAAAAAAATCGTTGACGGCTAAATCAGCTTAGATTGTAAGAGTCATATTTTTGTACATTCATGTTATTCATTCATTATAGCTTATATGGCTCCGAATCAATTGGTTCGGTCGGTTTTTTTGCCATTTCTGTCATTGATTTGTTACACACATGACTTGACTAGGTCCGGTACAATCGATTGTTGTTATTATGGATAGATTGATTTGAATTACCTTTTCTTTCACTCTGGCCTAGTGGATTGATTGTCGAATGATTTCAAGTGAGAGAGAGAGAGAAAGAGAGAAAAACACCGCGACTGATTATGGCAATCTGACTGACCTTGTCCAATAAGGAAAAAAAACCCGAAAAGCCAAATCTAATGCCGTGGCTAGCTTACAAATCCAGAATAAAAAAGGGGCTTTTACCATTCACTCATCGTCGATTGTCGACTAAATATTTAATGTTGAAAAAAAAACGTTTATTGATCTTGTATTTGTGTGTGTGTGTGTGTGTGTGTGTATGTATGTATTTCGTTTGTGTTAGTCATTCGTTAAGACGTGAAAGTGAAAAAAAAACTTGAATGCCGCGATTAACCTAAAGACGATGAAGAATGATCGATCCAACAAGTCCGATAGCTATCTCTATATATGTATATATTTACAAGGACACGACATATATTTTTTTTGTGAAGTTGAAAAAATTTGTGTTTGTATATGAGTGTGTTTGCAAATCTCAATAGGTTTATTATTCGGTTTGTCGAGACTCTGTCAATAAAGGTGTGTGATGATTTTTTTTTCATTTTTTTTTTAAATTTTGATTTTTGCCACACACACACATACCACACATATACAAATTGACGAATTTGAAATCCAAATCATGGAAAAGAAGAAAAAAAGAATAACATGGACATTCATCCTGAATGCAAACAGAACATCAATAACAAGATGGATGAATAGATAGATGGATAGACATCATCATCATCATCATCATTGCCTATAAATCTTATAGATATTCAGATCTCACACATATTATGGATCATTTCACATGTCCACTTCAGTTGATTTATGTCTATGTGTGTGTGTGTGTTTGTGCGTAATATGATGATGACATTAACCATTTCTCAATATTATTATATTTGTACAATATCATGTTTGAATAACACCGACAAATTTGATTTCAATTTTCAATAGTTCATCATTATCATCATCATCATCATGTTTGAGAATAAAATGTTTTTTAAATTCATGTATACATCATTTCTCTTTTTAAATTTTTTTCTTTATGTGACAATAAACAAACAAACAAAAAGAAAAAAAAAAAAGATGCAAGGTCGTCACTGTGTGTGTGTGTGTTTGGATTCCATTTCCTTAATTTATAAATCTTATTTCTTCTATAAACTTTTACATAGGTTCCTTTTAGACCATTGATTATGGTGTTATGGTATTTATATATTGATTACATTGTACATATAATAATCACATTGTGCCGTATAAATTGATGTGAATCAATTTGCCGAATTTTTTTTTCTTTCTCTCTCTCTCTCTCTCCTCTCTCCATCGATCTCGCAATGATTCTCGGGTGAAAGTCTTTTTTTTTTTTTTTTTTTTCTGAGCAAATATGACAAGACAACAACAACAACAACAACAACGATGACAACAAGAACGACAACAGGAAGGGAGGAGGTGAGAGTTTTTGTTCCTACGGTCTGATTTTTTGTTGTTGTTGTTATTATCTTTCAATTCAACAATTTATGCTTCGATTGTGGTTGTTGTGTTGCAAATCTCGTTTTCATTTTGTTATTGAAAATGTATAGTTTGGATTTTTTTTTTTTTTTTTTTTGTTTCTTTGGTTTGCATGTGTGGGTATGTTTTTTTCCAATTCGATATGTACATTTCGATACGGTGGATTGATGATGATGATGGTGGTGGTTGTGGTGGTTGTGGACATGCAAAAGCAACACGGCGTGAGATTTGTCCATCATCCATTCATTCATTCATTCATTCAAATCAAGAATGAATGAATGAGACCTATCTATTCTAGTGTTTTATATCTCTTATCACCGACAGAGACAAATATACTCACACACTTGGTATATGAACATCA